CTAGTGTTTGTTCACTCGAGATTGTTTGCACGCGGCAAGATTGTTACGCGGAGAGATCCCAGGGGTGTTTTCAGTTGATCACTAGCTTTCAAAACACCTTGCTATAACTCTCACATCTTCAACTCCCTCACTTTTCCCTAACTTGTATTCTTGCTTATCCAACGCGACCCCAATGGCGACTCCGCCTCCCGAGGTTCCTCCTGTCACTAAGGAGGACAAGCCTCAATTGCCTCCGTCGCCCACTGGTCCTTCTGCACTTGACTTCGCACCCACTAGGTAAGTGAACTAGCTTTATATCTGCTCTGTTCTTGATCTGACTGGTATGACGGCTACGCAGCGCACAAAATGTCGCAGTGAATTCCAGAAGCGACGCATCCGCGGATACCGAGGTTAAATCGCCTGCTCTGAATGGCCACACCCCTGTCGCGCCTTCGAACACCAATGGTACAACCGTTGCCACCTCACCGCCCAAATCCCCTGAGCACCAGACCGCCCAAGAAATGACCCAAGACAAGACATCTGCTGTGGGATCTGCTCCCCCCGCGGAGTCACAGCCGACCGAAGAAAAGATCAGCACTCCGCAAGGTCACGAATCTACCACTCCTGCTGCAGCCGGCGCTGCGGCTGAAAGTGTCGTTTCATCTACCCCACAGGCTGTGGTAAACGCTCCCACACTTCCTGCATCCACAGATGGCCCTAATGACACACCCGAGCCAATGGCCATTGATACCACTCAAGGAGTTTCGACTCCCGTGAAAACCGACCTTCCTCATCATCCTACCCCGGCACCTGCACCACCTGTGCTCACCGCGGCACAGCCCGTTGATCAGGAGATGAAGGACGCATCAGAGGCCCCGCTATCCCCTTCCAAGATTTCCCGACAACGGGATGCTGATCTCAGCGAAGAACCAGCCCCCAAGCGGACCAAGGTCGAGGGTGACGATTCGGTTATTAACTTTCAGGCACCTGGATTCAACTCCCCATCTGCTGCAACACATGGTCCAATCCGCACTAGTGGCGGACCGGGGCTCACTAAAATGCAACATAAGTTCATTTCAAAGAGTCTCACAAGCCTCAAGCGCATGCACGATGCACGTTTCTACAAGGAACCTGTGGATGCTGTCAAGTTGAACATTCCGCAATACCACACTATTATCACCCAACCCATGGACTTAGGAACCATGGAAAGGAAGCTCAAGAACAACCAATATTCTTCTCCTCAGGCAGTCGCAGATGACTTCGCACTGATGGTCAATAATACGATGGTCTTTAACGGTGCAGATCACTTGGTCACTCAAGAGGGGATCAAACTGAAGGCGACATTCGAGAAGCAGATGACTAACCTCCCCAAGCCCGACGAGGTTGAAGAGAGGAAGCCAAAGAAGAACGCTGAGAAGACGTCTGCTGCTCGCCGGGAGCCTCGGACTTCTCTACCAAGTCAGCCCAAGGCTGCTTCCCCGCAGTCTCAAACATTTGCACTAGGACCGGAAGGCCTCCCCGTCATCCGGCGCGATTCCTCCAACCCCGATGGTCGTCCGAAACGGTCCATTCACCCCCCAAAGCGTGACCTTCCGTATTCTACCAAGCCCAAGAAGAAGAAGTTCCAATGGGAATTGCGCTTCTGCCAGGAAGTCTTGGATGAGCTGCACAAGCAAAAGCACTACAGCTGGGTCATGCCTTTCTATTATCCTGTGGACCCTGTGGCTTTGAACATTCCCACATACCACAGCGTCATCAAGAAGCCCATGGATCTGTCTACTGTTCAATCGAAACTTAAGACCGGCCAGTATGAGAATGCGAAGGAGTTCGAGAACGATGTCCGCCTCATTTTCAAGAACTGCTACCGCTTCAATATCCCCGGTGACCCTACTTACATCTGTGGCCAGCGGGCCGAAGAAATCTTCAGCGCAAAGTGGAACCAGAAGTCGGACTACCTCGAGGCGCATGAGCCACACCCCGAGCAGAACACAGATTCTTCCGATGAAGACAGCGACGAGGATGCAGAGGAGAGCGAAGAAGATGACGAGAAACTCACCCTGCTTCAGAAGCAGATTGCCGAGATGTCTCGTCAGGTCGAGGCTATTACCAATAAGAAAAAGAAGACACCTCCTTCCTCCAAGAAGGTTGGCAAGACGAAGCTTGCCAAGAAGGATTCCAAGAAAATCAGCTCTGGAAAGAGAGACAAGAAGAGCAAGATCTCTCAGCCTGGCAAAACCCGCGCCATCACCTACACCGAGAAGCAGATCATCTCGAATGGTATCAGTAGTCTTCCTGATAAGAGGATGCAGCAAGCCCTCCAGATCATCCAGAACAATGTTCCTCAACTCAAGGTAAGATTTTCACGCGTTTAGTACACAAACAAATTCTAATATAGATTTCGCAGGGTACCGATGAGGCCGAAATTGAGTTGGATATCGACGAGCTTCCTAACGATGTTTTGCTGAAGTTGCTCAACTTCGTGAAGAAGCACGTACCGAATCTCATGGATGATGAAGAAGAGGAGGATGTCATCTCTAGCAGCGTGGCACCTCCCAAACCCAAGAAGAACAAGCCAATGAGCAAGTTCGAGCAGGAAGCCCAGATCAACATGCTCCAGAACAACCTTTCTCGTTTCCAGGGTGGCGCTCACTCTCCCGATCCAGTGGCCTCGGTTGAACGCAACGAAAGCAGCGATGATGAGTCTGATTCGTCCGAGGAAGAGAGCGAGGAGGAGTAAACATACTCTTCCAACTCAATCCCGCCATTTCCCCCCCATACGGATGATGGCTCTTCACTCTGACTTGCGTTCCAAGCGTCGTTTTTCCCCAGTGCCTATCTGAACAGTTTCTCGCCATATCTTTCTTTTTCAGTCACTCCGCTGATCCTGACGGGCTGCTTGCAATGCGCTATGCAATCCCCGCCAGCAACGTCTGTACATACTTTGATTTTGAATACCCCTGCACCAACCAAGGTTTCCACTGCCACCAACGAACCTTGCTCTCAAAATTGGCCGAACAGGATTCTATTCACTTAACCACTTGAATTTCCCTTTCCCTACGCCTGAGTGTACACTTTCCTCCCGTTTCGTTTCACAGCCAGGATAGGTGGATGGGGTTGCTTTATTTCCCCCGACGACGTTGCGGTTGGAAGAGGTGAACCGAAGCTTTGGCTTCAACTTGTATGATTACGAAAGAAACGCGGAAATGCAAAATGAATATGTACTTGTAATAGTAAGGTATCCGATTTTCTATTTAGTATGTAGTTTGAATATGTGAAATATTGTATTGCGAACCACCTCTTTCTCTTATTCTGTCATTGGTCGTGACGCGTCGGGTCTACATCGGCGTTCGGCGGTGAACTTCCCCAGTTTCTTTGCAACATCAACATGATTCCTCCCTGCGACCCCTCAATTCTTGAGCATAATCCCCAATTCAAACGACTATATGAGAATCTGACAATCTCCCTCCTTAATCCGGATGCCTCAACGCGTGCCCACAGCGCGAGCCCAGCGCGCACAGCTGTGGAGGAAGTAAGTTGTCGACACGCTGTTGCGCAGCATGTACTCGACAGATCCAAGCACAAACAGAGCTCTGACAACACTCTATCCACTAGGAGCTGAAAGAATGCCAGACCCAAAATGCGAAAAAGCGAATCAAAGAGCAAATGCTCCGGCAATTGGCCTTTGCCCCAGACAGCAACCTACCCGCAGAGGTCAGGACAACCCCGCCATAGGGCAGCAATCCATCGGGAGGAAAACAACATCCCTAACGAACCTACTACGTCCAGTGCCATGATAACCTCGCTATTATAACCCTCTACCTAGAGACCCCATCCAGCGCAATCGAAATCACCACCCCAAAGCCAGAAACCGAGCCCAAGAAACCAGATGAAGCACTCACCCTCCTAGCACCAGACATCGAAGCCTTCTACACCAATATCCCAGCCTTCATACTGCCTTTATCCAAAGCCCTCTCATCCGCCATTCAAGACCTACGCGCTCTATCAACCACAAATACAGACCCAGCCTCCGGGCCCGACGCAGATGTCCCCGCCCCACAGCACTCGAACCACAATGCACGTGCTCGAGCGCGCGACCGCCGAGTCCGGACCTCAATGGCGCCAGTTCCGCCGCTTTCGTCACAGCTGCAGGCGCGGGTGCGCTTGTTGCGTCACACACAGCTGTCCGAGTTGCCAGTCGCTCGGCGGAAGATGGCTGCTACGGCGGCGGAGGTTGTTGCCGCACGGGCGCGAGTCCTGGAGCGCACTGTTGTGATTCTGGAGCGGGCGAAGCATGGGGCTCTGGCGCGTGCGACGAAAGCTAAGGCGGAGCATTTGGCTGTTGTTGCGCAGGGCCTGGAGGGGAAATTAGAGTATGTTTTGTCTTTCCAGGTTTCAGGTTTCAGTCTTGCTGTTATATTTTTGGTAGGATTGGTCTTTTTAACAATTTGGACAGGGTTACGAAACTGGAGATTGCGGCTACGCTCTATACGCCTGAAACACTTGCTGCTCTTGCTCGGTATAGGCAGCATCTCAGGCAGACGAAGGAGCGCTTGCAGCACCGTCGGAAGATGACGATTCAAGAGCTGAGAGCTTATGGTGATGTAGAGGTGTCTGACCCGGTTACTGATGTTGATGTGGATGAAGGGTCTTTCGCGGATATTGCTCGTCGGTATGGGGTTTTGGCTAGAGAGGTTGAAGAAGTAAAGATGGAAATTGCACGATTAGAGAAATGAGCTATGACTACATACCTCAGGTAGTGCATAGTATAATTAAGATATTAAGATCCGGCTTCAACACATGCAGTGTTAGACCTGTGATCCGCAGACCACGGTAGCCCTAGGGACCTCCTTGGTGACCATGTAAGAGAGCCCAGGGCGCCCCAACCTCGCTTCTTCCTACAGTCCCTAAGCCTAATTGTACAAGTCTGGTTTCTACAGCTGCCATAGAGAAAACGCCAGGTGGCTGAGCTTAAAAACCCCGAGGTCTCAGTTCGTTATCATTCTCTCGCTGTTTGCTACCATTCAATCACCGCAATTCATGTTGTCGCATACTGCACCCTCATATTTGTCTGGCGCTAGGCACGCAAGAAGCACAATAACTGGTCCATACCCTAGAGACTCACACAATTCTCCCGTAGGATGGGTTTTGACGTCAATGAGCTTTGCTCTTTCGGCATCGATGTCATCGTTCGGTACCTTCTCTTCATTCTCGTCCTTATTGGGTTTCAAAACGAAAGTGGCGGCCTCTTCGTTTTTCTCGGCTCGAAGCATCGCCACGGTATGGTACTACTGTAGATGTCCATGGTAGTCACCCAATTGCATGATAATTGGGTCACCACTCCGGAGGGAATGAGCTATTCAAATGTGGAAATGCATTCCATGAGGCCAATGCCATCGTATCTGGAAAAGTCATTGTTAAGAGGCTTGGGGGATTGTATCCGAAACGCCAACGCAATTTTGTGGAACGAAGATATTCGACTTCCATCTATTTCGTGCCTTCCGCATAGTTGTCAGAGCTCATGATTGCATAGCCATTGTCGCTGTCCGTGAACAGTTCAACTGATAGTTGTTGTTATATGCTCTGCTGTATCTTGATGAGCCACATGGTTTCCTGAACTGCTGCGTCGAATGCAATGTACTCGGCAGAAGTACTTCTTTTGGCGACAATGTTTTCCTTCTTCGAAGCCCAGTTAACAGGACACCATGCATAAAAAATGACAGAAGTCTCAGTGCTCTTACCGTGTTCACAGTCATTGAATGAAGCGTCCATAAATATTGCAAGACCCATGTTTGGTTCAAATCTGGTGGACAGTTAGACAGGGGTTTCGTAGATCTAGACCAGAGATGACAAAATAAAGAACTTCCCTCTTAATCATTGCTCACGGGTCGATGATTCAGTATCCCACATGCCTGGGTATATGTGCTCAATGCCCAGTTCGTTGCCGCCTCTTTCGCTTCTAACCTCTTCCTCGCAAGTGCTTGACGCCCGGGGAGGACTTTGCGGTTGCACCAAAGTGGCTATAGATAAGCTGGTCCTTACCTCAGCCGTACACGGCAGGTGTGGCTTTTGGAGACCACCTTGTCGCTGTCATCGCTATCATCGCTGTTGATAGGATAGGGTATATGATGTGGCCATTGATACCCACGAGGTGAATTTGAAGATGATCAGTCAGGAATGACGGGTGTCGTATGAGACTAGTATATCCAAGACTCTTAATCAGAATAAGAATATACTGAGTATATAAGTCCGAGTATATAAGTTCGCCAAGATGAAAGTTCATAGTTCATTAACCCGCCAAGTCTTAAATCCGGGGATGTCCCCTGGCTTAACCCCGCGAATCACATGACCGCGCCAAACTTTTTCTGCCCGAAAGAGTCAACGCTACAAGATCTATTCATTCGCCACATTTCTCTTTGAAACATTCTGAGAATTATTCAAAATGGCCGACGAAGGACTGAACATCTACGATGAGATCGAGATCGAGGATATGACCTTCGACCCGAATATCCAGATCTACACATACCCTTGCCCATGTGGCGACCGCTTCGAGATCGCGATCGACGATTTGCGCGACGGCGAAGAGATCGCCGTGTGTCCCAGTTGCAGTCTAATGATCCGGGTTATCTTCGACTTGGTATGTGTTCCTATCGCAAAACCAAACGTATGTCGCTTTATGTGTTCAGTGGGCTAACTATACACCCTGCGGGGTATCCACAGGCCGATCTTCCCAAAGCCGATGCGCAGAGTACGAGCGGGGTGGCTGTTCAGGCTTGATTGTGCGACAACAGAGATTATGCAAAATACCCTTGAACCGATTCGAGTCAACCTCAACCCGAAGTGAAGGATCATGTTGCTGAATTTGGAAGTCAACTTGGCCGTTCTCATTACTTTGGCGGATGTGGTTCGAAGGATTGGATATTTTGCCATCCCATTGCTGCGACTGCTCTCCATGGACTGCATAATGCGCTTTCGTCGGGTCAAGCGGTTTTGATCCACCGGACTTCACCCCAAACACCGGATCGCGCGAGCATGTTCCATGCTCTGCTGCAAGTGCGAGTGTCGTCTACCTGCATCTTGCCAAGTGACTGGGTGCCTCTGGGGGGCTATTGGTCTCGGTGACTCGCACCAGGGTACCCGCCGTACCTCCTCAGCATATTCAAGATTGACTTGGTTGCTTGACTTTGCCTAGTGTGAGTTTTGCCTTGGGCAATAATATCACTTGGCCAGGCAAAACACCATTTCATTCATCACGTTGAGACTGTATTTTGGCTATGTACATGTTGCGTTCATTCAAAAAGAAAGAACAACACTTTGATACACCTTTTGAATTGGCGATAAATTGACTCTTTCTCCGCCTTCGAATTGTGTTCTCGCTACAGACAATCATTCTATACCTACCTAGTGCATTTACCTCAAATGATACCCGCAACTATGCTCCCAAATTATTTGTTCATCCCCCTCCATAGTAAATCTATGAGAAAGTAGCAGCACGAGAAAGATTTCAATGCAACCGCATCATAAATAAACACTAAACTACAGTATGTAACATCCCAAACAAAAGCTGGAACGGCAATAATCCTCTTCTTTCTAGGTAATCGATAGCCCAGCAAGACGGCTCACTCACTCAACAACCTCACTGTAAATATCCTTAGGCAAACGCAAGGTCAACTCAGAGTTCAACAGCTCAGTCAAGTTAGATCCATCACGCAGGTAGATCCACTGCCCACTAACGAAAGGCCGGGTATCCTGCTTCTCATGCATGTAATCGCCCTCGACAATCCAGTCATACCGCTTCGGCCCAGAGATGGGCGAGCTGAGCCAGATCTGCTTGTTGGGTGGTTGCTTGTTGAGTACATAAGTTCCGAGTGCGGGAACGGAGATGTTCAGAACACCAGCCTAGAAGAACAACGTGGGTTAGTATATTTTTATAGTTTATATGTCATGCCAGCAGAAGGTCTTATGCAAGTTAAGAAAGATAGGAAGAAGGAAGATGAAGAAGACCGGGCAAGATATAATATATAGAAAAGAAAAGAAAAAAACAAAACATACACTGTACTCAGCCTCAACATCCGATCCCTCCTCCTGTGCCTTCTCCAGCTCGCTTTGCAGGACGTTGAAATAATGCTCCGCGTACTCATAGTACTCCTCCGGTGTCAACGGCGAGGGCTCAGTGACATGAGCCGCAGCTCCGGCAACAGAACCCGACTGGGGGTTCGGGGCTGGGGGGTTTGCTGATTCTGGATGAATGCCTTTGCGGATTGCCGGGGAGGACTGGAAGGAGCGAGTGAATTGCGAGGCGGAGCTGGCGCGGATGGCGCAAGCCCGGGGAAGCAGAGTTGAAGTTGTGGTTGTTGTGCGGATGGATGGGCGCACGGAGGCGAGCAGAGCTCGAGGGGCTGTGCGGGATAACATTGCTGTATGAAGGTGTTTGGATTGGGACTGTGGAAGATAGTAATTGAAGGTTGGGGGAGCTGTTCTGATGATGGATGCGGAGAGATGGGATAATTTACATCATCGTTGTTCACCGCCTGCTCCATTAGGTGTGATGACGGGCAGTACTTATGATTGGATGGAGGTATAGATGACAGTTGCTTGATGTGGTATTTTATTTACAAAAAGTGGATTACAGATCTTGTGTACATATGATGATTTAGCTTGTGAAATACTTGGGTTGATTTGATGGTTGGCCAAGTTGAGGATACACTGGCTTGTGCAATAGGTCTGTCGCCACCACTGAGACTGTAGCATCTAAGAACTTCAAAAAGTAGGACTTGCGGTATATATTCGAATTTATTTCCTTCATGATAGAGTACTTGAAAATTTGGATTGGAAGATATGTGATATTTGCAAATGAGATTTGTGATTTCACTCCAGGGTTAAGAATGACCATTTCGCCTTCCAGTCATGACCTTGGATTGAGGACCCCGGTATAATCATAGGGGTGTATATTTTTGGGAGTTTAATAACAGCATATCCCCATCATTTTGTAATCTAGGTTATTGACGAAGCCACAGCACAGAGCTGCATATTCCGTAATGTTTACGTGGTACCTACATTTTCGAGTACCTATTTAATGGGCGGTAAACAATGCGAAGACAACAGGCTGAAGTTAGCAAAGGAATGAGAGGCCTAGTGTATGCTGTCGATGACACGATTTCTCATAATAACGCTGGCACGCATGCAGAGAAAATGGAATGCACCCAGGCAGACATGGAGGCTGCTGCCGCTGTAGATGTCGGAACAGCCATACCAAAGAGCCTGATGCCCACAGGAAGGAGATTGGTGTATAGTGAAACTGCGAATGGAGGAGATGTCCATGAGTGTGCATACTTGTCTGGAATCAACAAAAATAATGTGTCAACAGTGGTTCTAACATCAACACTGACAACGATATTTCCCGCGCTATTAATGATGACACCAAGGAGACTTGCATCGCGCTCGCCCTCGTTGAAAAACTGAAGGCACAGCAATGGTGAATATCTCATAGGAACACGAGGTAGACTTGTTATATCAGCCATATATGCATGATCTCGCACTTTCTTGAACCAATGAATGAGATCCTTTGAAGACATCTTCGCATAGGCAGCAATAGCTACCTAAACATGCCATAGAATCGTCTGGTGTCTTCGGTATATGCCCAGCGCCATAGGTGCCTGGTGTGCAAGACCACGCGTCACAATCTAAAAATGGCCCTCGATAGTTAGGCTGCTTGATCATTTTGAGGCCGGAGACTAGCCGAAACTAGCAGGGATAGGATCCTAGGACGTTCGTGTGAACAAGAGCGGGAAGATCCCCACAGAACGAGATTGTTAAGTCATGAGTGATGAATTTCCCGTATCTCTCCTATATTCATTTTCAGGAACTGTGAGATGTGTACGGAATACAGCGTGCAAAGCCAGCAGGGCTGCGCAGTAGGATGACGTGGGCAAGGCGCCGGGAAAGTGGGACCGGGGCTAGAAGCGAGTCTACGTTGTATCGAGACAAGCCACATTACTTGCCAACGCGGCCAGAACAACCCTAGAATGCGATATTTTCTTTTTTTTCTCTTCTCGGAGAAAATAATTATTAATATGATAATCCGGGAATTAATAGTCCGAAAAGTATGTTGTATAGTCTATATCTTTGAATGGGAACAAATTTATAGAGTCTCGGTTCACGTCACTGGGATCACAAAGAGATCGGTGGAATTTAGTCTGTTTCAGATCAGAGGAACCCTAGTCTTGGTCATGGGAATTATGGGAATAGAGATACAGACATGCATATGCCTCGGGACTATGTCCGGGACCTTGCGGTATAGGCGGGAGGTGACTGAAGTTTGATCTCATAGCGACCTTGTGATTTTCGCTAGTGGCAACTATTAGTCTAAGGGGAGTTACAATGAAATCAAAGAATGGATCAAACCCGGAGAATTAGTACCAAAGGAGACTCCGGATGATATGATCGAAAAAAAATTGAGAAATTGCTTGGCACGTAAACCTTGTGCTATCTGCATTCTGCAGGGTATACGGAGTACTTGTGTACCGACTATGTTTTGACAGCCTATAGGAGAATTGGGAGTAAGGGCATTGATCCCCAGTCATTATTCCAAGAGAATCACTCCTCCGTCAGAGGTGGCACAAAGCAACCAGAACCAAAACCGACGAAAAAGAAAATTAGGATACGCCTTTGTTGGAGAACAACGGGCGAAGAACATTCGAATGGGGCGCCAATCCTAATTGCGATGGATGTACCGGAAGAAACACCGGCGTGTAGTCCGGCAAGGCTTGTCATGGCCGTTTTTCGGCAACTGATCGGCAGGGGTGCTGAAGAGGGGTTGGTTTCAGACCGCGCCCCCTCTTTCTTCTAGCCCTAGAACAACGCCCCCAGTCGACCCAGAAGTAAGGAACGTACCGGACACCGGTGAAAGGGAGAGACGGTCTGGATCTTATGTTGCATGTGAAACATGGCGTTGATCGGGGGTTGGTGTCACTATGAGTGGGCGATTCGATCCATACTGTTTTGATGTGGTGGCGCCTTCATAGTCGGTGTGTCATATTAGTCAGTTTTAGTTGACGCCTATGATTGTGTTGTGATTTGTATGAATAGATGAGTGAGATTTTTTTTTTTTTTCTTCTTGAATCTGAGCTATTGAATCTTACAGTCTTAGAATCTCACACTCAGACCTTGGAACCAAGTTAAATTAATATAGTGCAATGTTTGGTGTTTTTATTGTGTTCCTAGGGTTGTGTTCAATAACACATTGATATGATAGGTTACCCAAAGACCCAGATGACGATGTACCTAGGGTGCACCTATCAGAGATGCTCCCCTGAATGGGAGCCAGGGAACCGCGCGGTCGAGTGCATGGCGAACCATTGAATGATGCAACGCCATCCGTGGTACGTTCTTGCCCCCACTGCACCCCAATTTATGTCGACTTTTTGTCATTGGGCTTTAAATCTCCCAAGGTTGTCTCTCATTGCATGCCTTTATATTCTGCCAGGGGCAAGCCAATTATTGTCCAGGCAAAGTTACAGGTACCAGGAACAGGGTTTCAATGTATTTCCTCGTCACTGCAAGTCAATGTCAAAACTCGATGTAACAAACACCACTATTGTTACCCCATTATGGTCCAGGCTATTGTGGAGTGACCTACGGATCTTGGCTGTGGAGTTAGACCAGATAGGAACTTATTTGATACCGAAGAACTGAAAGAATTAGTGTCAATTAGCGCCTTGGAGAGTGAATTCTTATTGTAAATGTAAGAAATGCCAGAAAAGACGCTCGGTTCAAGCCAATCACCGTGGTTCGAATTTCTGTCAACGGGCCATGGAGTCCATTCAGACCCATCCCTGCTTTCCCCCGCGCCAATGATATTTTTCATGCAACGTTTGATCTGGCCAGAGGCATGGATATGAGGTAGAACCCGCCTCCTCGGCCCCCAATATCCAATAGCCACTTCCTATCTCCACTCCACCGTGAAGAAATGGAATATCTTCCAGCCAGCGAGTTGGGCTGGTAGGTTTGACACACTGATGCCTGGGGGATTTAAACCCTCCGCCTCCCTTGATCTTTCTTTTTTTTCTTCTCTCTCCATCCACCCAACTTTCCTTCATTTATTTTCTGGTCTTCTAGTCCTGTGCCGTGCACGGTCTGAGCCTCACTTTCCTTCAAGACTACATTCCTTTTCACACAAGGTCGAGAACAGGTTTCTCACTCTTCCCCTCCTTTCTTTTTACAAGTCCACTCCTTTTGTGACTTATCTTTCGAAACTATCCAAAATGGTCTCTTTCACCAAGCTTTTCACTGCCGGCCTCGTCGCCACTTCGGCTATGGCCGCCCCCATGCAGGCCAAGCGCAGTACCTCCGGCAAGCGCGGTGCCGCCTACAACGACGTCACTACTGTGTCTGCTCTGAGCACTAGTGGCACCATCTCGTGGGCCTACAACTGGGCCGGCTCCCTCTCTGGCTCGCTCCCCTCAGACATCGAGTACGTCCCTATGCTCTGGGGCCCTAAGATGTTCAGTGGCTGGGTGACCGCTATCGAGACCGCTTTGTCTAGCGGCAGCAGCTACATTCTCGGATTCAACGAGCCCGACATGGCTTCCCAGGCGAATATGAGCCCTACGGATGCTGCCAGCTACTACCAGACCTACATCACCCCGTGGTCTGGCAAGGCGAAGCTGATTTCCCCCGCCGTAACCTCCTCTACCGAGACCGGAGTCGGCCTTGACTGGTTTGAGTCTTTCATCAGCAGCTGCAGCAGCTGCGATATTTCCGGTCTGGCCGTTCACTGGTACGGCGACAGTGCCGACGATTTCAAGACCTTCGTCACTAAGGCCGTCGACACTGCTTCCAGCTACAGCCTCTCTGAGGTCTGGATCACCGAGTTTGCTCTCAGCGCTGATATTAACGGCTCTGCTGACCCCGCTACTACCGCTGCTTTCCTTGAAGAGGTTCTCCCTTGGTTGGATTCGCAGACTGGTGTTACCCGCTACTCTTACTTCATGTGTGCTGAGAACTACTTGCTCTCCGACAGCACCCTCAACGCGGCTGGCGAAGCTTACGTCTCTGCGTAAGACTGTGCTTGTTTGACATGTTGAAAATAACAAAAATTAAAATCACGCAAATAAGAGAGCCCGAAGCGGATTCGAGCAATTTACATACCAAATTTACATTTCTTCTATGGGTTCTGCTGGCGATTGGTCGCTTTGGAGGGTCATGTCTGTTCATATTTTTAAGGAGTTTTTACGCAAATATCCATCACGCCATCTGATTTTTTTTTCCATTCCAAACCATTCCCCCGTATAAACGTAATTCTGTAGTATTAATTTGATGAGGTGGCGGGTTGGCAATGGCCACAATGGGATTCATGGCAAACGAGGCCCGCCACAATACATCACTGCAGGCAGATCTAACAATGCGACATTTAGCCTTAAGGTCTCAGTCCCATTAAGCTAATAATAATGCCGAAACTTGAAACTTCGCTTTCATGTCTATTCTTTGACTCTTAAGTTAGTGCCTGCTATCATATCTCATATCCTGTTCTTTGTTCCTTTGTTCCTTTGTTACTTTATGTGTCTCTTTCAAGTATTAACAATGCATATTGAAATATCGAGTTTCAAGGTCACAATGTATAACAGCTCTTTAGCCACAAAGAGAATTTCCAGTATTAAATAGTGGACATATTCCCTCACCGTCGAATTTCTAACCATCCAAGCATTCAAAAGCATCAAATCTAGCATAATTGCTCAAAGCTAACATGTCACTCCAGCCACCGTCACTCAAACATTGGCCACACTCCTTCGACGAGAGATATATATACAGGCGTTTTGACATAGAAGATAGCCCCGACGACCATCAGGTTCTCCATGGCTTAGCACAAGAGGTCTTTGATATTGTAGCGGTTGAAGCCCTCGACGATGGCAGAGCTATCAATAATATTTTCCGATCAAGTTACTCACGCACTAGAATCCAATTCGAGTGGCGCAAGCGAATACCGAGGTTACCAGCCGCTGTTAGAAATCACGTCACGGACGTTGATATTCTCACTGGGGCGCTTTATAAATACCTCAATTGTATCCAAGATGACTTACAAAAGGAGTTTGAGAGACAGCTAAAAGAAGAACGAGCAGCAAAAGCAGCAGCACAAGCAGCGGGCGGAACGATGGTACCTGGAAAGACAGTAGGTGGAAAGGCAGCAGGTGGAAAGACAGCAGGCGGAAAGACAACAGGAGGACAGGCAGCTGGAGGACAGGCAGCGGAACCAAGTACTGCAAAGCAGCCATCAGAAAGGTCAGTACAAAAGCAACCAGAACAACCGAAGAAATTTGACTATTGTCGGCCCTACATAGTCCCCAATGGTGATGTCCAGATCATCCGGGCAGATCACCCTGACATGCCGATTGCCATTAGGGTAGGTGACTTTTTAACTGAGAGAGAAAATCCACAGGATGTATGCCCAGATGGGGATTGGATCAACATCGCCAACATCAAATTCGACGTGTTCAGAGCAAACCTCGTCCAAGAAGGCTATCTGGTAGGCGGGGACACAATTTGGCTACACCATCTCTCTCTGGACCAAATTAATCCTGCGTTGATTGCTAACCCACAGGCTGGCGAGGTACGGCTGGCATCCTTCAATCTCGCATCTACACTCCTGCGAACTATCCGTGAGCATTGGCCTAAACTTCGAAATCCCTCCCCTGATCCCTATAGAGGTACTAGACGCTCACCTTTGCCTAGACCAAATATGACTATTATCATCCGGAGTGGAAATATAACAGGTAAGACCTCCTTTCTAATTCAGTGCTATTATTCAAAGAGATAATGCTAAAATTCTTCTTCTTCTCTAGGTGGTGCCCTATCTGCTAAACAACCAGCATTAGCTCGTCCCACTGAAAAAGTAGGTAGTAACACGCTCGCTCCTAACCGCCGTTCTGAACAGGTAGCCCGATATGCGGCCAGTAGACACGCCAAAACCAAGCGAAAGAGGGCAGAGGCGGAAGCAGAAGCAACAACAGGAGCAGCAACAGGAGCAGAGGTAGAAATGGCAGCGGAGACTGGAGCAGAAACCGAGGCTCAGATGAATGCTCCAGAGGCCCAGAGAAGAAAGATAGGGGTAGCACCCAAAACTGTCACCGTCCCCGCTGCTGGCCCTGCCCCTGGTCTTAGTCCTGGTTCTGGTCCTGGTCCTGCTTCTAGTCCTCTTTTCGTCCCTGGACCTGGCCTCAGTCCTGGTCCCACTTTCGCCCCTAGTCCACCTTTTGCCCCGGCCCCTGGCCTTAGTCCTCTTTTTGGCTTTGTCCCTGGCCTTAGTCGTGGCCCTGGTCCTGCTTTCGCCCCTGCTCCTGGCGAGGAGCAACAAGAGGAAGGAGGCGACCAAACATCTTCTTTGTTCGAGCTTTTACGTCCTATAATCGTTGAAACGGGACATGGGGGCGATTATGGCCTCGAGCAACAACCCCAGGAAGGTGGTTGCGATAATTCTTCTTTCCAGGCACTTTTAGATGCTCCACTCTTTACCACAGAAGAACTCACAAGCGATGATAGAGCTGCCATGCAAACATTCCTCGAGGAGAATCAATGGGCCGAAGAACCGATTGAAGAGGGAGACCCGATGGAGGAGGATTGAAAGGAGCAATGGGGACAAAAAGGTAAGGAGAGTAAACGACGTAAACGCCGACAGAACTCATTATTATTGTGTTTCCTTAATGCTATACTATGCGAATATTGTATTTTTTATCCATCTAAACTGCCATTCTCTGATCTTGCACAGCAACAAAACTCACGAAGATCATTCTTCCCCCTTGTAAATATAAAAATCCCAAAGAGCCCTGGATCTCAATGTAACTTGACTTTAAATGAATTCAAAGTCTCGCACTATAGTATATGTTCCTGTGGATGGTAATTTAGATCTCAAAAGCCACGTTTCCCCCCTCCATTCTGAATCCGTTTCCCTTGACTTTGAAGCCGTATGCTGTTGTTACTGTCCTTCCAAATATGGTAGATAGTGAGACTGGAAATGAGAGAAAAAGAGACTTCAAGAGTTATATTGAAATGAACAAAAGCCGTCGTCGTTCGTAAGTTGAATTTTTATATAACTAGAACCACAAAGCTGGGGTCTTCGAGAGACTGTAGTCATTGGGAAGGCAGAAAGACAGACATCACCATGTTGTTGCGATATTTCAAGCGCAGGTAAATGGTTTACTTACTGACCCCGACTCAAATTTATCGACCTACGAAGCATAGAGTCAGCAATCTTCCCTCGGAAGGTGAAAGGAATAAGGGCTTACCAGTTCAGAAATGCTAGCATAGGTGCCGCATCCAAAGATGATCATGCCCACCAGGAATACCACACCATTCAAAATTGCAGGCTTCAAATTGTGCTTTTCATACCATGCACCCTCTCTCAAAAGCATATACCACATGATTGGCGGGATATAGAAAGACAGACCAGACACGAACAAGGAAGAAATGATAGAAAGCAATTCAGAAAAGATGGGGATGGCCTCAGCAATGATCCAAGCTAGGAGGGTCACAACAAACACAAGACTAAGCCATGTGCTCCAACCCTTCGCGGTATTGACGAAGCGAACGACTGAGTCCTGGTATATCTTTCCATGGATATATCGACAGACAACAGTTGTATTGATAGACCCAGAAATGAAGATGACTGGAAGCGCTATGCCGAAGACAACCCTTGAGATGACGGGCCCCGCGGACAGCAAAGCAGGTGATTGCACCTCCTGCCCAACAAAGGCATAGATAATTGACCCCGTCAGGGTGTAGATAACAATTTGGATACCTCCTAGCCACCATAGCGTCTTGACATAGTCCTCGGGGGTATGCATATCTTCCATGAATGACGGTAGGCAACCAGCAAAGGAATATGCAAAAATAATATTATTGGTGGCTACGATAGCCGCAGAGAAAGTGAGACCAGGCTTCGGCCAAGCAGACCACGGCGAGAGATCCCCAGAAAGGTCACCCGAGCCATTCGAACTCTGAATACCAGTCGCAATTATCGTAACCCCAATGGCTATGACAATCGACGCGAAATCAATATAGCCCAATATCGCAATCTCCGCAAATGACGGAGGAATAGCGAGCAACATCAGGATTGCAGCAGATGCAACGCTAAAGATAATCGAGCACGAACTGCTCTGAGTAATATTCTGGAACGCGATCGCACCGGTCAAGCAATGCGACCCAATCACAAAGACAAGAAGGGCAACGAAGCTGCCCACGAAAATTTTTGATCCCAAATTCCCCATCAGAAGTTGGCCGACATCTGCATAATGACCAACTTGTGGATACCGCAGCTTGACTTTGCCGATATTGTAGCCCGCGTAGATTGCGACGAAGCCGAGCCCGACAGTTAAGATTACGCCTGCGACCATTCCCAGAGCTGCGAATGCAGATGGTAAACCTAGGCTCCCCAGGGCGATCGCCTCCACGATCGAAATGACAGTGAGTCGTTTCCAGCCCAAACGGCGGAATCGAGCATTTCCTTCTAAGATTCCTTGTAACTCAGGGTCCTGATCTTTAGGGAGAGCTTCGCTGGGCATTGTGTCGAGATCTCGTGGGAAGTTTATCGATGACTTGGCGATCTGTATATCGGACTGGCATAGGCGTAAGTGCAGCCTGGGGAAAGGAAATTTAACAGAAAAAAAGGAAAAATCAAAATGAACAAGAAAGGCGGATCAGATAAGATCAGAAAGGTAAAACCGACCGAAGGTCGGACCAGCAGAGTGGAGTAACCCCCTCAGTAACATGACACTCTACGGAGGATTCTGTACCCTTATGGCCTTATGAAGGCTGTCTAGATGTGGAGCACAGTGGAGTCAGTCAACACGATGTTTATCAATCACAGGGATTGAGATACGGGGAGGGACTGGTGATTCGCAAGATTCCTGGCGCTAGATTCGGTTAAACTATATTCTGCAGGAAAAAGATAGGCCGTGTCGGGGCAAGCCGCAAGAATAATGAGACACTGGCATCCGCTAGGCTTGTACTGGATAAGCACCTGAACTTCCAAGGCTCCTAATGAAAATTTGAAGGTCCCAACTCCCGAAGGTTGTACGTAATTGTTTTAGTTCGTGAAGAATATTTCTTACTTCCCAGGTCGTTTATGGGAAAGGGATTTATCTTTCTCCAGGTGATGTTGGTTTCTACCGCCCTTAAATATAATACAGGTTTGTCGATTTTTTCTTGTCATCTCCGGCTTGTCTGTCTGTTCACGAAACCATCTTCTCGAGATTGGTGATAGGAGACAGCCATGTTGTCTCCTGATTCCGCATAGTGAATGAGTAAGCACTTGATTTCTGATGTGTACAAAAATGGTATCAATAATGAATGAAAAATCCGATAATTGAGTGCACAAGGAATCGGGGACCACATCGCTTGTACATGTGAATGAAGGTCTGTAGAGTGGGAGCCCTGGAGGCCCCGCGTGATTACGTGATCATATCTAAGTTCCGGGAATTGCTACAGACACGGCACGTTTTGCTAGTAGCACGGCACATTAGGTAATATTCCCTTTACATAATCAATTTTGACCGAGATCGTTACCATACATTACCACAGCAACTACATTACTTACTACTGTAGCAACTACATTCTATCTACTACTGCTTCATTACTATAAGAACCCGACCATGAATCAATTCTCTCTAGTCAATCTTATTGTGCTTTTCATCTTATTTACATGCTTTTCACACTCTGCAGGAGCGGATTGTATGGCCAATTTCTCCACAATTTGAGCACTTCGAGGGTGCTTTCTTCTTAGTGACCTTTTGGTTTGATGTTTTGATGTTTTGATCTGATATGTTCTCTTGAGCTGATCTGCGAGTTGGTGGTGGTAATAGAGGATCTAGTATTGGCAGATACATAGATGACTCATTACTAAGGCCAATCCTCCAAAATTGATGGATATCGCTTAGTGGGATTGGTTGATGTTTTGTTAATAAACTAGCGATTCGGTGGGCACACGGAAGGCCCATTGTCCTAGTGAATATATTAGTGCAGTTTGATAAAGGTGCTTCGGGGTAGCTCTCTTAGCTATAGCAGCTTGATTAGAGATTAAAGATATTGAATATCGTGATGTTCTCTTTATAATATTCGAATAGAGAAAGTGGGAGCAGAAATTTAGTCTCTTAATCTTATCTTCTGTAAGATCAGATTCAAGTCGCTGATACTGAGCCTGTAAAGCATTATTAATTCTCTCAAAAACATGAAGCATATCACCTGAAGATCCCCCTATATACTTTTTTAAAAAAGCGTGAGACCCCTCCACTCTTGATGTAGCCCAGTTACCAAGATGAAGATATTGCCCTACCCAAGCCCTAATAAACATCTCTTTATAGGTTAGCCAAGTACTTTGAATATATCTAAGAGCATTAGGGGCAATTTGATTAAACTGCGTTGTGAACTTAGCTAATTGAGCATTATATTCATCAATATTTGATGAATTAATTAGCTCTTTCTATGACTTGATAAAAGCCTCAAATTCCTCATTTGAAGAGAAATATTGCTTTGTCTTTGCCAGCACATTCTTATTAATATGCCAAATGCATAGTAGATGTGGGCTTCTAGGACAGATAGATTTAATTGTACCTAATAAAGCAAGATCTCTGTCAGTGCAAAGAACTGGAGAAAAGGGTAAGGGGTCAAGCTATGAAAAAAAAGTCTGTAAAGTCCACTTATAGCTTTCTTCCTGCTCATTTTGCATAAAGCAGAAAGCAATACTATAGGATGAATTCGATGGCGAGAGACTAATAATATGTAAAAGAGGCATCTTATACCGATTCGTCTTGTAAGTACAGTCTAATAAAAAGACCCTATTATATTGATTAGCATACTTAATTGATTCAGGGTGAGCGAACATAAAAAATTGAATATGACCTTCTATATCTTGTTTAAATGCATATTTCCATTGATTCTGAATTAATATCTGTTGAAGAAGTTTAAGAGGTAAGTGATTCCTAAGCTTTTTCTGTCTTATACTACCTCTTATATTATAAATATCTTTTGGTCTTATTAAGATATCAGGTTGATCCTTTCTTAATAGACTTATAATATGCTGCGGTCGAGATCCAATATCTGATAGATGTTTAATAGTTTGATTTTGATCTTTAGTAAGCTGTGGACGCCTTGCCATAGGATGCCCTATCATATTATTAGTAGCTGCATGATTATGATTAGGATTTCTTACCTGGATTTCCCATTGATTAGTATCAACAAGCTTCTTTGCATAAAGGCGGAATGGGCAGTTCATCCGTCTAGTACTTGTCTTCCGGCGTTTTGCCCCTTCTGGGGCATCAATATGATCATGGTATATACCGCCTCTATCACAACCAAGACAAATATTCCTCTCCTTAGCGGAGTTGATGATAGTGATAGCATAACCATGAGATAGGGCATGCTGTCGTATCGAAGTAAGGAGTTGCTCTCTAGTCTCAAAGACTTGCTCAATTGGTGGCTCCATGATTAGGTGAAATCAAGTATCAATTGGATGAAGTAAGATCAATTGGATGAAGTAAGATCAATTGGATGAAGTAAGATCAATGAGAAGATAGAGTGGTTCTTATAGCAGAAGTAGATAGAATGTAGTTGCTACAGTAGTAAGTAATGTAGTTGCTGTGGTAATGTATGGTAACGATCTCGGTCAAAATTGATTATGTAAAGGGAATATTACCTAATGTGCCGTGCTACTAGCAAAACGTGCCGTGTCTGTAGCAATTCCCTAAGTTCCATGTTGCCGAGGTTCCCGACCTCGGGAGGTCAATTTTTCAAAAACTAAGCTAACCCAGATAGGCATAGCTGATTGATCTATGTATCCAGGAACGGCCACACTGGTGTAGACACCAATCTTCAAGCTACGCGTCTGAAGCTTGGAATATATCGAGTAGCTATCTAGGCAGAGGGGTGTGTTCCGTGGGATCCGGCAGTGACTATGGAACCCAAATGCTCAGTCATGACTTTATCAAAAGACTCGCACGAGAACTGGTATTCAATCTTGGTTGGGATCGAGTATATGGTATGACTTTCAGTAACTGGGTAATGCTGATGTCTCTCCATAGGTGTGCACATACCATGTGCTACGGGACCCTCCGCTTGCACTGTCTCGTGGGGGTTACGGTGAGATGGCGGTCCAGAGGATTGGGAGAGGAGAAGAGAAGAGGTGGAAGGGTGGGGGGAGGCCATTTATACCCCCAACGTCCCGTACCTTCCTAAAGTGGACAGTCTCCTGGCACCTTCCCTGGTTGTCAATGTGACATGTATCTAGAGGCCGCACCTTCCCGTAATTCTCTTCATTTGTATCAGCGCAGCCTGCGCGTGACAAACCTGAGAAATGCCCAATCTTGATCAGCTTATAGTGTTCAAGAGCACGCTATGTAGAGAGTTCTGTAAACTTACGGAAAGGCTTTACGAAACTTATGGCGGATCGCTTGGCCCGGCGCTATGAACAAGGGAAATCATAGTGACAGGAACTCTAGAAATCACAGTTGACTGATGTCTGCGCCTCTATATGAGATTTCTCAAGCTACAAGAATCGTTTACTCGCCACAGGTAGTATGATATTATGAATTTGGCTCACGAAGCAACACGGGCAGAACGTGACCCTCAAAGATATGATATAGCACAGGTCTATAGAATTGCAGGCAACACTGTTCGAGGAGCGCATGGAGGTAGATGAAACGTTTAAACAAGGTCAATAATCTCATAAAAGTCTGCTACTATACCCTGGATTGCCGGGCTTCGCATAATCGTGCATGATGCACATACAGATGAAAGTGAGAGCCCATAGCCATTGTGCTATATTCAAAAACTACGAACTCGGATGAGTTTTTAGACTGACTCCATTGGAAGATGCCTCCAAGCAGACATGCATATCATTTGATGCACTCTCCATTCCCTTGAGAGTCGGATCGGACTTGAACGGAAGTGGCTCGTCAACATGCACATCCGAAAATAATAAAGCCAATGGCGACGATTTCCAAATATACTGATGTCTCGTGCGGATGACCGTGACAATAAGAAAGACAATAGTCAGCACCACGAGAGCAATAGGAAGGCTCATCCACGGCCATCGCACATGAACGAAAGACTGGTTCGTCCAAGCTACACCATCGATAGTTCCGTCGCAGACCTTTGACCGGGCATGGGTTGTAAGCGAAGAAGCTAAGGATTTGAAAAGCGAGTTGATATCGGCATAGCCTCCTGATTCACCATACAATGCTTCAATGATATCGGATGGCCCATTATCGGATCGCCAGGCTGGCCTTCCTCCAAACGTATAGCCGTTGCCTTGGAGTAAGGGACCGACGGAGTTATACATTGCTAGAAGGCTCTGCCAGGCAACGTTGTATGTGCAGTTTTCGTTAGCTTGATATGGAGGTTGATGTCGTGTCCCATTCACGTAGCAAGTGTCCGGGGTCAACGCAGAGTCTTGGCCCCCAGATTTGGATAACAGATAATTTGTTTTGCTAGTAGTTAGGGTGCGCGTTTCTTCGAACTGGCCGTTTTTCACTGATGCGTTGTATGTATCGACGCAGAAGTAGAGCGCGCACTCCGTTGCGGTGATCGGGGGTGGCACCTTGTAGCCGGTAGCGCTGATGGCGGTAAAATTGATAATCAACGGTAGGTTTTGTGCATCCAGCTGAACTAGATCCAGCTCGGTTGATGTATTTATGGTAGTCATCGTCATTCCTGAATTCGTGCTGAAATGTAGTCCATTCGGCAGAGTGTAATTATAGACGAGAGTAGCGTTCAATGGAGGAGGAAGTGAATAAGGTGCATCTGCATGGACGGAATCGGTGATATTGATGCAGCGACTACAAAATCCAAGAGATTGGTATGGAGAAAAGGTACAATTTCCACTGGCACAGTCCATCACGATGGTTTTGCTGTCGGGGCTCTGGCTCTGGAAAATGCCTGTGTATATAGCGCCGAGAGTCACGAGGGGCACTTTCTCGGCGCCGGGGGCGGCGCCTGCTCCGACATCGGTATACAGACTCGAGTTGCAGATTTGTATTGACGATCGGCCTGGGGTGTGAATGGCCTGTTCGTTGATGGCAATCACTTGCTGGACGAATGGATCTGTGGCAACCGCGACAACGAGGATAACACATCCAAATGTGACCAGGTGCCTGTTAATATTAGCATGTTTCTACAGGTATGCACTTCTGCAGTATACCTTTACCAAAGAATCAACCGAACCATCTGTCAGAACTCACCTAGGCAGGAATCGGAAGAGTACCATCGCCGCCCCTAGTGGACCCCTACTGGCAGCATCCAACAGCGCCATATCGCCCAGATTTTTTCTCCGAGTAAACCATGACCATTTGAGTTGAGACAATCCTTCCGTGACGGCGAAGGCCATGGCGGCCTTCATGAAAGTGCTCAGCACTGATACCAACGCGTTGAGCGTGATACCACAGGGCCAGTCTGGTATTGGTTTTCCATCGTAACTCGCAAGCACAACGATAATCGCAACTAGAAAACCCAAGGATAATACACAGCTGAGGACTTCCAGGATCCAGTTGGAAGTCCAGCTCCCCAGGGGGTGGGGCGGCTTCGGGCTCGGGTGGAGCTAATGGGAGCTCCCTGGCATCTCGGAGCCTGTTGAGTTTGATATAGGGAAGTTTGGATCTGTCGTTAGGCCCCATGGTCATGGTACTCGTTCATAACGAAGATTTGGAGGGGCTGACCCGACACAAAACAAAACATGGACTAGTGGAAATAAAAAGGTTTAACGTGTGGCAATTAGTAGCGTCAGTAGTTAGCAAATCAGGGCTGTGCTGACCTGCAGGATTCCGGGGTGGGTTTGCACCAATCATAACTTATTTGGGGGCCATAAAATTGCTGATATATAGGAGAAAGCCCATGGCTGTATGAACCATGTGCACAAATAATGGAACAAGACATATAGATACAACAAAAAGTGTCGTACGGTTGGTCTTGTCATAGAAGACCTCTAATCCCGGAGCAACTCTTCATATATCGGAAGCTTCCAGCCCTTGACAGGATCCGCAGAGAACCTACTGAGAAGATCCAACCTCAAAAAGGCAGCAATTCCCATAAGATGGTTCATGAGAGCAATACCGAATGCCGTGGCCGAAATCCTATCCCAAAGCCCTCCGTCATCGGAAACACCTTCCTGCACCTGGCTCATAAAAGGGCGGAACTTCTGTTCATATGCCTGGAGTGCAGCCACAACAGGGTCTGTCGTATCGGTCCCTTCCACAAAATACTTCTTATAAGGTCCACCACAGTGCCTCTCAATCTCTCCAGCCAAGACATAGGCACCAACAATCCCAGAAGTGGTACCCATTCCTTTCATTGGCGACGGACAATATGCAGCATCCCCGACGAGCGTGACACGACCGCGAGACCAACAAGCCAACTTGACAAGGCCCATACGCTCACAGTAGAAGTTGTCGGCATCTTTGAGGGATTCCACGATCTCATCCGTTTTCCACCCCGCCCCTTGAAGCATCTCCTTCAATGCTTCCTTTTGCTCCGCAACATCACCCTGCAAACGGCCTTTGAGCTGCTCTGAATCCGCCCGGCCGCCAATATATGCCTGAATTTCGCGCGCATTGTGTCTTCGAGTCATGATACCTCGTCCTCCAGGTGCCCTGTAAGTTGTAGCAATATAATCTTCGCCATCTTTAATTGGCCGAGGGAAGGTAAAATATCCGACATAGAGACCGTTGAGGGGATGGAATGCATCGGGGGCTTCGCTTCCGAACATCATCTTTCGAGTACGCGACCCTTGGCCATCGGCACCAATCACCAGGTCAAAACGGCCTTCAGTGGCATTTGCAAATCGAACGTTGATCGATTTTTCCTCGTCGTTTTCCTCGAAGCTCTCAATTGATGTGCCGAAGATATAGTTGGCCCGGCTCTTTGTTACATCATAGATGATTCGACACAGATCGCCTCTCATGATCTCGAAGTTGGTACTAAAGCCCAAATTGACATTTGCAGAATCGTTGGCTGGGAAATAGGCTTGCCGTTTACCCGCTTTGTTGACTATTTGCATGCCCTGCTCTGGGATGGAATGGGCCTTAAAGGCCTGTTCGAGACCCATGCGTTTCATAACTTCGACTCCGTGGCTGCGTAGATCGATTTGGAGTCCCGAAGCCCGAAGGAAAGGAGAACGCTCGATGATTATGACGTTGTGGCCTAGCTTTGAGAGCCAGAAGGCGAGAGAATTGCCGGTGATACCTGCACCGCTGATGAGGATCTTCATTGGTGCCATGGTATTTCAAAATGTGGGTGGTCGACTTGTCGTAAAACAGAAGGGCAAGGTGGTCTCAGCAAGGCCAAAGGATATTGGCTCTGAGGAGTTTAAATAGTGAGTCCGGTATCAGTGTATAATAGTTGAGACCGATTATCTCCGCCCCGTATTAAGACCGCTGCTTCAGCCGATTATTGGAATCAGAAAAGGTTAGTGATAGCTCAAGGAAGACTTACTCGCGCAGTACAGATATTTTATTAGCATAATTGCGATTAGTTACATATGTAAGTTCTTTTTCCAGTATTACTGAGTTAAGATTGTACACGGAGTGGCAAAACTAAAAAAAATTACAAGGCCCCCTAGAAGAACAATATATATACATAGGACATAGGCCAGAAAGAGAATTACTATTGTATGAAGGTATGAAGGTATCAAGGAAACCCAGCATCTGGCAAAAGAAAGCCCCAGTCCAAGTCCAAGTCGTATCCAGAACCAGGACTTTCGGACCCATCATCAAGACTTGACCCGGATGCAAATCTACCATTGTCGGCAATTCCCAACAGTGAAGAGTCAGCCTGAGCTAATAAAAGGCCATGGCAGAATTCAAGGCTGTCTTTCGCACTCCGTGCCATAGCCAATTCACAATCGGCGCCCGTTTCCACTGCCTCGACCTTCGCCAAGATCATGCTGAGAAACATATGGCCCTTGATATTTGTCTCTCCATAGCGAATCCGCTCAGAAGAGAGAGTAATCAAGTTATTGACAGACTGCTTGAGAAGAATAATATAGTCGCAGTTGCGGTGCAATGTTCCGTCCATGTGTTGAGCTTCGAGCTGGGCTAGGAGCTCAGTGGTAAGGACAGCCATCGCGCACCAGATACCCTCTCTGAATAAGCCCCCACCATTGACCATTAGTTTGGAGAAGCCGTCATCTGGTTCAGGCGACATGATAGTCATGGCTGTTTCCAGGCTGACTTTTAATGAGAAGGTGAATAATGGGTTTGTGCGGGCTTTATTTGTAAAGTGACAATGCAGAGGGATCATGAATCGACGCACGAACCAGTCAAGTAGGTTTCGGTGGAATGGCGTTATGCTGGAACTTTGATTATCCTTCATGAAACTGTGGTATGCCTGAGACACATTGCTGAGTTCTGAACTCAAGGCAAGGACATCCAAGTAAGAGATTTGTGTGTTCAAACTGGTCAAGAGATGGAGTATCCGGAGGCGGACTGGCAACGAGTCAAGCAGTAAGATTTGGAATGAGGTAGTGGTGTAAGTGCCCTTGGGGTGAGGATGAAGTATCGTGGTAGTTTCCTTAATTTCATCGTCATTGATATTTGAAGGGGCTTCAGTGTCAGACTCAGGGATTTTGGCTGGCATGGCCGAATCTAAAGATGACTGCGCAGTCATTTCAATAATTGTGGTCCATAGCCTCCTACGGATTTCGGCCTGCAACAAAGATATCCCCGAGAGATGCTTGGGATCTCGGTGTAGGTTTATTTGCATAGCTTTGTGGACGAGAGTTCCCATGGAGGTCCACACAAGATCAGCGCCGATGGAGAAAATTTGTCGAGCTATAATTGTGAGGCAGTCGATTTGCAGCGCGGAAACACTCAATCGGTCCTTTTCCAGTGGCCCAGAAAGCCATGCCTGAGCAGCATATACCCATAGATGAACCGCTTTTCGGAGTCCGATCTCTGTAATTTCATCCTTGTGCAGACTTGACCCTAAGCCAATCACGAGAAGAATTTTAAGGCGTAGCTCATTGGAGGCATTATGCGGATCGTCCCAATATCTTTGGTAATCAGCCCAAAAGGAAGGTATATGAAGTATCCGGTGTGTTGACTCGAAGGATTGCAGATATAAGGTTACCATCATATCTGATATCTCGCGAGACGGGAATTCAAGGCCAAGCTGGGGATTCGATAGTGATCTGCTAGGCCGCCAGGTCTTGATACTTCTCGCTATGTGTTTGCATTTTTGAAGTAGATCACCGACTTGAACAAGAAGGGCTTTGGTTTCGGCACTTTTGAATGTTTTCACTTCACCTTTTCCAGTAGCCTCGGCATAAAATTCCAGAAAAGGCTCAAACTTGCGATATAATTAGTGGAATGATTTAAAGCGCATGTCAATGCATATCGTACCTCTTTAGCCGTACCCATCCACATACTCCATCGCATAGCTCTAGTTTTTGTGAAAATCCACTGAAGACCTTCTGGTTGGGACGGGCGGCCAAATATTTCCCGACCCGTCTCGGATAGGCCATGCACAGGTGTTTGTGCCGAAGATTGTTCTAGGCTCCGAACCCGTTGTAAAAGGTCTGTAATGGCTGATTCTGAGTCTTGGATTCGCCTTTGCTGTTCATTATGAATTTGACCAGGGAAAACCGAACCATGATGTGGTGTTCTTGCTGGTGTCGGAGTCCCTGTCGCAGTAATGCGAGGCTCTAATAGCTGGTCATGATCTCCAGATGTTAGGGATTCTCTGATTGATCGAGCATTTGGCGATGGTGAAGGTTGAAGGGTACCCAGTGTTGAGTGTCTTGAGGTGCCTTCTAGAGACTGTGGTGGGGACCTGGGTTGATCGCTGTAAAGTTTGTAGGTACATCGGATGTGGATGGAGGCACAACGCGTGCAAGGGTCATTTCGGTCACAGCGGATTTTGCGACGGCGACACTCAATGCAAGACCGAGCTGGCCTTCGGCGCCGATGGGGTTGAGACTCTTGAGACTCCATGGAGAAGTTGTTTGGATGTGATTTTGATAGAAAGAAAGTCTGCGAGAGCGGAGATTTCGGTAAATGAAAATGCCGCGTTATGGCCGCTTATCCCCGTTGACAATCAACCATCGAGAACAACTTTGTAATAATTGACCAATAAACCGTACTTGAATTCGGTTGTCTGTTCTTATTATCCAAAGTCTTGTAAGGTTAATGACCTGCAGGTTCTATGGTCCTTGACTCCTTGTGCATCGAACCTGCATATCTGTCTCATCTCCGACGGTGTTGCTTGTGCTCCGTCGGACGGATAGGGAACATGTGAAATCTGAAGTGCAACTGATTTGATTTAAAAAAGAGGAAGATAATGCAATGACCTTTAGTTCATCAATTTATTCAACTTTGATCAATCTATCAAATGGCTCTCCTATCCCTTTTATTCTCGCCATGGACTATGGCCGTGGCCATTCCCGTGTGGTTCGCGTTCTACTACATATACCCCTATTTAGTATCATACGGGCACTTACGTCAAGTCCCGGGGCCTTTTGTTGCTAAATTTAGCAACATATGGGTCGGATTAAGTGCCAGACATGGCCAGAAATATGCGGCAGTTGATGCGGCGCATCGAAAACATGGCAAAGTCGTCCGTATTGGTTTCAACCATGTGTCTATCGCCGATGAACGGGCTTTGAATGTTGTTTATGGGCACGGAAATGGGTTCCTAAAGGAGTAGGACATATTTCTTACCAGAATTGAGGTTTACTTGTGTTAACGAAACATCTCTAGTCACTATTATGAAGCATTTGTGGCGCGAACCCCGGGCATGTTCAATGTTCGCGACCGCGCCGAACACACTCGCAAGCGGAAGATTATATCCCATGCTTTCTCTCCCAGATCAGTCGCTGAGTTTGAGCCATTTATGGCAGAAAACCTACAGCGATGGATAACCCAGCTGGACCGGATCGCGGCTTCTCAGCCACAAAATAATGGGACGGGATTTGCTCGATACAATGCAATGCCCTGGTTTAGTTACCTTGCTTTTGACATAATCGGAGATTTGGCATTTGGTTCACCATTCGGAATGGTGAACAAAGGTAAAGACGAGACTGAGACGCAACTTGTGACCGGAGGACCCATTTCATATACCCCGGCAGTCGATGTGTTGAATAGACGAGGCGAGATCTCCTCGACATTGGGCCTTCTTCCAGCACTACGTCCATGGGCCCGATACCTCCCCGATCCATTCTTCAGCAAGGGCGTAGCGGCCGTGGAGAACCTGACAGGGATTGCTGTCGCCGCTGTCGCGTCACGACTGGATGCTGCGGAGAAGGGAATGATCGATTCGCGCAACGATATTCTTTCGCGCTTACTACAAGCAAAAGATGCCAATGGAAGGCCAATGGAGCGGGATGAACTCATTGCAGAGGCTCTGACGCAGCTTATCGCTGGCTCTGACACAATATCCAACACGGCCTGCGGGATATTTTACTGGATTCTGCATGGAGAACGCAGTGCACCGGGCACAATAATCCCCCGACTACGAGAGGAGTTGGACCGAGCAATTGACCCCGAAGCAAAGATCGCATCTTATTCTGAAATCAAAGATCTCCCATTCCTGCGAAGATGCATTGATGAAGCGATGCGACTTCATTCTACCTCAGCTATTGGTTTGCCACGTTTGGTTGCCGATCATAGTCCCGGTGTCGATTTCGATGGCTTCCACTTCCCCCCTGGAACTGTACTTTCAGTACCCTCGTACACTATCCATCATATGAAAGATATTTGGGGAGAGGACGTCGAAGAATTTAAGCCTGACCGCTGGCTGAACCTGACTGCCCGACAGAAAACTGCTTTCAACCCATTCTCATATGGTCCCCGGGCATGTGTTGGACAGAACGTTGCCATTATGGAGCTGCAGCTGATTATTGGAACTTTGTTTCGTCGATACGAATTTGCGTTGTACCAGCCAATCATGGAGTCACACGAAGGTTTCTCGAAGAAGCCCAAGGAGTGTCAGGCAGGTCTTAGACTGAGAGAGTGTAGTTGAAATCCCGGTTTTTTTAAATTTATATATGGAGTTGATAGGAGCGAATGGATCATATCAATATTTGTTAACTAAATTCAAATCACATTACCAAAGAACATATCTTCAAGTGATGGAAACTCCTGCTCGATACTCCATTCGTTACAACCCCAGGGATCAGTGAAATTTTGTACTGACTACGGCATATAGATCTCTGTGCTATTTTCTCCCATCGAAGTCACGCAGTCTTCTTGTTCAATGCGGTCTGCAACATGTTGCTTCATGATGTTTAGAGACCACCGGCTTACAGGTTCGGCTTTGCCTCCACATTGAATATGAGAGACAGCTTGTTCCATGAGAATGATTATACTCCCCACATCATCTAGATGAGCCACAAATTCGGCCAGTGTCACCATTGCAAATGAACAAAGCACGTTTTCGTAGGCAGGATGGATATAAGTGGTCAAATCTGACATGGAGACAAATAGATTCAAAAGCTGATGCGACTGGCTAATCGCGAACCGAATTAAGGGGAGTGTTGATTCTTCTGGTGTGATTCTGGAATTGCTCGTTTCCTCGGGTTGAGTTTCACTCATAGTATGTTGAAGTGCGCGACGTGCCAGGATCAAGTAGGTGCAGGAGTATGCAAACCGTAGTGGTTCAGAGGAATCAAGCTCTATGAAAATTGGACTTAGCATTTATGTAAGTAGTCATATTTGAAATTGCATACTGTATATGTTCTCCTGGGACTTGCGTAAATTGTCGATTTCGGGCCAAACGGCACTTCCTCTTTCTATCACGTTGGAGCTTATAACTTCCCAAAGGAGTCGGTATAACCTGACTCCAGCCAGTACGAGTTCATCGCGTGCATTGTATGATGGAAAATCTAGGACTTTGATGCATTGGTCAAAATACTGACTGGATATGATCGGTGGACGACCAGAGCCCACCGAAAACCTGAGATCGGTGTTAGAGATTCTTGACATAGACATCGAACGGATGGGAAGTTGGTCATTGTAACGCACTGTAACTGACAGAGACAAATCAGGTTCCACGTGCGCATTATTTCTTGTGCTTGGGCTCGTTCGCTTTCGCCGGCGTCGGTTGTGTTTGGAAGCTGCCCAAATGGAGTAGTCATAATCACCCGCATAGCAGCCGTGCCGCTGAGGAGCCACGAGGTACCATGATCAGGGCCTAAAGTTGGTCGCAGGTCCCACATGGAAAATATCAACATCGACTGTATTGTGTCGAGCGAGGCAGTCGAAGAAAGATGTGCCTGGCCGAGCAGTCCGTGAACATGGCGATACAAAGCTTGATGTGTTGATGACCCATGCAAAGAGGGAGTAATATGAAGACCTGCCAAAATGCAAGTACCAAACAGGAGTGGTGATTTGGTGCGTAGCTGGACGGGGTCTGTACTCATGAACAACCAGCGGTTGGATAGTTTCGAGAATCTGGAAAATCAGCCTCGGAAAAGGTTCCAAAGAACTGTATTGATAGCATACTCACCCTTTAAGAAGCATGATAGCAAGTTCCTCGGAAACCATACCGTTGATTATAATGTCTTCAGTGCTATCATCGCCGGCCGAGGGTTGTTCATGCAGCGTGATGTTCTGTCGGATCTCTTGGATAAGATTCATGGGTGCATCGCGTGCAGTTCGTTCAATAGTTGATGAAGTTATCTATAGTACCCAATCAATTATATTGCCAAGATGAGCCGTAGATATCCAAAATTACCCCTGGTTTATTCCGGCAGTCGCTATCACTGCGGACAGATAGTGATGCTTGGAGTTGACTCAAGGTAGTTTCCACCGCACAGAGCCTATTTTTCATCAGTATATTGCAATAGAATCTACAAAATTCAATTATGGGAGGATATACCGTGTATTGTACTCATCACGGCTTGTCATAGGATCCACCTCCGCGTCTACCAGCGGTTCGGGATGACTGCGCGAAATGGCCTGGAAAGAGCACTTAATCCTAAATATGGTCAGATATGAAATCCCAGTAACCCGATTTCTCAATCTGGCTTGCTACCGGAGAACCTCGCAGCGATGACATCGGTCAGAGTTGCCTGTTTCGCATCGCGTTTTCAAGCGCCGACAAGCCTCGCAGGATCGCGCTTTGCTCGCTTTTGGCTTGCCTGGAGCATCTCTATTTCGTCTTCGCTTCTTAATACATGGCTCGGGAAAAGGCATAGTTAGGTAATAATATGAAGTTAGTTAGGTGACATGGATCAGAGAGGAACGAAGATAGTGTGTATCCCACTCTTGGAGACGAGGAGACTGTTGGTTTCATGTTTGCCTGCAGATGCGGGCATATGCGCCTTGTTTGTCAGGCTCTTATGAACTGATCGACTATATATTACTACGTAATTCTCCCACTTGTGTAACGCCCATTGAAAACACATGCTCTAATATGTATGTTGTTTATGTGGATACCTACATCGCTGGCTTGAATCTCAACCCCCACCTTTGGCTTGCTATCACACTGATAACCTCCACTACTCCACTCAAAGTCTTCAATCTAAATTAAAGTCTTTATCTGATTACATCCACTGTGCTGTCATAGTGGGTGGGCCTAGCAAAATGGTAAAAGATCAAAGTATGGGGAGCCGAACTTTATATCCGCTGCCGGAACAATACAGCAACTTCACTATGAAGATTTTACTCGGATACAACATCTGCGAAATAATATTTGGTAAATGAATTCGATTTATCAACTTGTTTAATGAAAAACGCCAAACAAGTTACTGCGTAAAATGTGCTAATAGCGCCAAAGACCGAGCAGCCTCACCAACATCAACATCCAGTAAAATACAACCGAAATCCAAGCCTTTTGACACCCTACCTAATCCAAAGACTACCATCACCAACATCAGTATCCAATAAGACCAAGCCTTAAGCCATTTGACACCGTGGCCGACCCAAAGAAAAAAAAAACCCCCTAAATTAGACTGTATTTCCTGTTGGAGCCCCGAAAAAATACCCCGTGAGGGTCTCGAACGCTTCGGATATCGATGTCTTGTTGTTCAATTCGTAAAGATCAGAAGAGTGTATCATAAGATATTTTGATCAGGAATCAAAATAGGACTCCAATAATCGCGCATGCCTTCCCGCCAATGAGATAAGTGAAACCTATAGAATATCCCGTCAGAAATATCAAAAGATACAATGGTATAGGGGAAATGGAGAATAGAGAATTACCGGTGCTATTTGATGGTGGACCAAGCGCACTTTGCTCAATTGGCCCAACACCAGGCGAAGGCTGATCAAGACCTCTCCACGGAAACAAGTGTTACTGTCGGCCTCTAAGTCATTGTATATGACTGCTTTGAAATGCGGAAATTCCCTTCCAGCACTAGCCATCGTCTCAAAAGCGCCAAGTGAGGGGAAGCCAAGTGCGGAAGCACCATACTGATACAAGTCCTTGTAAGGGGTATAGTCGCCAGGACTGTTGAATGGCATTAGACACGACAAACCGACGGACCGACATAACTCCAAATAGCGGTGGACTTACTCCTTCGAACGCCACGGCCCGTAATCATTGAGATCTAGTTGGTGGAAAGCATAAGAGCTCCAATCAAGGTGAATATTGCATGCAAGAGAGTATGGGTCTGAATGAGCTGGACTATCGGGTGCACAGGCCTCCTTAAGTATCTCATCGCTGGGTTTCGGGAGGTTTGGTCTTGGCACAAAAAAGCGGGGCTTGAGCTCTGAGTTTTGATCGAGACTTAGTGGCAGAGGTTGACGTTAAACTCCTTGAGCCGTGTCGCATCAAGTTTGTGCTCTTTAAGGGCCGCTATGGATTCCTCAAGTTCTATTAAGAACCAACGCTGGTTTAGATGCTCGTCTGTTTCGTGGACTTTATTCTTTGAAGGCATGTTTTCGTAGATGAGAGGTTTGAGGTTGTATAGTGATCAATAAGTTGCAAAGGAGTGGTGGGTTTGAATAAGTAGAACCAGATGCCAGGCAGGGTTTTTTTTGGTTGGAGATCCCTGGCAAGAGCGTGGAGATAAGAGTGGTGGAGTGAAGGAAACTTTGCCATTGCCCGACACTACCAGCGCGAGGTTGTAAAGACCGAATCTGAAGTCAACCCTCAAGCCTTTGATACGCCTATTGCGGCTCGAACCCCTGCAAAAAGATCCCTCGCTAGCGAAGGGAATGGGTGGACTTAGGTTGGATCCCTTTGAGACTCCAACTAGAGAAAAATCCAACTCGTCATCTAGCAAACAGCTTCTTCTCTTGGACGATGAGAGCCCAAGCCCAAACTCAAGCTCGGATCTAAGCCTAAGCCTAGGCCTCAGCCCGCCAAATACAATCTTGCGGGAACTGGATAAGATTTTATACCCACCGACGAAGGACGAACAATTTGTGAACACAGCACTGATAGCATTTCTCAATGCTCTGACCACCCACTTCGATTTCTACTCGAACTGGACCTTGCACAGAAATCCATTTATCGCTACCTTTGAAAACGCTCAGTTTGAAGCAAGGACGGACGGCTATCTTGATAGTCCTGGTGGGGAAGACTAGGGTCCTAATCGAGGTCAAACCCGTCATGATATTTCGATATTCTACATAAATTCAGATGCAGGAGAGCGCCCAAATGGTCGCTTGGATTAGAAGTGATGACGACCTAGCCCAGAGCACCAACACCACGTATGCATTTATCTTTTCTTGGGTCAACCACGAATACTGCTAACATCATAATAGGCGTTTTCATATATCCCAAGGTCGACATCAGATCTTCGTGACCGTTGCTGAGTATGGTGAGAAATATCTCAAATACCTGAACGATAAAAACCCTTCACCTTCGGATGACCTTTCGACATTCTTAACTATGAACCAGTACGGTCCATGGGATACCTCGAAGAAATCATCTGTAAAAGAGATAGGGACGATTATATTAGCAATCACCTTGCGAACTGAAAAAGAAATCAAGGAAGAGATTAAAAAAGAGATCAAGAGGAAGGAGAACGAAGAAGTATAAGTTGCACATCACGTTTGTACCCATGTTGTGAAGGCGATTAACTACCTACTTGTGCATATCCTCCATTGTTCGTGATTTCTGACATGGCGGTTCTATTTATTCTTATTGAAAGTGTGTTGTATGTCTTGTATTTGCTATCTACCGCGCATAGAGCATTTAAATCAACTCCTAAAGATCTGATTTTCATGTAAACAAAAGCAAACTGCATCAACAGCGCTAATCTTACAGTTGATTCAATATTGGGTGTTGGCAATAAATACGACCGAACTGGAATTCTCATCATCATATATCTATTGTTAATACTATTTATTCGTTGGAATTGCATAGAACCCCAAATCTCGAAAAATGTTCAAGGCGAATATACCTCGCGAAGCTGAAGCTCCGGGCACTTGAAGTTTGGATCAAGTTCCTTCTCCGACAGGTCAATTGGCTGTTCGTGCTGAAGCAGCCGAGCAATTTTGACAGCATCCAAAACACCCCGCGAAAGAGTGAAAATCTTATCCATTTCCTCAAGACTGCGCCCGGCGGTCTCGGGAAACAGGTAATAAATAACAGGTATCATCAATGCATTGCAGCCGGCGAAAATGACAAAGTATGTCTGTCCCATGCTGTTGAATGCAATGGGTGTGACAGCAGTGAGTATGATGCTGACCGCCCAATTTATGCTGATGCTAAAACTGTTGATGGTCGTGCGTAGATGCAAAGGCGCAATCTCCGTGGCATAGAGATATGGTATTGCGCCAAACCCGATGATGTAGCTGAAATGAAACAGGAAAATGAAGAAAACAGCACCGCGCATTGCGAGTGGATTGTCCGCCTGAGTTCCGAGGCCAGCTACTAAAGCCAGACAGACGACATTTCCGATTGCACTGCCTAGAAGCAAGACACGGCGACCAAGCCTCTCGATTTTGAAAACACAGAAGATCCCACCGATGGGACCGACTAACTGATAAACTGCTGCTAGAACTGTAGATGTTGAATTACCTAATGAAAGGTTGTTTTCGAAGATTGCGGTTGCTAACGGGCACACAATTAGTCAATATGCCATGGGAATAGGGCATAGATGATTAGGAGTACGTACTGTAAAATGTGATAACCGTTGAGCCGGTGAGTTGTAAGAACAACATCGCCAAAGCAGCAATCATGGCTCGGTGGAAAGATCTTTGTGGGCCCATGTGGAATATTTGTCCAAGTGACTTTTCCTCAAACAAGTCCAGTGATTTTTGGACATCCTTGATTTTTGCTTCCACGACTTGATCACCGACAGATGTATCTTCGAGAGCTGCCAGGACTTCACTAGCCTCCGGGAGTCGACCTTGTCGGATAAGCCACCTGGGGGATTCTGGTAACAGGCAGATGAACACCAGAATCGCGATAGAAAGAAGCATCACAAAAGCGAAAGGAAACCTCCAAGCAACGTTGCCTTGCGTGAATGACATCCCAAAGTCGAGAAACAGGGCAAGGGCACACCCCAAACCGCTGAATATTCCCTTCATGCCGACGTGAGCACCACGCTTATTGGCAGGTGATATCTCAGATTGCCAAAGAGGGATTGTGGCTAGTAGAACACCAGTGCCTACACCTAGGATTACCCGAGATGTGACAAGTTGGGCGAGTGAGCCCGCACTAGCCATCAAAACAGCTCCAATGACTTGGACGACGGCTCCTGCCATTATTGTGCGTCGGCGGCCAAATAGGTCACCAAGCCATATGCAGGAAAGAGTTCCGAAGAAGCCTCCTATGGTGTAGGAGGCTACAACAAGGCCTTGTATTGTTGACGCATGTGGTTTGTTACTGGCTGCAGCAATGTTTATTTCAGGGAACTGTTCCTCGAAGCTCTTCAGTGTCAAGACACCCCCGAGTAGTGATGCATTGTAGCCTACTGTGAGGATGCCAGGCATGAGAACTCCCAGAATGGCTGCGATATTGAGGCTATTGCCCCGAAGGCCGAGGAATCGTTGCATATGTAGGAGTGGATGAGGATCAATGGGTAATATAATTATGATGGATCGGCAGGATTGGGATCGACACTGATCAACAGATCGACAAAGTCTTCTGTAGCCGCTGCCAACTTGATGAAATCCCCGAGATTTAAAGAAACTGGGGACAGTCAAGAACCGGGTATTTCGGCTCGTTAGTATCAGGCCCTAGACATTCCATCCTGTGGTGCATTATCTTTTCATCGCCATAGAACCAAAGTAGGATGTTTAAGCCACATGACCCAGAAGAGGACATGCAAGGCTAATGAACTCATTCTTCTCGATCCGCTCTAGAACCAATGGCTTTCAGTAGCCAGGCCGACAATATCGGGAGGGAAAGAGAAACACAGAACAGAAATGGCCCTTGTGACAGGGCTAAAGAATGTACAGAAAGGGAGAGTAGTAGGAGAGGGAAATGAGGGATTGGTAAACGGCTTGGTATGGCCGTTGCAGAAGACACCAAAGTCTGGAGTAACTGGCACCCAAGAGCCGACGCAAGGGGAAAGCTCCATATGAGGGCCTAGGCATCTCCAAACCAACGCGCTGAATTTTTGATGTGCTAAACCGTACGGAGTAGGTGGTCGTTTACTCTCACGTTAACCTTCGGCCTACAATAAAAGAAAAGTAAGGCTGCTGCGTATTGTAGATCACGCATGAAGCATTTGCTGTCAGTCCTTTATGGTAGTGAATAAAATAACATGAACAGATATATCCCTCGATTACAACAATATTCCGATGAAAGCCCGCCCGGGCCGACCCTAAAAGACCCCGGTTTTCTAAGTTCGTATGAAATAGAGCATAAAAGCCCGAAACTTACCCCAAATGCCAAGGGATCAAGAATTCCACATGGAATGATACCGTACAATTGGGTTACAATTCCTCTATGTGGTACCTTCCAAGGCTAACCTCTCATTCAGTTTTACAAATTGAAACTACACCTTTTGCAAGAACTCCTTTGGGGAGTAAGGGGATTTGAAATGATTTTGGTAGCCAAGATCGAAGATACACAAGTTGACCCAGTCCTCTGACCAGCCAGCTTTAACAAAGCTTAACCCTAGAGAGCAATGGTATTGTACCAATGTCTATAAATGTATAAATATTGCATAAAATCTAACTAGCACTTTTGAAATATGAGCTAAGGCAAGGTTAATTGACAAGATATCCAGTAGGATAAGCAAACTCCCTGTGCTTGATCGCTTTACTCGACCATGGCACATCCTCATCCTTCCATTGTGAGTAAACAGTTTCCCCACCAGCGACCAATTGGTGGATATTACGCCTGGTGCTGTATACCATATTCCAGGCCAGCTCTTCGTGGAATTCAGCCGCGTTGTTGCTCTCGATATCTGAATCCCGAGCAGCCGAGCCGGCCTTTCTATATGTACCAATCAAGTTGGGAAACGGGGCCCAGCATTCAATCTTTTCACGCCCATTAGCACCTGCGCACAACTCACTCAGGGCATCATCTACCGGCTTATCCAAATGATCGATGGAAAGCGCGGAAATAATTTTTCTAGCACCCTTAGTCGTAACTGCATAGCCAAACATGCAGCAGCCCATTTCAGCACGATAAATAAATCGCGTCGAATCCTCAGCCAATTCTGGATATTGTTGCTTCCACTGGTCGGTGGGTCCGCCCCAGGTGGCTCGGTGGTAGGCCTTTGGAACTGTGGGGTCCATGGGGATAGCGTAGAAGCTTGTTTCGTTGGCGTTCGGTCCCGAAGCACATCCACCAATCCAGAGGAGATCCCAATCTATTCCGTAAGGAGCTTCCTGGGATACGAATTTGGTTCCTTTCAAAGAGTGCAGCCCGCGTGCAAATTCCGCAAGCTGGGGCTTGAGGTTCACGTCCCAGTCTGCATCATCTTCCATAATCAAAGCAGTCGAGTAACCATTGCTTATCACACTGTTGGTTTCCACATCCACATGTTAGTACGGCCTCTGGATAATGGGGTGAATTATGACTGTACTTGACCAATGCGTTCATGTGCGCACGCCAACATGCCACAACAGTGGGCTTCACGAGTGAGGGGTTCAGTCCCTAAGAAAGCATCAGAAGATTCTCTGGGGATTATTAAACTGAAAATCGTACATCAGGCATGGCCTTGGGATGTAGATCATCCGGTCGCACTCCATCGAGCCATTCCACCTTGAACCCCGATACCGAGGCTGCCAGTGTCAGGAAATCGCGCTTGTCGGTCCGCTCTTTCATACTGATGGCATAGATATGCTCAAACTAAAATTCAATGTCCAAGTCAGCAATTAAGTCAATTATACAGTAGGCAAGGTCTCACCCCAAGAGTGTTGTTCTGGATATGTTCAAAGACACTATCGGCCATGTAGTTCCGCGAAAGATCGGGAAGCGAGGGAGACCATGATATATCCCCGAAATCTCTGACAAGCAGCGTGCACAGGATATAAGCAGTAAGAGCCGCTGCCACGGCCACTTGAAGGACGTTTCTCCTAGCGATCATGGTGGGCAGCGTGAACAATAATGAGGAATGATGAGAATCAAATAATTCACACCACCTCAGAAAGATCGAAGTCCAAGTAGATGAAAAGCATTGCGATAGAAAATAATTTTTCCTTTTACATCCCTCAAGTGCCGGAAACAGCTATGGATGCATCGCGATCGAGCTTGTCCAAATGCGGATCTGACATACACGTGACAATGTAGATCGGTGTTCGTTGCCTTACGTATAAGGCCTCTAGTGGCAGCTTGGCAGCTTAGTTATTTACTTTTCACGGTACATGGCCGGCCAGAATGAGTAAATGCACAGAAAACCTTTGGCACCGAGATAGATGTATGTTAGGATATGAATCGTATTATCGATGCTTCAGATAAATGGATATGGCGCCCGGACTTGATGCATAGTCCGTCCGTCAGCATGAGAACGTTCTCTTTTTGAGGTCGAATGCGCGTAAGGATTTTGATGGTTAAATTTGTTGAGCATCGGTATAAATCATTTTCATTGACTGGTTTGGATGCGCTCGATGAAGCAGTGGATGGTGAGGAAAGAGGCCCGATTTCGCTCAACCACATTATATTGGATAGAGGAGAATATTCCGGGGAAATTTCAGCTTTTCTCTGTAAAGCGACTTAGAATTAAATAGAAATCATTAAAAACGCAAAGTATTAGAACAAATGCAAACTATTGGAACAGAAGGTTTTCTATAGGAAGCGATGGTGATGTGAAGTTCACGATATCTGGTTTGATGTGTCCCCTTGGCCCCTTGCACGTGATACCACAGGGATTCCCATGTTTATTCTCAGGTCTAACACTCTCTCATCTACTTAATCTTGACTCCCAGCCCCTGTTTTGTCAATGGACTTTGCATAACACTTGACCAATCATGCAGCTTTACCGTGCTTTCCTCGCTTAAACGAACCTCCTCGCCTGTCCGCATGACCATCTCCTCCTCGTACGCCTGTATAGCCGCGGCACGTTCCTCAATGGTGAAATCACCACTGTTCCAGAATGACTCAATTGCCTTACATGCGGTGTAAGCGTCCTTCATAGCATGGTTGAGCCCCTGGCCACGCTGGAAAGTCATCGGATGAGCAGCATCACCTGCTAGAGTTACCCGGCCCTGACGATTATCCCACCGATGCTCCAACAGACTCGGGTCCCAGTTTCGAAGCTTTGAATACCAGACCTCGTGATCGGGGGGGCATCCACTCAAAGACACTGCGCCAGGGGTCGACAAACCGACGGGCCAACTCCTTCTGGTGTGCAACATGTTCTCGCATAGTTCGCTTATTGACATGGTCGCGTGGTTCTGGGAAGGAGATGTAGTGGGCGAAAGTCCAGTTCTCCGGGTGATCGATATCGTCCCCGTCATGGAGGCTTAACCAAGCACAATAACCCTCGGGATGAAGACCCACTTGGTACAACGGATGGTGGGGTTGAGTACGTAAGAATATGGCATGCTCTCGCGTATGCTGGGTGTAACAGATGGTCGAGGCGAAATCAGTCGGCGTGACTTTGGCAGCTTGCTCTCCAACTAGCAGTGTACGGGTAGTCGAATGCGGACCATCGGTGGCAATTAGAAGACTACCAGTGACTTCTGTGCCGTCTGTGAACTTCGCAGTGACGTGTTTGCCGGCATCAGAGTAAATAATATCACAGAGGGACTTCCCCCAATGCACGTCGAGGCCTTGGAGCAACAGTGCCCGGAATTTGTCTCGGCGCAGGCGGTACACTTTGGACGACTGGAGCTCAGCGATCAGAGCTCCATTCTCACCATTAATCATGGGGAGTGGACCATTTTCTGCATTAGAGATGTGCGGGTCAACCTGTGCCTGCTCGAGTCCAGCCAAAATGTCCGCGGGTACGAGGTATTGCAACGGCTCATAGCCCCAGTGCAGTGCTATACTCCAGCTTCGTTTGCGATTCGGTTCTTCTTCTTTTTCAAAAATTACAAAAGGGATTCCGGCCTAAAGCATAGTAGTCTTGTTAGAGAGGCAGATTTGACATAATTGTAGTCATCAAACCTTTTTCAATCCATGGGCCAGCGCGAGACCTGCCGAGCCTAAGGAGATACCAATTATTAGTTCCGAATTCAAAATGCAGATCAGGAAAAGGAAGAAGGCTTACCAGCGCCGATGATGATGACCTTTCTATGGCCGCTGATGGCAGATTGAGATGTGTTCAGAGGGACATGGGTCGCGCTGCTCTCTGCTCCCTCGTGTTTGGTTCGCTCCTCAGTTCCGTTCATGATGGTGATTTTTGTACTGATACCAAGGGAGGTAAAATTGCTAAGATTGCCAAAATCGAACTGCAGCTGCAGTAATGCATCAATTCCTCATGAGACCCAAAAGTCTTGGAATTCAATATGCGGTACTTTCTACATTCGGTCAAAGCGGGGTTAGAGCTATACCGAGAACTACATCCTAGTCTGCGAGCCTTTCGATATCATGAACAAACGCTTTCTATAGATTTATCCCCCTCATTTCCCATCATGACAACTAAACGCTAAATTCAACATGATTAAAGATGAAAATCAAAGAGAAAACAAAAGAACAGGTCTATCTATAATCTATCTATAAGAGAAAATCTCAAACCAAGTCGTAAAACGGATTTAGATAGCAACTGGGCCAGCACCCAATCTATCTTTTGGTCCAATACCTTTGTGTCGAACCGCAAACAAACCAATTACCAGCCCCAGCCCAGCTAGACCGACAGAGCACCAGAGACCGGTCGCGTATTGCTCCGCGAGACTGTGTCCTTGCTGGATGTCGACAGCATCGGTAACAGCCGCCGAGATAGCCAATGCAACACCAGAGCCAATTTGGAATGCAGTGTTGAGCTAGTTTAGGATGTTAGCATGTAAAAGCTAGATTACAGGAAAGGAAAGGAAAGACTTACCATTCCGCCAGCAAGACTCTTGACTTCGACTGGTACACTGGTAAGTACCACAGTACTTGTTGTGACGAAGATGAAAGACACGGATGAGATACTGATAAGGGATGTGGGGAGAACATTGAGCCAGCTGTGAGAGTTAGTATAGTTTATGCAAAAGGAAATGGTGATACATACAAGCCTGCTTCAGGATTGGAAGTCAAAGCACTTGAGATAGGGGCGACCACAGCCAGAACCAGTCCTATAATGAGGAGGTGCTTTCCATTCATGAATTCCAGAAGTTTTCCTGTTCCAAGAGAAACAATGAAGCCAATTGCTCCCATGGGCAAGAAGCGAAGTGCAGTATCACCAGCAGAAAGCTTGTCCACTTCCTGTGCCATAAGGACGATATAGTAAATCACGTTTTGGTAGGTACCATAGCCAGCTACTTATGATTAGCATTGCCCGAGGCATAAATTTGGGAAATAGGCAACTTACTGAAACCAATAACCCACAGACCAGCAAAATTGCGAATCTTCCACAAAGAAAGCGGCATGATAGGGTTGCTGACGTATTTTTCAAAGATTGTGAATCCAACAAGAAGACCAACGGCCAAGATAAGCAGCACAATAATGAACGGCTGGTCCCAACCATAGGTTCCACCACTGGAAAGCACGAATTGGAGAAGGATCAGCCCAGCTGTCGACATCACTGCGCCAATATAATCCATTCTTTCATGCTTCTTCTCGGAAGGAACATCGCTTGGAAGGACGATAAAGCCCAAAATTCCCAAGGACCCAGTGATTATGACGATCAGATAGAAGATGTACCTCCAACCCAACGATGAGGTCAAGAAACCGCCAAAGATGAGGCCGGTGCAGAACCCTAGGGTCCCCGAGGCTCCATAGATAGACAGTGCACGGGTGCGATCAACACCACTGAAGTAGGAGCTGATGATTCCAATAGCCGATGGCACAGTCATCGCAGCTCCAATTCCTTGGATGCCACGGAATACCGTGAGTTGAATAAAGGACTGCCCGAATCCAATGGCCAGGGTCCACACAGAAAGCCAGGCAAGGCCCAAACAAAGGATCTTCTTTCGTCCATAGCTAAGTAGGTTAGCATCGTGTCAAGTTTAGAGACAGTGGAAGGAAATATCATACCGATCGGATAAAGCACCGGCTAACAAAAGGAAGCCACCAAATGATAAAGTGTATGCAGAAATCATCCATTGCAAATCGGTACTAGACACATCAAAGTCTTGTTGAATTGACGACAAGGCAATGTTGGCGCTTGTCATGAAGACATTGTCTAGAAATTGAGAACCGGAGGTGACAAGCAAAATCAAAGACCCTTTCCAAGAACCGAGGCGGCCAAACTGATGAGGGATCTTCTCAAAAATAAGAGCATCTTCGCTGCCGGCTGGGGAAGGAAGCATGTGTGCAGGTGTAACAGCGCCCGAGAAGTCCGGACTAGAGATTACATTAGGCTCGATTACTTTTGGGGCTTCCATGGTAGGCGTTTCAGCACCACCATGTGCCTGAAGGCCACGCGGTCGACTGAAATAGTCAACAATGCCCATTCTGATTGTAAAAAATAGAATGAAGATGAAAACGGATGGCCAGGGTAGCACTGGCACCTACTTTCATACTAATATAGGATTTACTATCATACTAAAAATCAAAATCTTCAATTGATCCAGTTTAAAAAGTGGAGTGAGGCTTCTCGGATTACCCTTTCGAGTCAGATCTTAAAATGGAGCATGTTCTCTCGGGTTGCCTATTTGAGATAGAAGACCCACGATGAACCCACGAGGAGTGGAGAGGAGAAATCACTGGCCTTATCATTCGCACATGCGAGATAGTATAGGATTATTATGATCAAAATGTGGCTCTGATAACGCAATGCATATGCTTCGTGGCCCTGTTGCTCATATTTCAGAAAGCCAACGCATCAGCTGGCGTTCTAGAGATGGCTATCAGTTGATATGTTCAAATCTTCAATCTCCGTAAGAAAACTTAGCGCCAAACGTTATCGGGCCGAGCGCTAAGACCCACGGGATCCCGATAGGGCTTGTTGGCGAATTTGATGTTTTTAGGGCTACTTGATATTTTCCAAAGCTATATGGCCTCGGATATAACAGCTATGTAAAATTTCGCTATAATTTAGTCTTCACTTTATAGAAAATATACTCTATCTCTACTAATTTTGGTACCTGGTCGAAATTTGAGATTCGCCACGCCGAATCTGATTTTTACTCTCCCGCCCCGACAGCTCGTCCCACATACATCACCCACAGGGCGTCTTCTAGGCCTCTAGTTTTCCCCGAGTGGGGGAACCGGTCTTCTCCGCTGGTGAAAATTTCAAAATCTCCCCGATTTTCCTTTTGGTAGGTTGCGTACTCCGTATAGAGTACGGCTCTCTAGCTAAGGAGGAATTGCGGTTCCCACCCATTCTATAACGTGGCTACTGATAACATATTTCTCCATATTTACCGAACTTCCAAGGTTCCAACCTTGTCAAATCGATCAACTATGGATAAACTATGGTATCTACGTGACTACCCCTCCAACCCTCGGATTACCTTTGCCAAGCAAAACGTAAGCAAGAGGAACATTCTCTCCTGCATTGCCAAGCGGATCGCCAGTCAAGCAAAAGCTCTGACCACTTGGGCAGCCATTGATGATTTATAATAATCAACTGTTAGTCAACTGTTAGATTTACGAAGTAAAATTGGCGAGTCTTCATGTCATAAGAATACCATATCATAAAATTTGCGGTGCTGGCACTTGGCATGTAACTCTTACTGCGGGTGCTTCAGCACAGTTCAGCTTTTCTTGTGCGGTTTATCACTATGTTGTAGTATTATACTACATGCTTCTGCATAATCTCAAGGACCTAGCTTCGCACCAACCCCTCAATCTACTCTCTTGTTCGTTGAACTTATGAAATGCCTGACAGTCAAACTACCAGTAAATAGAGATTATGGATACAACAAAACCCCGAGTCTCATGACATGAATGAAGCAGAAAAAGCAATTACTGCTACACAACAACCTCAAACCAAAGAGAAAGCCCCCCAAAAATGCCAAATAGTGCCCGCGAAAACGTGCAGAGATCCGAGATTCGTCTAATTCGGCTATTGAAGTTTAAACGAATGACGTCAGTATGCAGGGCATGTGCCAAGCATCCAGGGTCACTGCCTAGTGGACACCAGGGGACATCACTCTGGTCTCTTTTACCAATCACAACAACCTCTGGGGGAATACTTCCTCCACATTGGAAGTATATCGAAGGGGCACCCCACAATGACGTACAGTATTATATATCGTCATATCTTTTCTTTTGACAGTTGCGAAATCTCATATAAACTAGCACATATTTAATGGCTTACATATTGGCTGATAGTCACAAAACATCCTTGAAATTTGCAGACTCGGGGAGCATCGACGATCGCGGTTCAGCCTCATCTGCCATGCGCGCCACCCGAACCTTTTGCGGGTAACACATACTCGAGCGGTCATCAAACATTTTCTATCAGCGTCCGACGCCTCTTCTGTTGATATTGGAAGAAGCCCGCCTCGGCGCAAAGAAATAGATGACGTTCACTTTCAATCAAAATGTCTCGGCACAGCAGCTGGCCGACCTCCTACCGAACGGCGTCGCCATCCTCACCCACCGATATGAACTAGTCTCCGTGAATCGCCGGTTCCGAGAACTCATACCATGCCCAAGCGTCAACTTCTCCGAGTGTTGGTTACACTCGGTCCATCCGGACGACTACGAGCGTGTGTCCAATGGATATCGCGAGGTCGAAACCTCCAAACAGCCGCTACGTCTCGAATACCACACCCGTGACCCGGACTCGATTTGGTGTGTCATGACTTTGGATCGATTGGATGATAAGGATGTACAATGCTTTGGGCTAGGCGACGGTGGGGTATTCATCTGTACAATCGCAGATATTACCCCGGAGAAAAAGGCGGAGCTCCTACAGAGGCAGGCGGCGGAAGAGGCACAGGAGCGCAAGAAGCAACAAGAGCGATTCATCGATATGATTAGCCACGAAATTCGTAATCCTCTATCTGCGATAGTTCATTGCACGGAGGATATTCAAGAGGCAATCTATAACAAAAAACCAGAAGAAATCTCAGTCATGAACATCAGCGAGGCAGCCGAGACAATTAGTCTCTGTATCAGGCATCAAAAGAAAATCGTGAACGACGTTCTCACCTTTTCGAAACTTGACGCGTCGATGCTGCCACTGTCGCCACGAAAAGTCCAACCACAGCGACATCTGACCATTCCAATGGCGATCTTCCGACCCGAGCTCCGAAAGCACAGAATACATTTCGAATACAAGGCCGATGTTTCCTATGCTGAATGTGGCATTGATTGGGTCATGGCAGATCTGGATCGAATGGGACAGGTTCTCGTCAACATACTCTCGAACGCTATCAAATTCACCGCCCAATCAGAGAGTGAGCGATCGATCCGAGTCTCCGTGGGTGCTTCGGTCGAGCGTCCAACTTCATACCCGCCAAATATTGTCTTCTTCGATTCCAGCGAATCGGCTCTCCGCAGCGACGCGACCAGCAATTCCGAATGGGGAAGTGGGGAAGTGGCGTATATCATGGTCTCCGTCAAGGACTCCGGTATTGGAGTCACCGAGGAAGCACAGAAAAGGCTTTTCCAACGTTTCAACCAAGCAACCCCCAGAACCGAGAGCATCTACGGTGGCTCTGGCCTTGGCCTCAACGTGTGTAGGAAGCTCTGCCACCTCCATGGCGGTGAGATTGGCGTGAGTTCCAAGAAATCTCACGGAAGCACCTTCGGGTTCTTTTTCAAAGTACGCAGAACAACCAACGATGGTGTCAAGGGAGATGAGAGCTTCGGTGTTTCTGCGATCGATAAACTTTGCGTTGATATCCAGACACTGGGAAATAGAATGAGCGGTGTCAATCAAACGACGGAAGATCCCCAGATGTCGGAAAACCCCCTGAAGATATCGTGTTTGAGGCGCAGCCAGGTGGCCCGAAGGACAAAGATACACTTCGTACCCACGAAATAGCACGCCAGGTCGAGAACGATCAGATCCAAGAAGCGAACCAGAAACTAACCGGTGATGGTCAGCATATTCTGTTGGTCGAGGATAATGTTATCAACAGGCGACTCATCTCGCGCAGGTTGAGCACACTGGGCTTTGACGTATCGGAAGCTAGCAACGGGAAAGAGGCCGTGGATGCGAATCAAAATACGCCATTCGATTGCATTCTCATGGATCAGCAGATGCCTGTGATGGATGGCAACTGTGCCACGAGAGCAATTCGTGATACTGAAAAGGAAAGTGGAGGACATGTACCTATTCTGGGAGTCACGGCGAATGCCAGAGACGAACAACAACAGGAAATGATCGATGCTGGGATGGATGATATCATCTATAAGCCTTATGCGACTCATGAGCTTGTTGAAAAGATCAATCGCATGGTTTCAAAGGAAGGCAACCCATGACGACCTAAGCCGAGGACTGTGAGGACTTTTGCACATTTTGAAAGCACACCAGATATATATTTGTACAGTAGGCAGAGAGAAAAATATACCAACATGATAAACACGATCGTCCATGCCAGAAGTCCTACAGCCGCCATCACAAAGGGCATCATTATACTGTGAAGGCCTACAAGATGCGGAAACTCAACTCTATCCCAAGAAATGCAACCAACGCATCTATGAACGTTCCGTAAACACCAACGGGCAACCATCCTATGTCAGTGGTTAGCACAAGGTACGAGGGAAATAATGCTAGAAGTGGGTTAATAGGGGTACTAACCATGGGAAATAGGGTAGCAAAAACTCGAATCTCCTCTGATTTGTCCGTGGCATGATGCTTCCAGTCAAGTTCCAGCGCGGCTTTCCCTATCATGCCAGCCATAGACAGCGGCACGTATTTCTTTGCGAGGCAATCGTGTGGTCCCGCGCCAAATACTAACCAATTCTTAGTCTTGGACCCGGCATCCCCGGAGATCCAACGCTCGGGATCGAAGTGATCAGGATTAGGGTAAACATTCGGGTCATGTAAAGCCGGATAACATGACGGGACGATCATGGAGCCCTTAGGGACGGTATAGTTAGGCGTGACAGGAAAATCCTTCGTTGCCAGATATGGGACCATAATAACGGGTGGACGGTGGCGGAGAAGCTCCTTGATAACTGCATTGGTGTAGGTGAGTGACTCGAGCATGGGAAGATCAAAAGACTTGTTTTTATCTCCACCGCGAGCGTCCAGATTTTCTTGGCGCAATTTATCGAGCACGTCGGGCCGCTGGGCGAGGATTTGGAATAGCCAGGTCGTGGCACTACTCGACGCATCCTGAGAAGCAAAGAGGAAAGTAAACAGCGTCTCTCCGATTTCCTCATTCGTGAACTCGCGGATTATGTTCGTTGGCTTCTTGGCGTCTGTCTCCCCTGCGGCGATTCTTTCGTGATATCGCTTGGATTCCATCATGTGGAGCACCCAATGGTCTACGATGCACGTTGGTGTCGCACCAGTCGCCATGTTTGCTTTGCATGCAGCTGCGCATTTTGCAAACTCGGCGTGGACGGCGTCGGCTGTGCGCTTTCCGAGCCAGGGCTTGGTAAACGGAATGTATAGCGACAAAGGCACATTGACTAGCTCAAGGGCAGCCGTAGCAAGGTAGAAGTCATCTGCAATCTTCTTGACCGCAGCCTGGGAGATATAATCGCCGAAAAATGTGCGGCATGAAAGTGCGCAGTTGATCTCGCGGAACATAGTCATGAATTCCTGAGGCTGTCCCCGATTCGCCTTGCTGGTGGCGACAAACTTGCCGAAGTAATCAGCTAACACCTTCTCTTGCACCGGCAGGTAAGTAGCCATGGCCTTGTTGGTGAATAGGGGGCCAGCCCCCTGCGGTACTCGACGTGATCTTTACCCTGAAGGAAGACCCATGCTTTGTGACCTAGGATATCCTTTGCGACCGGCACTATACATGGCTCGGCGTATGCGGGCGACTTGAACACTTTGTGGGCTATGTCTCTGTCGGAGGCTAGAACAACAAATCTATAATAAATTGTGTTAGTTTGGACGGTGTTACGGGTTTCATGGAGCCCGATCAAATGGTAATAGATGTGGGCGCTTACTTGTGGAAGACAGACACACAGCTGAGTGGTCCACTTGCCCACTGTGCAAGATACCCCTCAAACTTCGGGTGCAGGGCTTGTATAAATGGGCCCATGAGCGGAATCTTGAGTGGAGGTCCAGCTATAGAGCCTTTTCGTTTGATATACATCACTAGAGGGGATCAGCAAGATTCTTATCGGATCGAAAGCTTTCCTTACCCTGATCATAAACTAGTATGGCAATTGTAATAGTCACTGCATACTGCCATAATGAAAACCTCATCAAGGACGCCAGCAAGTAGCTTTGAGACTGGGCATGGTTGGCAGGCCATACCTGGGGCAGCGCATTCTGAGCGGTGGAGATGTTGGCCATCTCAAACGCCATGTTGGAGCCCATGATGGTAGATGGCAGGGGCAAGTTCCCAAACTGTTCCTTTTTTTTCAAATGGGCAGAGAATACCTACATAAGTAGGACATGTTCTCTTAGGAATGGCATGATATGGATGGATACTGCCGAGATATCCACAGCTTATTCATATTACCCGATTAGGACTAGACTCCGATGCCAAGCAGGGGTAAGGCGGGGTCTAGTCCTCTTTTGATTTGGGCTCGGGACATTAACCTGAGGTCCCCATATAACGAAATAATCGCCTGGGAAGTTCAACATTGAACCGACCTTCTGTCACTTACGTTTGCGACGTTCCAACTCTTTGTACCGTGTCGTAACCTCAACAGCGGTGTGGGGTTCTTGTTTGAGCTATTCCTAAAGCTAACACGTTCCCCCTTTGGGCGCCCACCAATATTCTTCCAAAATGCGTCAATCTCTCCGCCGGTCCTGTGCTGCATGTGCCAGGTCAAAGTCCAGCTGCGATCTCCGTACTCCGCGCTGTTCGCGCTGTGTCAAGCGGCAAGTCGAGTGCGCCTACGCGAATGAACCCTCGGCCGGTCCGGCAACTTCCGGATGGCAGAATAGGGCATCAACAAGCCCGCTAGATAGGTCCGGCGCTTTAACTAACTACACATTCGGGTCTCTTGATCCTTTTGAATCGTATCCACAGACTAGACTCCCCCGGGAACACGTTCAACGTCTGATTTACACCTGTGTGTAGGCCTCCAATGAAGCATTGTCGGTGAAAGCCTAGCTTACCTATTTAGTCCTCCACAAGATCGCCTTCCAATACTACCCTCTTGACCTTAATGCGACTTCAAATCCATTTCTGATCTCTTGGTGGCCACTTGCCCTGGGGGATCCTGCACTATTCCACGTCTCTCTACAGACGGCATGTCTCGACGAAGAGTTGTTGGCCCAGAAAGGCTTTCAGACCTCCGAACTTCTCATGGCAGACTCGGTGGCCTTGTTACGACGCAAGGTTGAATATATGTCATTAGCTGTTCAAGACGGGACTATGAACTCAGTCATAACCTTGGCAACCATTGAGGTGAGATACTACCATAAGCACTCTCTCCTCCTACTGTTTTTCTAAGAACCAATCCCTGATTATATGTAACTCTTAGTTCGGGAAAGGAAATATAAAAGTCGGCGAAATGCATGTCAATGGATTGAAAAAACTGGTCGATATGAGAGGTGGCATCAACGCAGTAAGGCAGACAAGCCCGCTTACCGCGAGAATGATCAGCTGGTAAGCCAACCCCGTTGTCACTCAGACGATGTATATTCACATGTTTCACAGGGTATCGATGCTCATTATGGGTCATCCTCAATTCGAGACCCAAGATGACTTCGGCATTGGAGATGGCATCCCTCCAATCCCAGAATGGCAATTTGACTCGACCGCGCTTGACGATCCGCTATTTGACCTCAGCACCATGGAAGTGGACTATGCCGTTAAAAATGTCTTCAATCGTCTGCGCAGCATCTTTCAGCGAGTGCGCAATATACCTTTCCCAGCTACACAACTTCACGACCTTACTTGTTTTGTTATCCACCGACTCCTCCTCTCCGCTCCAGCTACGACAATACCTCTGCCATCACCGATGACGGAATCCATTCGCTATGGAATTATACTTTACATGTTCATCGCTCAGGGGCCAACATATTACTCGCATGCAGTCATACTAAATACAATTCTCACTCGATTCATGGAGAACCTCGAGCATCTTGAGTCAATTCCTCATGTATATGATTCACTTGATGTGTGGTTTGCTGCGGTCGGGATGGTGGCTTCAGCTGGGACAGCTCATCACCAACAATTCATGAAGAGAGCACGAGATGTAGCTACCGCACTACAAGTGGGAAATTTTGGTGACACGCTCATTCACATTAAAACTGTCTTGTGGTTGGAGAGACCGCAGTGTGAGGATCTCTTTCGATCACATTGGGGCACTATCTTTAATCCCACGGATCAATCGGGAGTATCAGACCTTTCAGTGTCAGTTTCGCCATACAGTAGTAGCGTGGAATATATATGAAATACAGTTTCATTCAACGGTTTTTATGGACAGAGCACAACTTGTGTAGAAAATCCTTGATCACCGAAACAATCTTTCATACGCGATACCATCTATGGTAATGAGCACCACGACCCAAAAGACGATGGCTACGTCTGAAACGCAATCTCTACTAAATGGGTGTTCACTTAGCCCTTGGCTGGTCAGCCCTTTTCGAGGAATATATTTTGTTCCATCATGGAGGAAGTGCTACACTCTCTCAGTATGGTTCAATGCCACGAGTGTGGGGTGTAATGAATCATTCTGGCATCAATCTAACGACATGCCACAACTGCACTACCGTGTGAGACCCGGCCCCGACCAGCTCTATCGCGCCATTTCGGGCGAGCCCATCGCCGTAATATAGCGGATTTTATTTGAGACCGCTCATTATACAGTCACTTTGGTAGTTTAGATGGGAAGACACGACGTGTTTTCTATTTCTTTTCCATTAAGCTTCCAAGTGTCCATACCTCAAATACGATCAAACCGTGACCAAGATATATCTATGCGGCCATGTCCCAAAGCCAATCCCTTACCTACAAATATGTGTACATCGTACGCACATATGTAGTAGAGGCAAGGCGTCGATAACACAAACTGAAACCAAAAGTGCGTGTACAAAACAGCCAACTGTGCGTGTGCAACAAATCCAGCCCCCCAAATTATGCCCGTTCAGCGCGGGCCTTGAGATCCCTGTGGAAAATATCGAAATGGGCACGCATTTTCTTCCCAAGTAGAGAAGGACTCATAATGAACGCAAGGAGACCCTTGAGATCCTCACTCTGCGTGAAAACAGTCGAGGCACCCTCATTGGCTGGTTCGATATGGAATTTATGCAAACCAGCAATGGTAAACACGGGCGGGCCTTGCCAAGAAAACAAGCTCTCGGTATTCTCCTTTAGTGTTGAGAGTCTTCAGCTTACTTTTCTTTCTTTGTGTTTGGGGAAGTGTTATTCTCACCTTGACTTCAGCGACGAACTTGAAGTTCTCAATGTTGACTTCGATTTTGTCTCCCGAGGAAAGCTCTTGCGGGGTCTTGGTGGTGTCCTTGAGCTCGATCCCCTTGAGCCATTCCGTGTGCCATTCCGGGTATGCTGAGAAGTTGAGCAGCTAGGGGCGCGATAACTGGTTAGCTTGTTTCGCCAAGAATCCGGGTCCTAGGGCTGGTACATACAATTTCACGCACTTTGGCAGGCGGCGCGGCTATTTCGATTTTGCTTGTGATCATTTTGGCGGTGGTGTGGTTAGGGAGGTTGGAGGCGCGAGAAAGAGGGGATACAAATAAATAGTGTCAATATGAGAAAGAGTGCGTGGATGTAGGATAGTGCATATCCTTACTGCATCCATCGTGTGTCCCCACTCGACCTGCAGATAACCTCAACCCTTCTGTGTTTCTCATTCGTTTGATATCTTTTTCTCCAGTTAAATATGGATGCAACGAAGGCTAGATCAGGCTACATCCAAAAAAAAAAATATGAATGTTGAAAGAAGTTGTCTATTTTTTGGGTCTAGCGTCTAATCAACTTGCTGCAATATGAAACAAAAATCCAGCCACAGGATTATGTAGCAGTCATGAGATATGGTCAAGAACAAGATAATAAAAAAATCCTCCCCGGGGCTATGTACCCATGACGAGTCGTATATATACATAACAGACATGAAAACAAATATACATGCAAATCTTCATGTACTTCTAATAAGGCACCCGCATGTTTCAGAACAAAGCTCAATAGCCAGGCTCCGTGCTGATCCTGCTGACGCGCCGGCCATTGTTTTGCTCTCTGTCGGCAGCAAGCGTAGAGGCGAACTTACTCTTCGCGCGAAGCTGCGGTCCCTTCCAGTAGAAAACGTAGATGGGAGTCACAACCAGACAGGAAAGACAAGCCAGAATCGTCGTTGCATATTCAACATGCCACTTGTTGCCGATATTTGTGTACATAGGCGTCGCGTACATGGCCGAGATACCAGCGAGAAGATCACGCGCGAAAGCGTTACCACCCGTCGCAGAAGCGGAGTAGACACCATAGGAAGCGACCATGTAATCAACAGAGGATAGGTAGATGGCAAAGTTGGCGATACCGACACAGCCGGAGAAAATCATGGATCCGATCCAGTGAACGTTTTTCGAGTCGCCGAAGGATGTCCATGCGAAACCGAATAGACCGATAGGTTCGAGTGGTGCAAGGAAGAGCAGCCACTTGAGACGGCGCTCGGGTGGGATGGCGGCGTCACCATGTCTGAGTCGAAGCTTTTGATCACGCATGAACCACGGGAAGTAACTGAAGTAGGCGATGAAGTAGGCCGCGTTGATGGGAATAACTGCCCACGCTTGTGCGAGGGTACCGAAACCCCATCCCTGCTCGTAAACGATGGCGAAGCTCTCGAGGAAGGTGAAGATCAGAGCGTCGGAGAAACCGGACAGAAGAGATAGACAGAGGACGATGGGCTCGCGCAGAAGCATGTAGAATGGACGCGCCCAGATCCTGCCAGCTTCCTTGAGGGAGACACGGGGGCTCTTCATCTCGTTGGGTCCGTAGATATTCGGGTCTTCTCCGGTCTTGCGGCGGCGCTTGGCTTCTCTGTCCATGATAATAGTCGAACGACTCTCAGGCATGAAGAAGATGATGATTTGGGTGACTCCTCCGAAGATGAGTTGAATCCAGAAGAACCATTGCCAGTCAAGGACTAAGATCAAACATAAATGTTAGCAATAAGTCGCAAACCGGTACATAGTGACCTCGGGGGAAATGGTTGCTTACATCGCGCAATTGGTCCTCCAATCACACCACCAATACTGGTACCAATACAAGATGACAAAACGATGAATGCGAGAGGGAACTGTTGCGTTTCGGGCTCGTAGATGTCGGCAATAAGACCGAGAGTGACACTACCACCAGCAGTAGAGAGACCACCCTATATTATGTAAGTTTACCATATTACCAAGACGCTAGCTTGCCGAAGGAGAAACTAACCAATGCACGAGCGACGACAAGACTGCCCCAGTTAGGAGCAAGGGCTGCGGGGAGCTGCCAAATGTTGATCAAGAACATAGAAAGCTGGAGGATGGGCCAGCGACCGAATTCCTCGGACCAAGGAGCCCACAGCTCACAACCAATAGAATAAGTAACCAGGTAAGCCATTTGACCAGTCCGAGCATGTTGCTCGCTAATGTTAAAGGCCTCAGACAGATTTTTGACAGCAGCAGGATAAACCGAGGTATTGAAGTTCATAGAAACCTGAACGAACGCGACCGCAGCCAGATAAGTCCATTTCTTCCATCGTGGCCAGCAGTATCCCAGGATTTCATAGCAATCTGCTTCCTTCAGCTCGCGCTTTCCGTCGGCGCGTTCGCTCTCTTTTTCTCCAGCGCGGCGGAGATATCGACGGGGCCGCTAGATTCACTGTCCGTGCCATTGACAGATAGAGGTCTACTTTCGCTATGAACAGCTTCGGTGTCTTGATCTGGGGGAGACATCCTTGCGTGCGGGGGAAGGAGCAAAAGGCGTGAGAGGGAAAAGTTTTGTGGACCTTCTCCAGGTGTTATAAGTACGGAGTCCCTGGGTATGTACGGAGTATGCGCAGACTTTTTTTTTTTACTTAGGACTCCACGGGCTGAAACCGGATTTATAGTGGATCTACACTGCAGAGTGGTGGCGCCCGTGGCGTGCAACGCCGTAAAGATTAGATCTAGCGATGATAATTGCTATGATTGAAGGGTATAGGACATTTGAAGCTTTATATATATTACAACACATTCAGATAATCACAATATTGATTGTGTTTATCATATTCATAATCATCTTAATATCCTATGTGGAAATATCAAAAAAGAAAGAGAAAAAAAGACAAACGCTTATGGATTGATCTGCGGTATCCCGAGGTCCCTTCCCTTCTTGGCATTCCCCACATAGCCTGACGTCAGAGCACTCTTCTATGGTCCATACATATGTTGAATTTTGGTTATAGAAGATTCTAACGTTCGGGTGCCACTTATACTCTACCAGACCCAAACAATGAGATTTCTAGGAAGTCTTGGCTGAGCTGAGGGAATGTTGTTTTTGGCTCTTGTAAGTTGAAGTGTGTTATACACCTTACGATATATGTACAGAGTACAGACTCGATTACTATGCAGCGTATGAGGGGAAGTAGGAGGCTGAGAATAAGACATCGGGAAATTGACGTGAAAGCCACGTATGAAGTCATATCTGCTGGTTCCAAGGGTAACATGAAGTTAAGAACTACGGGGATCTCAAATAACCAATCAGGGCATATATATTCGTGTCAGCCGGGAGATCTTCGGGCATAAACTGAATTCGTTCATAATTGATGCACAGACCTCTACGAGCTCACCTCAGTTATTGAATCAGGAATCTTGAGTGATTATCACCTCTTAATCTGTGCAAGGTACATTCATAAGTGGAGGTCATTGTTGACTAAACATCGTGCTATCCCTAAGGTGGGTAGCGGTGGGCCAAAATGACATCATCATCCTGATAGGGCAAAATCCATGGATAGCGACATCGTCGGTGTGGACCAGTGCGAGCGTGGTCTCTTATTGTTGTGGCTATATCAGAACTAATAATAATAGGAAAGCCTAAAAAGGAAAAATAAACATGCCCCAAGTTTGAAACTCGATAAATAAATAAACAATGAGTCCATATTGGTTGGCAAGCTAGAAACAAATCCTTGGAGTGATACCACCTGGGTAGAACCGTGGAACTAGAAATTTGTGTGTGATAAGTGTTAGCATGTTCAAATATTCCAGATTACCAATCTAGGCAAAGGGGCAGATACTGAAAAAGGGGATGAACGAAAACAGTCAAGTTGGCCACTTCACCCGCCCGTAAGTAATGTGATGCATGTGACAAGGATATGCACTTTTTGAACGCAACATGGACTTTGCTTCACAAAATGCACGCACGCAGGGCTTACGGGATCCTCCAACCTAGGTCTTATCTACGCGCTTGCAATATTAAACTCGTTGCATCATGTCTTCTATTGCAGATTGTTGATATACCCAAGATTTTGATATTGGACCTCCCGCCAGACGCGTGCATTTTCAACATCTGTTCCGCCCTGGTCGCATGCAACCCCTGTCATACAAGGAATCTCCACGTTAGACTGTGATGAGAATAACCTTTATCACTACACATCGGGATGCTGGCTTTGGAGTGAGAAGGAACAGCTTTCTCGCCACTATATTATGTTTAGCCTAATAGACTTTAGCAGGAATGCGCACAGCGACCGAGTAATGTGCCCGGATATTCGCCAGGCTTCATCATACAAACGTCTTGGATCGATCTGCGAGTGTTGGAAACCCTCCAAAGGCAAAATTTATTTATCCCATCGCAAAGCACCGAACAAAGGAAACTTGCCAGGCCCTGCGCGGGCAGCGTTGAACCCACCTAGATGCTTTCTGGGCCGCGTTTAGCAAGACCATAACCTTCCAAACAGGCCACGTCAGTGGCACGGTTGTTCGATATATTCTCTCGCAGGCGTGAGACTTGCAATGCAATGGAAAGTGGGCCGAGCCTACAGAGCCTTCGCCTGCAGCACGTGCACACAATAAGCCAGGCGATTTCGATCTCACTTTTCTCAAATCCATTCTGATTTTGTGAAGAAAGCAATCGGTCCTAAACAGCTTAGGATAAGGATCAAGACTCGTGGAACACCACAACACCCTGTAGCTAGCCCGGAGGCTGGAATTGTCGCGCTCAACCCCGATGTGGCATTTCCGCTAGCAATTTCTTCCGGGTATTCACGGCAATGAATCTTTACGGCCCGGTCTAGTAATTCAAGCCAAATAAGCCTGATGCTCAAAGGAGCATCCAGTTTCACGAGTCCCATCCGCAGGGGAAAATCCCATTCAGAGTTGCTCGTCTTTATGGCTGTATGCTGGATAGAGCCTATGGTTGGGACGGATATATATTTGTCCAAGCCAGGAAGTGAACCAAGAATAAGAAGGGAAAGTTAGCTGAGAAGTGAGAGTTAAGAAAATCTTCAATGGCAAATACTTACTATCGTCACCATACACCTAAAATATCAATTAAAAGGAAATACAAGAACACAATTAGTTAGCAGCCTTAGACTAGGAAGATTGCCGACGCCCTATAGGGAAAAGGAGGGGAATATCTCTATGACAACCTTTCAAGTTTTTATTCGCAGGAATATTGGCGAATTCCTACTATTACTTTATGTAATTCCCTTTTTTAATTGAATTGCCCTTCAATTCTGCAACCATTTCCAATGTTCGCTATGTCGAGCGAGAAACTCATCGTTACTGAATATCTTGTCCCGAGCAGTCATATAGGAGCACTGTCACCCGGGAAGATGTACTGAAACTGAATGCCAAACAATGCACCCCTAAATACGAAGGTCCCGTTCCAGCTGGTGTAATTACTTTCATTGCCGATAATGGAGCTGGTCTGCTGAAGGTGACCTTTTCTTTAACCAGATACCTCATTTGACATGCTTAAAGCTTGGACACAAAAACTGTATGAGCCGCTGTGGGGCGAGCTGTTGGAACAAGCTGCTGCCTTGTGGCTTAGAGTGGGATAGAAAACGAAAATAAGCTTGGTATGAATTATATGCGATCACCATTTTATTCTTGAAAATCACCACAATTTCACCAATTTCCTAGATACATTGATGGATTTCGCGTGCGACCTCTTCCTCATGGCCAACCATTTTCGTTAGCAAATTTCACGTCCTGTAGTCGGAATTTCCCGCAGCTTTGGCGGAAATGTCATATTCATGACAAATTGACACCTCTCAACCTTCAGTAGCAACGTAACTACTGAAAATTTTCCAGGACAAAGCCAGGCTCGAGTACTCCGTACACCCATGTAGGTAATAATAGCCCCAAATCTTGGCGGTGATCCTTACTGGTTCAGTTGTTAGCGCATTAGAAATTTCGGTTATATGGGGCCGAATGGCGGGCGGCCCCACTCAACTCGCCCGCACATCGCCCAGGCCCCCGTATAGACCCGATATTATTGACTTACATTTAGATTCTCATCATTCCTAGAGAGGCACTCTGGGGCTGTATTTGGGTGATAGATTTTAATCCCTCTTCATATGAGGACTTGGTCTAGCATTGGATGGATAATAGCACTGGAGAGATTATAGAATGTTACAACTATCAACGTTGAGTCTGGCAAGGCTTGTCTTGACGTTTTTTTCTTGCGTCGTATCGCGCCTCTACACCGACAGTCCATATACATCCTAAGCTTTTTGTATTGATTGGTCAGTTCTATAATCCCTGCTAGCATGGTATAGTTCTGGGCCAGGCTCATTACGGAGAACTCCGTATTCCGTACTCAGGGAAGTGCCCAGGCAACATAGTAAACCGGTTGTTGTGGGGCGTAGATTATCAACAAATTCTTCGCCAAGCGTGCTACTGCTGGAGCTTTCTGAGGTTAAAAGGACACCCGTCCCCTGCCCCTCTGACTTTCTTCGGGAATTATCCCCCCATTCCCATACATATAAGTTTTTTATTTTTATTTTTATTTTTATTTTTGGTTTATTTGCATTATGGTCGAAATTCAGGACTATACAAAGGCTCTAGAGGTCCTCAAGGAGTATCCTGGGGACGGTCTCCACGTCGATACTCTCCTTGACTCGGATAGTCATGGAGCCTTGACCTACAATGACTTTCTCATTTTGCCCGGTTCTATCAGTAAGGCAACCAACCATGGTTGAGTGGGAGTTGTCTCTAATCTTCTGAATAGCTTTCCCAGCATCTGATGTTTCTTTGGAAACAAAAGTAACCCGGCGTTTCACCATCAAGGCCCCTCTCCTGTCTTCTCCCATGGACACTGTGACCGAACACAACATGGCCATCCATATGGCTCTTCTGGGTGGTTTGGGTGTTATCCACAATAACTGCCCGCCAGACGAGCAGGCCGAGATGGTGAGGAAAGTGAAACGCTATGAAAATGGCTTCATCCAGGACCCTATTGTTCTGTCCCCGGATACGACAGTCGGAGAGGCAAAGGAACTGAAGACTAAATGGGGATTTGGCGGGTTCCCCGTGACTGGTTAGTTGAATTTCTCCTGGGACTTTGTCTTTTATGCTTTGTTTTGTTTGGTAGTTCTTACCTTATCCCGTTCACAGAAAAGGGAACCCTCCATTCGAAGCTTCTCGGCATCGTCACTAGCAGAGACATCCAGTTCCACAGGAACCCCGAGGATCCAGTCACGGCTGTTATGGCGACAGACCTCGTCACCGCACCGGCAGGTACCACCCTCACCGAAGCCAACGAGGTCCTCCGGAGTTCGAAGAAGGGCAAGCTGCCAATCGTGGATAAGGATGGATCCCTGATTTCCCTACTCTCCCGAAGTGACTTGATGAAAAACATTCACTATCCTCTTGCATCGAAGCTCCCATCCAAGCAGCTACTCTGCGCTGCGGCCGTGAGCACCCACGATGCGGATAAGGTCCGTCTCCAGAAACTCGTCGACGCGGGTCTGGATATTGTCGTCGTGGATAGCAGCCAGGGCCACAGCAAGTTCCAGATTGCCATGATCAAATACATCAAGCAAATCTTCCCCGATATCGACGTTATCGCGGGTAACATTGTTACCCGGGAGCAAGCCGCAGCGCTGATTGCTGCAGGTGCAGATGGTCTACGAATTGGCATGGGTAGTGGCTCGGCGTGCATCACGCAAGAAGTCATGGCCGCTGGTCGTCCTCAGGCTGCCGCCGTGCGCAGTGTGTCTGCTTTTGCCGCTCGGTTTGGTGTTCCTACCATTGCTGACGGTGGTGTCCAGAACCTGGGCCACATTGTGAAAGGACTTGCGCTAGGTGCCTCAGCAGTTATGATGGGAAGCTTGCTTGCCGGTACTACCGAGTCTCCTGGTGAGTACTTTGTGAGCCGCGAAGGACAGTTGGTCAAGGCCTTCCGTGGTATGGGCAGTATTGCTGTCATGGAGGACAAGAGCAAGAGTGGCGCTGGCAATAATGCCGGTGCTTCGCGGTACTTCTCTGAGAATGATAAGGTCAAGGTTGCACAGGGTGTTGCGGGCTCCGTGATTGATCGTGGCTCTATTACTCAGTTTGTCCCTTACCTTGTTGCTGGTGTGCAGCATTCTCTCCAGGATATCGGTGTCCAGAACCTTGATGCCCTGCGTGACGGGGTGAACAAGGGATCGGTTCGCTTTGAGATGAGAAGCGCGAGTGCACAGACTGAGGGTAATGTCCATGGCTTACACACTCATGAGAAGAAGTTGTACTCTTCTTGAATATGGGAACTCTCTTTTCCTCGCATATTGCCTGGATTTCCTCCTGTCTCATAAATTACCAAAAGTCAAAATTTAGTCAATACACTCATATATATCTACGTTTTGTAAATTTATTATCTTCTAAAGACCTTTGAAAATGGGAGCTACGAGAACTCTTCATGCGTGATGCACGCCGAGCCACTACCCATGTAAGTGCCCTATATATTAAAGGAATTGGAGTTGTCGCCAACACGCCTCCACGCACAAATTACGGCCAATGAATTTACGAAACTAGACCCGGAATAAATGGAGCTCCCCTCAATCCAGATGAGCAGGAGATTCACGAGGAAAGCGGGTCTGGGGAGCGCTATACTAGTCATGCTCTACATAATGAACGAGAGAAAAACTCGTCAGACGAGTGAAGTGCCCTGATTAATACTTCGGATAGTAGTTGCCTGGAACGATTCAGGTTAATAAATGTACTAGTAGCTTTGATGGTATAATTGAACCGTACTCTATTAGTACGCATTACCAATCGCTTATTTTTGGATGCTTTAGTATTTAATCCCCCTTAATTAACGAGTGAAAGTTAGTAAATATAGATACGGGTGGACAATACGTTTTATTCTATTTTAAGAAGAAGAGAAATAATCGATGGCATGTCCATGATTATGGTCGCTATTAATTCGAATTACGGTATAATTTCCCCTTGTTTGATCTATAGAATAAGGAGAGAGATCGCCTAGAAAGTCTTTCTGAACTACACTATGTGTCTATTCGATTGCCTTCTCTCGCAATGGATGTTCCCACTCAACCGATGCCAAGAAGGGTTCGTCAACATGAATATAATTCAGTACCAACGATTTCCGAATCTCTTTGGCGGCAAGTGAGTTCAGCGTCCAGGTCAATAACCAATCGTAAGATAGAACATATCGACTCATAAAGTAAGAGAACCAATTTGCCCAGGCATGCATGCGGGAGAGGTAAAGAGACTGATCCCCGTCGGACTTCACAGGAGCTGATCGGGTCTGCTGGTAGTCTGCGAACATCTTACCCAGAGTGAGTAGATCCGGCAAATCGGCCTCGGATCTCGTTTCCAGTATCTCATGAAGTCGGTTGCACAGGGCCACCACATCCTGGATCCCATTGTTAAGGCCGCGTCCCGCGTTAGGCGTGAATTTATGACAAGCATCTCCAGTCAAAACTATTCGGCCCCAACTCCAATGCTTCAGGATGCCTTCCTCCAAATTTGCCATACCATCGGTCAGACGAGTATCATACACGTCCTTGACCTTTAATTTGTCGGTCACCGGGAAATCAGCAAATTTAGCTGCAAAGGCTTGTCGATCTTCCTCGGTATAGTCCATGCGGGACGTCGTCGGCTCAGACAGTCTCTCGTAAAGAAATATCCAACCCCTTTCCCGACCAGCTAAGAACATGGTTGACATATCCTGGGACTGTGTATCAGTGGCTTGTCCACAGTCGCCGACCCGAGGAAAGCTGCACCACATGCATTTGTAGAGAGCCGGGAAGGGAACAGCCGCATCCCAATCACGCTTAGGGTCTTCCTCCAGCGCTTGTTCGCGCATTATTCGACGAGTCTTGCTGTGTACGCCGTCTGCCCCAATGACAATAGATCCGTCGTAGGTGCTTCCATCGGTGCAAGTCACACGCACTCCGGTCTCATCGGATTCAATGGAATCAACCTTCTTGTTTAGAAGGTAGCGACCCTTCGCCACTGTGGGCAAGCTCTCGAACAGAGTTTCAATGAGCTGGGCGCGATGAAATGCGACTGGTGCAGTCCCGTGGCTGATAAGAGGTGATTAGCATATATCTCTTTCCACAAAAATATGAGAACCATAGAGCGGATTCCTTATCAAATACACCATGGGAGGCTTACTTCTTTTTCAACACTTGGAAGATTGCTTGAGAGCTAACAAATTCATGTCCGTCTCGTGTCATAGACTGGGTGTGCTGAAGCTCTCCTCCTATCTTCAACAGTCGTTCCAGAACTCCCAACTGATGCATGATTCTGAGACTTGGCGAAGATAACACAAGACTGGCACCTTGGTCTATAACTGCAGAGCTCCTAGATTCAAGGATTATGAAATCGATACCCGCGTGATGAAGGGCATGGGCGGCGGTTAGACCGACGGGGCCACCGCCGACGACAATCACTTTGAATGATTTAGGTACCATTGTGTTGACTTATATTTTTAGTGTACGAGACCAAAGGGCGTGAGAAGAAAATTGTATAGAATAATGTACATCACGAACGATCCTTGTTATTTGGACAAGGCTTTATAGTTGTTGTTTTTTTTTGGCTTTTCTTTTTACTTTCAAATATACTTTTATAGATCCACAGGGCCAACGGACCTCGGGAAGAAACATATCCGGTTTACTCAGCGGAGGTACCCGCACCACCCTGTCTTCAGGGCTACCTATGTGTAGGTAGCACGTCAGCGTCAGACTCCGCTGAGTCATCAACTAACGCCCCTTTTAGTGGGGCTATGCATCAGAATCGTGATCATAAATATATACGTGCCTAATAATCAGACTCGTTCTTGCAGGCGACAATTGTCATTGGACCTTAGAACCCGGCCATTTCAGAACCTGAGACATCGGGAGGAGTCACGTCCCCCTCCCGGTGGCTTAACTTTTGGTTACTATATACAGACGTCAATAAGGTTTAGTCTCCACCTTGGCCATGCCATGTTCGTACCTATTTCCGCCTAGTAAAGGCTGTACTCTTCGGAACTTTCTTATCCGACCTCTTGGAATGGGAGAGTTATTCAAGAAGACGGATAAGGTGGCTACAATTTAGTTAAGGCATACAGGAAGAGCCGTGAAAACGCCCACCTTGACATACTATGATGAGGTCCGAGGAAATGAACTGATATTTCAGTGGTGTAGTGACTTCATCGTCTAGTATGGCAGATTTGACGGGGTAGCCAGGTGGCATAGTAAGATCTTCAGAACTTTTAACGATCATATTTGCTAGACCGAGATCATCACAAATACGCTTAGACGGGCCTTCGTCGAACTCTGGCACGGTCATCTCTGGAATCAAAGATTCTAAACCCTTTAGCAATCTATATCGTAATAAAGCAGCTGTCTCTCCAGCGACCGAATTTGATTGATTTTGGGGCTATTGCCAGTCTTTCCCTAGAACATAATGGAGGTATTGCCAAGTGGTGGGGGATTCCTGCCTATAATATAAATGTGACAAACTATAAATATATTCGGAGTCTCGGGATATATAAATCCCAAAATTTTTTAAGCCTCCTGTCCGTAAGATATCATGAGCTTTCCAGGTGAGCGTACGTGTAGACACAACAAAATTGGTAGTTATTGCAGGTAAGCTACCAATCCGGAGAAAAAAGTCGATCTTGAATAGTTGAAGCATGATATTGGCCATCTGCCTGTATACCATTTCCATTGTATCATTAGAGATATCATCTTTTAGCACCCGTGAGCCATTTGAAATCAGAATGTCTTTGAGATATTTACCGTCGATGAAGATTATCAGTATGAATGGGCCTAAATCGAGGGGGTTCATATCGGCTACACCCTGGACCCAAACTTCTAGGACAGGTAGAGCAATTTCCTTGCGTATAAGATAGAGAGCCTCATTTTCCATGGGAACCTTTTCGTTTGCATTTCTGTGAGAAACACTGATAACCCGAGGGAAGCAAAGTGGCAGAGCGGTGCTATCTTCAAACAAAACCTTTTGGACAGGATTGTAAGACCCGATCAGAAAAATTAACATCTAGACGGCAGCTCATTTGCTGAGGGTGCAAACTTGAAGCTCAGGCGCAAAGGCTTCCATCAGAGCGGGCATTTACAACCTTTTCAAACCATATCTCTTCTGCCTCGCGTAGAATATCAATACGTTTATTATATCCCCTTGTGAAAGAGGTGAGATGTGAGAAGTGTGAAATGCAGAGGTGTGTGGATGGAAGAATGCGGCCATCTTGATTTGCACCCTGTTCTCTCCATGGCTCTCTTCCTCTCCCTGTCTGCTCCTCTTCAGCCTTTTGAGATTTATCGTTAAAAACTTCGTTCCACTAACTCCGGATAATTGCACTCAAGTTCGATTTTCTAATTGGCAGCTACCCATACCCCGGGCCCGCGTATAATGTGGGGTTTAAGAGGAAGTTCTTACCCTGCCGACCATGGGTCATCATGCACTAAGATAGACGGTAGATATGACAGCATCACTATTTTAACCACATAGCTGTCTGCATCTTAACATTCTCTCCGGCAAACAAGACAGTACATACGACCATAGGGTGTGGAAAACAGGGCTTCCCGTCCGCTCAGCCGTACTTAAGCCACACGCCGGTGAGTTAGTAGTTGGGTGGGTGACCACCAGCGAATCCTCACTGTTGTATGTTTTTGTTTTTGTTCTTTCGTTTGACTATTTATCGTAGAATTTTACTTTGTTAAATTGGGAAAGCCCCAGATGTATGCTGCATGCATGTAGCCTGGGAATGCCACAACGAGATGCATACGATATAAAATATTATATGTGCGGAGAAGAATTAAAAATCGTTCTAAACCCAATTATGGTATTGAAAATTATATGGAATATTTACATATGTATCTACGTAGATGTATCTCCTCTATCCTGACTAGTTGATCATCAACCCTAAATCCTCTATCCTCACAACCACCAGTACCCCCGGTACTTCTGGCAACTACTACTCAGGCCACCGTTTACCAAAGTACTCCTGTTGGTCACGGAACCGCTTTGGATGGAATGAATTCGTATTCCATGCTGGGTTCCTCATTCGGTTGCAACGATAGCGGAATGAATAAAGAGTAAAGAAAGTATGGACTCTGGTGTCCTGTGTCAGAAGGCATTGCAGGCACGTGAAAGAATATACAAAGCTCGTTGATTTGGTAATAAAATACTCATTCCTGTGATCATGTTCAATATCTGGTTGTTGTAAATGAGAATCTTCACAGAACATGATTTTGGATATTGGCGTTTCTACAGATAACATCGAGGACAAGAGCTTCTTCGCAGGACACTCGGCTCCCCACAAGATGCCAGTGCAAAGCAACGAAGAGCCTTTGGGTTATCCACAGCACGTGCGCTAGTCTGTAAGCTAGCATGTGAAGGTATACTATGTTTGAGTGGAGCATGGCAACTATGGGGACACCTTTCGAGCAAAATTGAATGTCTTAAAGCAAGAAGGATGTTCAAAGGGTCGATATAAGCAACAACACGGCCGCTTGTGGCGATCAAAATCAATCTCACGTGGGGTCCTCTATGGTCTTAAACAGTTCAATCCCAAGATAATTTAGAAGATATTGACAGGTTGAAAGAATTCCGGCTAAGTAGGTAATATTTTTGGACTTACAATAACCCGCAATATAGAGATGCAGTAATTTGTATGGCGCCAAAAGCTTCATACGGTTCTAACCTACCTACAACGCTAGTAGAACCAAGGTACTTTGATTATCAGGAGAATTTTCATAGTAATTCTAGTATTTTATCATTCTAAAATAAGCCATTTAGGCATCTCATTCCCCGGCAAAAAGGGGGGGGTTGACCTGTGAGCGCTATGGGTCTTCGTAGTGTCGGGTCTACCACTCCCCCTAGATCTAAGAATGATGAATCGGCTGCCATATTGAGGATGGCAGATATAATTTCCTAAAAATAGAGTCATCTCAGGATAAAATTACACCGTTGAAAGTTGTAGATCGACGTGTGAGCTAAGAAACCCACACACGCAAAGAGGTTTTAATTACTTCCTCATTTATTGATTGATCTGTATATAGTGATCAAATGCATACTGATGATATCATATATGATAATTACATTATACATATGCGAAGTATAGATAATATCAATTACCATGTGGCTTATTACGATATACTGGAATATTTGGATAATTTGGACCCACTAATAGCTGTACACCAAGCGTTGGAAGCACCAGAAAGAGTTATCTTACCTCGTATTAATAGGTTGTTTGATATACAACCTCGTTCTCCATTCCCATAGTTCTCCGGCCCAGCACGGACCGTGTGTCGGTGGGAGCCTCGTCCCGTGGGGCAACTCGATCCGGCCGGGCCGCGACTAGGTTGCATCCATATCTAGGGTATGATGACATTCGCCGAGGTCTAAATTGGTCCTCATAAATGTTTGATTAAACCAAGCCCCCCCAGATATTTCCATTAAAGTTATCTCCATCCATACTGCCGTGGCACAATGACCGTGCAAGACCTTCCGACCGTCCGAATCGTGGAAGTAGGACCCCGAGATGGGCTACAGAATATTCGAGATTATATCCCTACACCAACAAAACTGGAATTAATCAGGAGGCTAAAAGAGACAGGTCTGGGTACTATTGAGTTAACATCTATTGTTTCGCCTAGAATTATTCCACAGTTGGCGGATTCTCGGGAGGTGCTCGGAGATGAGGAGGTTAGGAGGATGGGTGGGAAGGATTTGAGGTTTCCTGTTTTGGTGCCAACTGTTCGAGCGTTGGAAATTGCGGTTCAATATGGGGTTAAAGAGATTGCTGTTTTTATCAGTGCTACTGAGGGGTTCAGTAAGGCGAATATCAACTGCTCTGTTGAGCAGGGCATAGAGAGGGCGAGGAATGTTGCGTCTTTGGCATTAAAATCAAATATTGCTGTTCGAGGGTGAGTGCGTACACTTACAGTTTCTCAGAATTATCATCCTGACAGCGGCAGTTATGTCTCATGCCTCTTCCTCGACCCATACGACGGACCAACGCAACCAGCGTCCGTGCTCCGCTGCGTGAAAGAACTACTCGATGCAGGATGCTATGAAGTCAGCCTAGGCGACACGCTGGGAGTTGCCTCTCTATCAAATGTACGAAGCCTCATAAGCTTCCTTTTTGATAATGACATTCCCCGCGAGAAACTCGCAGGGCACTTCCACGACATATACGGCCAAGCAGCAGCAAACGTGTGGGAAGCATATAACTGCGGGCTGCGAGTTTTTGACTCAAGCATAGCGGGTCTTGGTGGCTGTCCTTTTGCACCTGGAGCTAAAGGAAATGTAGCCACAGAGGACCTGGTTTATATGTTCCACAATGCGGGTATCGACACTGGTGTCAATCTATCGAAGCTCGTTGATACTGGAGTTTGGATATCCGAACAGCTTACAAAGGCGACTGGCAGTTGTGCTAGAATTGGCCGGGTCGTGAGCGAGTTTAACTGAAGCATTTTGTGCCTTGACTCATACTGAACTTCAATAAACTCCGGTAGAGAGCTATCTTCATACGTCACCCGAAGCGCGTCTTATCGACCAGGAGGGGGAAGACATCGGCCAGATGTTTCACAACAGGCAATTTTTCAATGGTCTTACGCTAGTCTTTCACGGAGTCACAAGACGCCGAGCTTAAGGTGACGGCGTCCAAGGCGAGAATCATTGCCCCGAGGGCTCTACACCATGAAATCACTCGCCACCAAAGCTCTGGCATAACCGTATGCAAATATAAAGAGGTCTTCGGTGTTTCGGAGTCGGCCGGTTACCTCCAATTACCCGCCACCATCGCCTTGCTGAGTGGCCTAAAGGCTTCGGGCCAGACTGCGGTATTCTCACCCGGTTCTCCCCTCGAGTCTCACACTTTCTATTACACCCTCACCCTTCTCACCTTTCGCATCTAAACTGCCAATTTATTCTCAATCAATTGACTTTATGATCCTCTCCCGCATTTAAAACGATACATACGACCATAGGGTGTGGAAAACAAGGCTTCCCGTCCGCCCACCCGTACTTAAGCCTATTATTCTGCACAATCCATAGTTAATGCACCCTTAGCACCTAAGCGGCACTCTAGGGTGAGTACAGGTGATATGGGTGAGAAGTCTCAATACTGGGGTGAGAGAGGTGAGAACGGGGTGACAATTCTCACCCTTGGGCCAACTCACTCTCAACATATGCCCGTCCCAAGAAAAAGACATAAATACAAGCCCCGAGGACCTTCTCTTGCTTTTCCATGATTTTCTTTGAATTTATTTGCCATTCAAAATATGTTCTGCGAAAATAATCTCCAGAAAGCACCCCAGGAGCGTATTGTGATACCAGGAACTAAGTGTATGTTATCTGGAGGGAACCCTAGCTCGATGAATTGCTTCAGCACCACGCGGCGACCAAGATAGTCAGTGTGGGTGCGAAATTGCTGCCCAGTCATCTTCATCCAAGCCGGACATGGTGACTTGGGCATTTGAGAGTATTTGAAGAGCCAAAAAGAGTTAAACAAGTGAATAATCGGTTTAAATATTGGCGTAGAAATGGATTTGTCTGTAGCAAGACATTTTTACAATACGTGTCGAATTCACTAGTACCGTGTATTCTCTGCTTTTTAACGTAAGAAGGACACCTACTCAGACTACAGGAAAACCCTGGATATGGATTAAAAGAGCCATGTATTCAAGAAAACCAAATATATAGACAGGTACAATCAAACCATCTGACGCCCAAGTTCCCCAAGTAATCCAATCTATTAGACATAACAGATGACCGGCATCTGCTATTTGGCGGAAGCTAGAATGAACTTCAACTTCTTGGAGAGCTCTCCAATCTACAACCCGTAAGTTAGCATTTGGAAGATGACAAAGAGTCTTCAAAGAAGTACTGGAGAAGGGAGAATACTCACATTTGAAGGTTGCATCATGCTGAAATGATTCCCGGGGACAGAGAAGGAAGAAATTTTGTTGGTCGATAGAAGGGATTCCCATCCTCGGGGACCGGAATCAGTGCGTTGGTCTAGAATCCAGCTCGCAGTGGCATCGGCAGCTAGTGAAGGGTTTGCTTTCCGCCTTGGGTCATTCAATCCATCACACACACCTTCTTGAGCCCATATAATGGATGTCCGAGGTGATGAACCAACCGATACTGGGGATCGAGCTGGATCGTAGACACCTAGGTTCTTGACAGTCGCGTCAAAGTGGTCAAGAAGGCGGCGTTTTGAATCTGGAAGTGCGGAGCCATCAGTTTGAGTTTGGCCCAGCACGCCGAGAGAACTGAGAAACTCGATAAGCGAAGTAGACATGGGTGCTAGAACTGTGGGACATGGTGAGTCGATAAGAACCAGGTCGTGCACTCTCTCGCCGGCGTCTATAAGTTGCTTGGATGCTTCATACGCAAGAACACCACCAACAGACCAGCCACCAAGATGGTACGGACCCGAAGGAGTGTTCCTTCTGATTGTAGACAAATATATTTTAACAACGTCCTCAATACCGTTGGTGTAGAGATTCGGATCGTTGACGAAAGGGCAGATTAGACCATAAACGTCAAAGTCCGCGTGAAGCTGTTCTAGTCCCGCATAAGACGCTGGGGATCCTGACCCATCGGGAAACAAAAACAGGGTTTTGCTGCTTGCTGGGTTAGACCGTCTCTGGAGAAGAATAGACTTTGCTTCAGGGCCTTTCGAGTCAGTGGGCGGCAAAATGTCTTCGGGCCGCGGAACATCGTTGCCGCTAGCCAGAGCCAGTGAAACTTCGTTCATTGTCGTGTGATGCAGGAAAAAGTCCATAGGGAGTTCAACGCCCTCTTCTCGAAGCTTTCCTAGGACGGCCAGGCTCATCAAAGAATCGATTCCCAAAGAGGCAAGGTCTGCGGTTACTTCTAGCTCATCCTCGGAGAGACCGGTCTCTTCCAGGATGATGTGTCTCACGAGATGTAAGGCATCGTCGGCTGAGCTATCTGGTGTGATGACCTCAACAAAAGAAGACCCTGAACTTGGAGAAGAGCTGTAGTGAGCAGCAGCCTGATCATTCAAGGGCCTCTCGCCCACTAGATCGTTCGAGGTAGCATTTGTCACCTCATTCAAAGAATCCAAAAGTTGAGAGATGGTAGACAGTTCAAGAAACCTGCTGTGGGTAATATCAAGGTCCATCTCCTCGCGAAGTCGGCTAACCAGTGTCAAAGCCATGAGGGAGTCAACTCCGAGCTCACTCAGGTTATCGCTGGGAGATATTTCGGATGCCGCTAGACCAAGCTCTCCGGCGATCAAGTCGAGCAGGGAGTTAGCTGACTGTTCAGATTGTCGTTTGACCTTCTTGGTTGTGTTGCTATTGACCTGCGTGAGTGGAGCTTGAGCCTTTGTAATAACCGGCTGCGAATGTTTCTTGTTCGGTGCGACTTGTTTGGCGGTCTTTTTTGGCGGCATTAACTCCAACCTGCGGGAGAAGCATGTTAAGAATGCTTCGTGGGACGCGTTGGAATCGAAGATCTTCGATCACACCGACAATTTCTCCCTCGTGCAAAATCCAGACGTCGCCCCCAAACATCGTTTTATCAACCGGTAACATTCGAACGTAGGTTTGGTATTGACCCCCAGAAACGAGGTTCTTAGCAAAGCGCATACTCTCCCATCCATGAGATATGTAAACAGCATCCTGGTAGTTGATGTTCTCATTGCCATTCATGACAAATCCTGACAAGTGGGCCAAAGAATCAATCCAGTAAGGACTGCATTGGAACGAGGCGTCATCGCCCCGTTCATCTAGGCTGACTGTGGCGGAAGCTTCATAAAGATTGCTCGCCAGGAGAACCTGACTCATTCGTTGGTACTCAGGTGCATAGTCCACCAGGCTGCTGAAAAGTCGATACGCCAGACGACTGGTGACTTTGCTGATTTCTCCCAGATTCGCCTTGTTTTCCAGTTCCTTGATGTGTCCTTGTACCAAATGAAGGCTATGCGACCAACGTCGAAGCCACTTCTCTGGCGAGCCATATTCGACAACACAATTGGCATGCTTGATTACTGCCTTTTGCCCTAAGGCAGTAGAAGTATATTCAAGACGTACTTGCTGCGATATTTTGTCGACGTGTGCAATCACTCGCAAGATGCGATTCTCGAGCTGTCTGGGCGACTTAATAATCAATGGCTGTGTTACCTCCATACCAGTAACGTTTAGACCGGGCAATTTAATACCGGCTTGACTCTGCTGCTGGATGTGATAGGCGATAGTCTGAGCAACATCTGCGTAGATGGACTATGTATCCGTATTAGTTATTGACATTTTGTTTGGGAGTTTCTTCAAAGAGAGGATTAACTGACAGATGGACAAAGAGCGGAACCATTGACACGATGTCCACTAACAGCGGCGTGAATTTGGGGATCCCAGAGATCAGTTTCGAAAACCGTGATCGGATTAGATCCATTATAGTTCTCTTCCACGACCCGATGAACAGAACTTGTCAGCTTCTTCGGAGATGGTTCAACTTCGTGCTCGGAGGGTTGAATGGTGGGCAAAACATCCCCCTTGCGCAGCGTCCAGTCATTTCGGTATTCCTGCCAGTATCGCTTGTTGTCAAAGGCATAGGAGGGAAGAGAGAGAAGGCGATGTGTGTGGTCGAAATCGCGGTGATACTCGGACCAGTTTATTGAGAGTCCCTGGTCATGCAAGGAAGCTAGACCGCTCACGATTATTTTCCATGGCTTCTCCTTTCGCTTCAATGTTGGAACTTTGAGATGTGTGTCGCCCAATACACTTCGAATCATGCCCAGACAAATTGGATGCGGGCCGATCTCAATAAATACCGAGGCTTCATGGACCAGACCCTGATCTTGCGATGACTGCACAGCATTGGCAAATTGGACCGTGTGCCGGCAGTGTTGGCGAATATAATTCGCATCAATTCGTTCATCCGCAGCGAGAGGACGGCCAAGATAAGAGCTCAAGATAGTAATTTGCGGTGTACCGAAATTAATCGCCTTGGCAACCTCTTCTAGATTGTCAAGAATGGGATCGACTTGGGCTGTGTGGAACGCAAAAGGAACTTGCAGCTTAGTACAACGAATGTTTGCTCCAGATAAATGCACCTCCAACTTATCGATCACTTCTCTTCTGCCGGCAAAGACGCTTTCCCGGAGACTGTTAGAGCAAGCAATTTCAACTTCTTCAGAGAAAGTTGACAGCAGCCCCCCAACAACAGCTGATGATTCTGATACGGCCAGCATAGATTGGGTATACGGCTGACAGTGAGTCTCTAGCAGACGCGCCCGGTGGCCAACGAGGAAAATGGCATCGCTGATAGAAAGGACACCAGCCACTTGAAGAGCAGCGTACTCACCGAGGCTGTGACCGATGACTGCAGTGGGCTTCACCCCCCATGAACGCCAAAGACGAGCGAGCGCAATTTGAATGGACACTAATCCGACCTGGGTTTGAATAGCCGATAGCTGATTGATATCGGAGACCGTCCCATCAATCAGGGGAATGAAAGACGGGTATCCTTGCTGCCTTGCAATCCCGTCAAATAGCGAGATATCAGCGCGGAATTGAGTAGACGTTGCGTGCAGCTCCTGAGCCAGGGCAGCATAGGTTGCACCCTGGCCAGTGAACAAAAAGATCACTGAGAGTTTGTGGCTTGACAGAAGTGAGTTATGTGGAGCCAGTCCCTGTTTGTTCTGCAGAGCCACTCGGATTCGTTCAATGGTCGGCTCAGCGACTGTTACTCGAAAAGGGTAATGGGTTCGACGAGCAGTTGTTGTATAGCTCAAGTCTCCTGGCGAGATATCTGGGTCGCTGATGGTGTATGCAATCAGTCTTTCGAGGTTGTTCTTTAACGCAAACGCTGTATGCCCGGAGACTGTGACTGCATGCGAGGGACGAAGGTCCTCTTCCTCGCAGGCACCGGGCTTGGGGGGTTCTTGAATCAACAGTGCAGTATTGCCACCCTGTTTAATTTTGTGGTCAGCATATGTGACTTTTTCTGTATTTCAGTAGAGGAGCTTACAGCGGCGCTGAAATTATTGACGAGCACCGTTTGCTTCGGGCCTCTAGGTGCCGGCAAGGGGGTTTTGGCCGTCGCGATTCGGACACTGTCAGAAAATGTCAGAGATGGCCATGTACATATTGTCAACGAAAGTCTTACTTCCTTGCTTCGAGATCTGGAAACCCCTTGTTGATCTCATTTTTGATCCCAACATGTGGTGGAATAACCCCTTTCTTGAACATCAGGATGGACTTTATCAAGGATGCGACTCCAGATGACTGTAGTCGAATTAGCCTTCCTCAAATAAAAATGGGAGAATGGCGCAGTGCTTACAGCCTCTCCATGCCCTATGTTTGCCTGAATTACGGAGTTATTATCAGACTCAACCACCAATATGAGAATTGGATCGACTCACCTTGATAGCCCCCACATACAATGGATTATTTGCTGGTCGGGCAGGACGAGCAGGAGCAAATACATCCGTCACTGAGCGCATCTCTGTTCCATCACCGGCCTGCGTCCCAGTGCCATGCATCTCAACATAACCAACATCGAAAGGGTCCACACCTGACTGCTGAAGAATCTCACGATACAAGTTAGACTGTGTTCCAGCATGTGGGTGCGTAATGCTGATTGCCTGTGCCGAATGATTCGTAGCAGCACCGAGAATCACTGCAAGAACATTGTCATTGTCGAGCTCAGCGTCACAAAGCCTTTTAATAACAACTGTTCCGACGCCATCTGCGCGACAATAGCCGTCGGCATCATTGTCAAATGTCTTGCATGGCCCGGTTTTCGAGAGGAACTGGCCTCGACTCAAGCCCGAGAAGAGGTCGGGCGATGTGAGCACGCTCAATCCACCAGCTACTGCTGTGTCACAATCACCGCTCCAGAGAGACGTACATCCAAGCTGAATTGCGGCCAAGCTGGAGGAACAGGCAGTATCGACGTTGAAGCTTGGGCCCTCGAATTTAAAATAGTAATTGATTCGTCCCTAAAAGAGTGAGTCATCTTAAAAGGTAGAAGCAACGAATAAGTATTCGGACACTTACAGGTCCAAATGCGCGAATTCCACCAGTGATGAAATAAGTTCCAATATCCTGTGATGAGTTCACATCACGGTAGTCATCACTAGTCTGGCCATAGAAGGTTCCAATGCGATTCAAAGCCGTTGATCGTGTTCTGTTGGGAACATATCCGGACATTTCCAATGCCTCATAAGCTGTAACAAGAGCCAATCTTTGCATGGGATCCGTCTGCAGGGCTTCTTTCGGGGACATGTTGAAAAATCGAGGATCGAAGTCCCCAGGTCGGTCAATGAAGCAGCCGTATGGCGTCCAACTGGTGTTCTTTGCCTTACCGTTCGTGTCTACATGCTTCTCAGCATCGAAGCGGTCTTTAGGAATCTACCTTAACCCATCAGCGCCTCGTCAATGTGACCAACTGCGAGGTGTACTTACCACTCGATGCATGTCAAGACCGGCCTCCAAAATACTCCACAACTCTTCAACACTTTCTGCGCCAGGGAATCGACCCGACACACCAACAATAGCAAGGGGGGCATTGTTGTATGCGCCCGATGGCTGAAACTGGTCCTTCCGGGAATCAAGTGTGATCAAATCCCGAGTAACGACGGCAGCTTCCGTTCTCGACCTAAGTACCGATGCAAGGCCCTCGGCTGCTGTATTTGGTCCAACCACATGCAACCCCACGGAGGTGGTGCCATTTGCTTTGATTCGGGCGACGAATTCGTCAGCCACCAGGTCGAAGCGCAATGGTGCTTGTAATGTGTGATGTACGACACTCTTAAACAAACCAAGAGAGTTTGGAGCATCGACCGGCCTTCCTGTCAAGGGACAAAGGAGAGTCTTCCGCATTGGGAAGCTAGCCAAAAATTCCGGGTTGACACCCGCTCGGTTGAGGAAACTGGGAAAGTCCAACACTGCGTGTATATGTGAAGCATGGTATGCTCCGTAGATCGGGAGCTCTCTCACTCTCTTGTTGGGATCAGACTTTGTCAAACTTTCCGTGAACTGACGCAAGGCAGGTGGTGATCCACTGACTGTGACACCGTTGAGGCCAATGGCACTGATAAAACATCGATGGCGGAGAGATAAAAGACCACCGGCGTCATAGACCTTAAGAGCCGAAAGTACTTCATCCTCGCTCATTTTCGAGATAGCCGTTGACCAGCTTTCCAGTGTTGTACCCTGCTCATGCAGCATACTGCTGGCAGTTGCTACCTGCAACCCCATCTGAAAGGCGATGGAGACTGTAGGCACAGCCAGAGCTTTGAGATCGTCAAGTGATGCGCTGCAAGCATATGCTGCAGCAACCAGTGATCCGGTGCAGAGACCAACGACTGAGATTTCATTATGATTCTCGGGTTGACGAGCCCTTGCTTCATAATATCTAAATAGTTGCAAGAATTGAACAATGGCCAGAAGAGTACTGGAGATAGCAGGATGACACGCCCCATTGCTTTCCTGATATATAGTTGCGAGATTGTGGATAGTATCAAAGCGTGGTAGGTGTTCCCGATGAAACGGACGAAGTCGATCACTTAAGAGGCTCAGCGTGGTGCTCACATCTCGAACAAAATCGCTCTGAGCAACACTCTGGGGGGCGTCTAACAATAGTCTCTTCGCCAGCGAAGAAACATTGCCCACTTGATCCCCGAGGAGAACCAGGTGACATTCTTGTGTTTGATTTGGCCGACGCATGGTATGTGCAAAATGTACAAATTGTGATGAGGGTATTGATGCTGGTGGTTCAGCTCCTAATTGATCTTAGGCCATACGCTGGGCTTTATAATAGAGTATAAGCAACATTGGCCGTCGGCACAACTATCATCGTTATCTCTTAGCTTCGATTTTCATCTCGAGTCCAGAGCTCGTATTCTGCGCATTGGACTACGTTGTGCCACACGCCCTTTCGATTGCATTCGCTCCGTTCTTCACAATGAAGTCTAGAACACCTGTCAAGCCAACCTCCAAGGGCAAAGAATCGTATAGACAGCGCTTTCGTTGCAATAGATCATATCACCTCATCCACGTGTCGCACGATCTTACGCATCGCTTGTGTCATTGCCTCTCCCTGAAAGAGGGGCCGCAATTTCACTGCTTGATGATGGTATCGGAGGATAGCATGAGGTAAATAACAGGAGATGAAACGAGGCGTTTAAACCCTCCGAAAGTATAATTTTAATCGGAATCTACTCTTCGTCCGTGTCGAACCTTATCCGTACGTTCCCTTCAGTTCCCTTCGGGCCGATATTTGAGTTTCTTGCACAAAGGTTTTCCTATTCTATTTCGAGGTGTACCCCGCCTACAGAAATACTCAGTCAATTACATACTAAGGCACTGGTTGTGGGGGCCAGTGGTTTCCCCAAAAAGCATTTAGGATCTACGTATACACAATGGCATGACGACTTGGAACAAAAAATGTTTCAATTTGCTGTAACTTGGAATAATATCTCTCTAGAAGCGGAAATTCAATCTAAGGCAAAGAACGTCAAAAGGACCAGCAGCATCGGGTTAAATCTTAACGACGGCGGAAAAGAACACGCGCGGTTTGGTTAGGCTTTCGAGAACGATCAAACCAAGAACCCTCAGGCAGCGTAGTTGGATCTTCAAGTCGTATATCATATTCCTTCAAAGCATGAGCCAACAATAGTTTTATCTCCTGTGCTGCAAAGAAGCGTCCAGGACATGCATGCTTGCCATGTCCAAAGTTGATGTGTGTCGGAGATGTAGTCACAAACTGGTGTCGATTTTCGTGGCCGGGCTGTTCTCGAAGCTTCGAAAAGCGGAATGCATCAAAGGTAGATGCATCTTGATAGATATTGTTATCCAAATACATCGCATACATTGGTGCCAGAACGTAGGAGCCTTTAGGGACTGTGGTGCCGTCAGAGAATGTAAAGTCTTGTATCACCGCGCGAGTCAGTTGGGCTGGGAAATAAGATGTTAGCTGTGAACTTTGATCCAGAAATATGAAGCTCACAGCTGGCAAGAGGTGAAAGTCTCTGGCTTTCAGTCAAAAAGCTGTCAAGCTTCCGCATTTGACTCAATGCTCGCCCCGACCATCCGTGCTCCTGGACTGCGCTATCAATCTCGGTTCGCAGCTCTTCATGAATTTCAGTATGGAAGGCCAAATCCAACATGGCGTTGAGATAGGTGACACTGGTCGTATGCACTGCCGCCACATTCAAGTGCAATAGACGAAACATCAGCCGCTCCGGGTCTCTTTCGCCGGAATTCGGTGCCGCGTCCATGACCCATTGAAGGGAATCAACAGGAGGCTTCTCAATAAATCCATCACTTTCTTCCTGTAATCGAGCTTTGATGTACGGGATGAGATGTTTTCGAGCTACTCGCTGCCGTTCCTTGACGTTGGTCACAAACTGTGTGACTGTTGAACGGAGGAACTTAGGCCACGCGCGAAGCTTGTCAGCTCCTCCAAATACATCTATCGTATACTTGATGGACATATCGAGATACTCCTCATTCCGACACAACGGTGCCCCGACGAGTAGTCTATTGGCAGTTCGGGTTGCGATCCGATGAGCTGCTCTAGACATCACGACCGCCGTCCAATCTACATAAAGATGAGAAAAGGCCTTTGGTTGACAGGGTCTGGAATCTCACCAGTTGGGTTTCCTATCTCGTCACCAAATGACAATTTGATTTCGTCGCGAAGATCATCGATTTTGTTCTCCAGGTTGGGCGTGAGATGTGTCTTGACAATGTGGAAATGAAATTTCTCTGCCTCGACGATTGGGGACACTGTGTATCTAGTTTGAAGCACCTGGCACTTTGGTGAGCTGAGTTCCCTCATTCTGTAGGCTCTGCTCACATCGTTTGCCGACTCTTTAGCGCTCAAATGCGTTGGGGGTGCGGTACGAATCTCATCCACAAGTTTAGGCGGCACAACTACAATCCACCGAATGGGCGTCCGAAGTTGAAAGAACTGCCCATGGCGAGAGAACTGAATTGATGGCTAGTGAGTATCAATTTTCTGCGACGACGTTTTGAAGTTACCTTTTCATAGCCAGCTCTCAAAGTTCCAGCACTGTCGTGAAGATAGTGCAACGAGTCTTTCCAGCGACCTCGCCAGCCCGAATACCTACTATAGACAGGAATATTGGCTCTCCGAGGGATCAATCGGATGCCAATGGTAATAGCGACAGATACCAATAATAAAATTGGCCAGTTGCCCTGGAAGAAAGCCCTAACTGTTGCATCTCTCACGATAGTCATGTTGATCTCAATTGCAGAAGAATCGAATGCATATCAACCGGGGAGTCACTTGATGTATACTCAGTATACCCAGTATACTCTGTTTGTTTCTTTTGCCGCGATACTCGCCATGTTTGTCTCGAGCGCCACAATTCCCCATGGAGGAATGAATGGATGATCGCCTCGCTTTGGCCTCTCGCGATTCACAAGATAGAGTTGCCCCTACTCAGGAGCCCTGCAAACGCTATTTTGGGCTTTTGCTGATGCAGATTATGAAGAATCCTGATGATAACATTCATGCAATCATTTGTGACATCTTATTTCCCCTGTTGGATTGGGATGGTACTTGCGGGACCTTTCTCGATATATTTCTTCGGGTTGTAGTTCAATTCATTATCCCATCCCGCATTCTCAACTTCCCGACCGAACACAGCAACTCAGCATTGAAGACAAAAAAAGGAATGGCCGACTCTATTCAAGAAAAGCTGTCAATTAAACTTCCCGATATTGAGGCAAACAGCACCCAACCGTCTGATGCGGAAGGAGAGAAAGAAGCCAGCCCATCTCCACCACCAGGTCCTTTGGTCTCTCCTCCACCAAATGGCGGACGTAAAGCATGGCTACAAGTAGCAGGAAGCTTCTTGATTGTTTTGAATACCTGGTGAGTGACATCATGTTTAAGATTGTTTAAAGCCAATTGTGCTGATAATTTAGGGGACTTGCAAACTCATTCGGCATCTTCCAAGCTTACTATACAACAACACTCCTACCTGAGTCCACCCCCTGCGCCATCTCATGGATTGGTTCTATTCAAGGCTTCTTGCTTCTTTTCGTCGGAGTTCTATGCGGACGTGCATTCGATGCTGGGTACTTTTTCCCGGTCTTGTCACTGGGTATCTTTCTCGAAGTGTTTGGAATGATGATGACCTCCCTGAGCACAAAGTACTATCAGATTTTCCTCGCTCAAGGCCTTTGCGTTGGCCTTGGATCTGGATGTCTTTTCACACCCGCCATATCGCTGGTAGGCACTTACTTTTCGACTCGACGCAGTCTTGCAACTGGAATCGCTGCCAGTGGGAGCAGCGTTGGCGGTATTTTGTATCCTATCATTATTCGCCGGCTAATTATGCAAGTCGGGTTCCCTTGGGCCGTTCGCGCTATGGCATTTATCATGCTGGGTACTCTGGGCATCGGACTTGCCCTGCTCAGACCAAGATTGCCGCCTCGTCGGTCGGGCCCTTTGGTAGAATTTGCAGCGTTCAATGATCCCGCCTACGCTACCTTTGTTGTTGGGTTGGCTTTGGGATTCACCGCGTTTTTCATTCCGTTTTTCTATGCGGAGAGCTATGCGCTTGACGTCGGAGTCGACTCCGAGCTGTCATTCTACATCCTGAGCATTATGAATGCTGGAGGCATGATCGGACGAATGCTACCCAATGCTACCGCAGACAAGTAAGGTTATATTTCCCTTCAGCTGTTCAGCCAGAAACTAACAGTCATAGAATCGGTAATTTGAACGTCATCGTGCCCTGTGGCTATATATCTGGTATTATCGTGCTGGCCTGGGTGTCAGTAAAAAGCCAAGCCAATCTCATCCCCACTTCCTTCCTGTACTCCTTATTTTCGGGAGGCTTGATGGCGCTACCGCCAGCCATTCTCATTGATTTAACGCCTGATCTCAGTCAAATCGGTGTGCGAGTTGGCATGGCTCTCACTGTTGGGTCATTGGGTGTACTGATCGGCTCTCCCATTGCGGGTGCCATTCTATCCAGCGAGAGTGATCCAGAAGAGCGCTTGGACTTTACAGGAACTCTAATCTTCACAGGCATTGTACTACTTGCAACCGGGGTTTTTATGAATGCCACTCGCTTCTTCAAGCATGGATTCAAGTCAGGCAAAGTCTGAGCTTCGAGCCGCAGACTGTGAGGACGGACGTGGGTAGATGACATCTATGTGTGGGCAATTGAATTAGACGGATACTTGACAGCGGTATATGGGATCAAAATATGTTCAAGTGATATTGTCTTAAATCGATATTATATAGACAGCAGAATGTACTGGGTACCTTTCAGTATACGAACGAAGAAATTCCATGAAAATCGCACCGTTAGTTCTATAATTCTATCTCAAAAATACTATGAATGTATTTCTGTCATTACAACCCGAAAATCAGCTATCAATGAGCTCCGCATCATATTATAAAGGTCCAAACCGTCCGTCTCATCAAGATTGCAAGCCCTCTGATCGAGTCTCTCCAACAATCGGGGAACCTTTCCAACATCGAGGAGAAAGATTTGCTTTTTCAACGACCTTTCATCCGCTTCATCTAATTGATACGAGCCCAATGTAAGTCGAGTAGCCTGAGGTGGACTTTCGAGGTGTTTCTCTGCATGTGGATGAACCAAAAGGTTGAAATAATCGGACTGGCCACTTGACGTAGGTGAAATCGATAAAGCCGGATTGGCCACGTGTATAGAATATGGGGCTGACACGGGATCCATCTCTGGTGTATTGATGGACTTCGCACTGAGTCGCAGATGGAAGATTATTTGGTAAAGCTTGAGGGATTTTCGAAGAAGTATTAGAATGAGGAGTCGGGTAGTGCTGTCATGCGAAATAGAGCATTTAATCGAGTTGCAGACTGTAAGCAGCGCATCCTTGTTATGTCGGAGCGCAACATCCAGACCCAAAGATTGTAGATCAGTTCTCTGGGCCTTTTCCAAGGCTTGCAAAGTTGATCCAAAGCATGCGCAAGATTTCTTATCATTGCCAAAATTGTTAAATTGCCGATCGGTGGGCGTTGAGAACGGTAGTCTCGTTGCGAACTCAGGAAATGCGATAACTGACTCTCCATAAAGAGCCTCGCTGATTGAAAGAGGATCCATAGAGACCCATCCGTTCAATGGTGTATCGAGTGTTGCCGTTTCAGGAAGAACATCGTCGCCAGTGAGGCCCTTTAGTGACAGATTTAAGTCGCCAGGCTCATCGTCCCCTTCGCCCTGAACCGGAGTGGACGTGGTTGACGCTTCTGGGTTGAATAGAGGATTCCTCGCAATTGGAACTCGACCCGGTCGACCGGGGGGACTGTGAAAACAGGGAGAATTCAAGCTAATACATCTTTGGCATCCAGATGGTGTTGGAACGCATTTTACTTTGGCTTGGTAGCAGTTATCGCACGCAGCCCGCAATGAGGGTTTCGGGGCGCTCATATCGAGACAGATATATCTGGGAATTCCAGAATAAATTGTGTTGGATATGACCTTGGCTTTTTTTTAAAGTCTTGTTCTTGGTACCCTGCGACGCTATAAACAGCAAGATCTTTGACCACACACAGAATGTCGTGCTGGAACAGGTACGGGTTTCAAATGAAGCTAAATCGTATTTTTATCACGCATTGCATTGTTGATGCGATATATATCAATGTTTATTGGTCTGTTCCCTGGTTAATATGATTTAACTCAAGGCTAATATCATAGGCCAGGGACAAAGAGGTTAGTGGTATGTGTAGAAACTGTTGAGGTATGTGCGCCCTATCTTGAATAGATTTATCAAGATACGAATGACGCCATAATAGCCCCCAATGCCATTCTGCAGCTGAATACGAGAAATGGAAATTCAAATTTAACTATGATCGATGTTTGATTGCCCCTGGTTGAGGTTTCTTGGTTTTTACTAACAATCTAGATTGAAAATGGCCAGGTTGAACATTCCGCTCATTCGTAACTTAATATTATATCCCACACCCTGAAAATCAAGTGGGGTATCACCGTCTATCTTCTACGAAGCAATCTCAAACCTTTGTCCATCACTAACATACCCTCCCAGCTCTTCCGTGCAATTTCACTTTCTCCGCCTATTGCGCTCTCTTCCCGCGACTTTCGAAAGGCAGTAGCACGCTGAGAATGATAAGAAGCGCGTACAGAGCAGCACAGACGAAAAGAGGCGTGGTTGTTTCGACGTTCGCGTAGCTTCCCACAATAACTCCGACAATTCCTCCGACGCGGTTGAATATCACACAGATGGCATACCCAGTGGCGCGGTGCGCCGACGGCAAAATCTCTGGAGTGTACGCATACATAGTTCCATAATAAATGTTCCTGTGACCAGCTAGTTAGACATGGTGAGGGCAAACAGTAAAACAAATGAGCTTATCACTTACGTTGCAGCAGATATGGCAGCGGACACGCCGACGTTTTGGGCTGGGGTCTTAATTTGGGTATACCCAAACTGTAAAACCATTGTCAGGAGTGCGCCCAAAGCCATGGTGCCTCGACGGCCAAACAACTTGGTTTCAACCAAAACTCCAGCAATGACAGGACCAACCAGGCCAACGACTTGATTGATGGCATAGTTTCTCCAAGTAAGATAGTTGGAGCTGCTATTGACTTTCACTCCCTGGGATTTGAGATAATATGGAAGGAAAACATGATACAAAGGGCTGACAATCCCAATCACGAACCAGTTGAGCATGATCACAAAGAATGACCAAGTCAACCGCTTGGTTTGAAAGAGACCACTGAAGTGTGCCTTGATCCGGACCACGGACCAGACTGACTCCTCTGTGTTCTTCACATCCCCTTCGCTACGGAGTTCTTCCAGAGTAAGATCAAAATTTCGGTTATATTTTACCGACAAATCTCTCAAGAACTGTATTACCTCTTCATCACGATTTTGAGAAACGAGCCATCGAGGCGTTTGCACGATGCGAATTAAAAGGACTCGCAATAAGCTCAACACGAGCGTAACGCCACCAATGGTGAAATGCAAGTACCGCCATCCCATATTATCTTGGTAGGCACATGTCCCTGGCGCCGCAGAAGAGGAACAAGTGTAGTTGCTCATGAATGCCCATGCAAGCAGACCTGTAATGGTGTATCCCACTGCCCACCAAATGGACATGAAGGTCACCAGCCAGGATTTATTCGCGGGCAGAAATTCCAGGAGAGTAACCGAGTCCAGGATGTAATTCCCGCCAACCGCCGCGGAGTAGAGCGCAACCCTATTGATAACATTAACAGACCATTACGGTGCATGAAGCAGGGTAAAACCAACAATGTCGCGAACGAAATGTATCCCGGCATCCCACCCGCGATAATTGTAAATATTGCCGCCAGTAATAAGGAAGAATTGAAAGCAAGTCGGCGACCGATGATATCTGCCGATAAACCCCAAATAGCCGCGCCCACCAGAAGGCCGATTTGGGATGCCAGGGCAATCCCCTTCAGGCTTTTGTCTGGGCTGCCGTATTGCATGGTAACTGCAGGCATTGCTATGGACTGACATATTACCAAGAGCTGGAAGATATTGTTAGCGGTCTTTTTGTCTGACCATGAATGCAAGGCTCTTACTGAGTCAACCGTGTAGCCAAAGCCGTTGAGGAAGAAAAGTTTCCATTGGAATGGAGTCATGCCAATTTTATCGATGGCAGTGTTGATAAGTGCCAACTTTTTAGCCAAAACGGGATCAAAGACGGCACTATCGAACACATCTTTGGATTCGACGACATAGTTCGTAGCTTCCTTGCTGGCTGGCTCCGAGGAGACAGGTTTTTCAGTTCCTGGCATGTTGTGCCTGTGCTTTCGCGAGTAACAGGTGTTAAACAAAGAGTGAAGCTTTTCAGAACACGTTCAATGGTTCTAATATATGTCTTCCATGAAGCAATATATTAACCACCCAGACGCGCGTGGAGCAACGCACAAGCACACTATAGCGCCATCGAAAAAGTCTAGCTTAACCTTAGATTACTTCCGCGTCTTCGCACCATTAAGCTATCCTAGTTGAAAAAGTGACATGTGAAGAGAAAGGCGCCATCAACGCGCAACATGAGTACTAGATTTGTTAGTTTAAGCCTTTTCGATCCCCAGACGCTATAAGATAGTGCCTGCAGGTCGTTCCCATCCTATCCGCCGTCGGAGCTTTGAATCGGAGGGTTGCAATGGCGCCAACGGGGGATTCGCATTGGCCCGCTCTTAGCGTGGGCACTGTCCCTCTCCGATGGCACACCTCCATTATGTTGAGTTGTATTCAAGAACAACAATATAGGAGAATTTCCATATAATTTGCCGTACTATATTGAAAATTCGAGATTCCGCCACTCGATAATCTAAACCCCAAACCGGCTTCACCTTCCTTTTCCCGAATCGTCACCATGCCCCGAGCACTCGCCAAAGTAGGCGACCGCATCATCGCAGAGACAGCGAGTTGGAGGACTGTGGAGAACAACATATATGTAAGTTTTCCGATATCCAATTCGCAATATTGGCTAACTTCAAATATAGTTTCCCCGCTCAGCAATTATCGATGATTCTATTTTGCAAGACTCCGATCATTCGACCTTTTGCTCTTGGAAAGGCTACGCCTCTTACTGGCATGTGAGGGTGGACGGGCAGACCCTTGAAAATGCAGCATGGTATTACCGGGAACCATACGATGCAGCGGCGGATATCAAGGATCATGTTGCTTTTTGTAAGTCACTTTTCGTCCTTTAGTTGGTCTTTGGTCGCGATTTCTTGCTATATCTCACACTCTATTTTGGATAAACAGATGGTAACAGTGTCAAGATATCACAAGAGCCTTGATAAGGAGGAATAGCATATAGTAAGGTTGGTTGGTGTGTGAACATCAATGGTGAGCATGCTGCATTGGAAGTTTTTCATTCCGCAGACTGGCCCCGGCGGCATTATGAGGGCTAGGACAATCATGTATAGAAATCTTTGATGTACGTCCCTACCCTATCTCTAGTATCGCTGGTTTCCTCGCTATTGGTAGCTTTGAACTTAGTGTAGCTTTTGGCAGCCGGTACCAACAATTAGCAGTTTTTAGGCATCTTATTTGGTCTCTTTGGAGAACCGGCATTTTTGTACTCCGTTTGACATGGAAATAAATATATAGATTAAAATACTAAGATGTGTTTAAACCGCTATGCCACATCTATTACCGAGATCTAACAGGGTGAGAGCTCTTGAGCGGGTGCAAAGATGGGAAATGGTGGTCATATTGTGTGTGAGAACAGTATCACTACACGTAGAAAAAGATGCGTGATTCATCCCCCTTCCCTTTCTCGTGATCAGCTGTCTATTGATAAAACTTAGATAGAAATTCACCATAGATATCCTTGGGCCACAGCTCACCAGACATATTGTGAAATCAACGACAACATCTTCCTCCCTCTCAATAAGATCCTTTTGTTTGGCAGTGGGTTGACCTTCATCGTATTTCTTTTTTAGCTCGGTCAAAATTTATCCAAACCACCCTCTCTGGGTATCTTTAACAACCATCATATTGCCTGGATTTCACGTCTCGATGTCGTACTAGGACTTTGGTTGTTTCTCAGGTATCCTCCACGTGATTATTTGCCCGTTGCTGTGTGTAATTATTCAAACTAATCATCTCCAGGTAGGCTATGTGCTCCAAAATATGGCATTAAGGAGGTATTCGTCTTCTAGCAACATTTTCAAGTGAGATTGACACAGTGATGGATGAAACTTTCTCATAGAGCCCAGGAAGTTCGGCACAATTCCTCAATCACAAAACCCTCGATGGTTGAGTCGGGTGTAAGCAGTGCATTCAAATACATGAAGATCCAATTCACGACATTCAGGTTTATACCAGCGTCTGGGTCCTCTTCCATGGTGCTTCTTTTATTAGTACAGTTAAACAAGGCCGCTTGTATCCACCCGACTTACCACTTTCATAACACATGCCTAATGGCGAACACTGGCTACACTATCTAAGGCGGCACTCAGCTATAACCATCTCAGTGATCCCAAATCAATTAACTTCATGGTTTTCTCTAAAACGTAGCCTGACACATACGACCATAGGGTGTGGAGAACAGGGTTTCCCGTCCGCTCAGCCGTACTTAAGCCCATTATTCTGCACAGTCAATACTCAATTTGGCCCTAGCACCTAAGCGGCGCTCCAGGGTGAGTACGGGTGATATGGGTGAGAAGTCTTGAGACTAGGGTGAGAGAGGTGAGAACGGGGTGACAATTCTCACCCCTAGGGTGATAAGGGCCAACTCATTCTAAGCCTATGCCGGCCCCAAGAAAAATATATAATACAACCTCTAAGGCTATTTTCTCACTCTGCCATGATTTTATTTGAATTTTTTTACCACTCACAATATGTTCTCCGAACAGAATATCCCGAAATCACTCTAGGAGCGTCTCGCACGTGCCATATCACGTAGCTTCATACGTGAATATTAAGACGAACAGGAAAAAGAGGGTAATACTATCTGCTACCCTAAGCTAGCGCCTGCTACGCTAGAGAAATACGATTATACAGTTAGCAACTGGGCCCTATAAGTTTAACCTATACTTCACCGATCTAAGTTCCTAATTATCAGCAGATGGAGAATTTCTCGAAACGAGTCTATAGACCTAGATTTTCCTAACCTACCTGTTCCGACTCCTGAACGTCTGAAACTTTTCGCAGAGTTTTATATTAAATCTTATAAAAAGCTTCCGTCTTAAAGATCGGCTTATGGTCACTTCACTAGCTTTACGTTAAAGTGGGAGCGTAAAAATTCTCGATCCCTTTCTAAGGAAGTTAAGGACGACGTTCTTAACGTAAGGGATAGCAACTATCCTTTATAGAGCTTACTGCTAATAAGAAAAACAAAAGTTTATTAGAACCGAACTAACAGTAAGATATAAACTCCCTACAAAGCCTAGAGAGCGCTTCCTAGTCAACAGAAAGGATATAGATTACCTGCTTCGACACCTTTTCGTGGATGACTATCACGATTATATATATAAAAGAGTACGTATACATAGACTGCGACATCGCCCGTCCATGGGCACTAGAAAGTGTCCACGGCCCGTGGGCCTTTTGAAATTCGACGCCCATCGCCCATCCTTATGCAAAAATAATGCAAAAATTACCCTATTCGGCGATTTTATGTACATAACTAGTTCTTGGCAGTACCCACCGTGCCAAGAGTGCCCGCATGTGTCTTGGCGACGCTAAAAATGTCTCCACAAAAACGGGCGTTGTCGCAGTCTACGTACACAGACTGGAAGTTCTCTTTCTTTATTTACTGGCTCGGGTATAAGAGCAGGGGCTATCATCGAATTAAGTACTTATCGTAAGTCAAACGAATGCTTATATTATAGGGTTTGTATCTTAATAATTATTATCTTTAATTATATTAAAACTGACTTATGTGTGACGATTGAGACTGAACTGCACTATCCTTTCTGCCAGATGTCTCCGACTTGTAGATGTTTGCATGGTTTGTATGAGGAGACAGGACCAGGACCCACAAAGGTCCTGCCAGGCAGGTTTCCTTTCTTCTTCTTTCCTTTTACTCCTTGTACTTAGTATTCTCGTTGAAATGCACTCTTTTGTTTAAGAACTGGCTGGTAACACTTTGTAGGCATGGTTTTTGGTCGGGGCGTGCTCGGTATGGGAAAATGCACGTGATCCTTTTCTTGCAGGGCGATTGGTTATGAAAGATCCATTCGATAGTCGCCGCCCTCACATTACTGCTTCTATGAATAATTCTCGGTTCAACCGCATCAACTTATAAATGTCAGATTACTCCCCTTACATCTAATCTAATTTGAACAGGTTTTTTAGTCTTTTAATTTTTTTATTTCTTTAGTCCCGCTGTGTTGTGGGGTCTTGACCTAGGCTAAGCATGCAGAATCGTGACTGCCCTCATTATTCGAGAATTAGATGCTGATCTTTCCCCTAATCTGGAATAGTGACTCTTCGTGCCTAAGGAATATCATTGGATATTACGTAGGTTGGATGGAGCGGATTATGATATTTCCCTAACGGGAGATAACACGTGACCTAATGAGGCAGACCAAGGCGGGGTTGATTTGCTATTGGTGCCCCTTCCGGTTGAAGTGGGTCCACGAAACTTGGCCTTGAGGTTGTTTCGGTGCGGCGCGCCCCGTCGCCAATTCAGCAGAACAGACTTCCCCAGGAATGGGGCTTCATGGAAGGTTACACTGATCGGATATCTCTGCCAACAACTGTCAATTGCATCACACAATAAATTGGACAAGATGAGTGCATTCCAAGGCTGATCTTGGCATTTCTTTGCTTCGATGGGGTGGAGAAGACGGCTCCTGCCAATAGCATCTCTTCTCTAACCGCCCGCTGCTGCACGTCGTGTTCATCATGAGGCTGAGCCTCTCCGGTTGGCAAAAATTTCCCTGGGTCTTAGAGGGTTTATTCCCTTCTCTCAAGCCTCCTCCGCTCTCCTTTGCTCATAGTGGCATATGTTACCCCCATGAGTTAGGCCTCTATTGCACACTAGACGTCAGAGCTTTAGAAAGGTCACGCTGGTAACTCATTCTCCGGGTTTTTCTCGCGTTGAAGCCATGTCAGATCCTGGGAACTACACTGTGGCCTGGATCTGCGCCTTACCCGTGGAATACGTTTCCGCACAAGAATTCCTCGATGAGGAGCACGACAAACCCCGCTTTGTGTCGCCAAGTGATACCAACGACTATACATTGGGCAAGATGGGAGAACACAACGTTGTCATCGCCGTCTTACCCGATGGTGAATATGGAACAGCTTCTGCCGCTAGTGTAGCGACAAACATGCTCAACAGTTTTCACAACATCAGGATCGGCCTCATGGTTGGGATTGGCGGGGGTGTACCAAGCGAGAGCCATGATATTCGGCTGGGCGATGTTGTGGTCAGTGCACCTCGCGATGGCGAGAGTGGTGTGTTTCAATACGATTTTGGCAAGTCGATCCAGGACCAAAGCTTTCAGCACACACGGTTCTTAAACCAGACACCAGCTATTTTGCGCGCTGCAATAGCGGGTATCCGAACTCAATATGAGAGAAAAGGGCATCAGCTTGAGGAGGCCATCTACGGTATTTTTGGGAAGAACATGAGACTTCGTCGGAAGTACAAACGGCCAGAACCAATCACGGATAGGCTGTTTCTCCCCGAAGTTATCCATCACCAAGCTGACTGTGCTATGTGTGTGGTTGATCCTTCCACGTTGGTACCACGAAGCGAGCGGGCTAACGACGAAGATAACCCTGCCATTCACTATGGCCTGATTGCTTCTGGCAATCAGCTGATGAAGGATGCTTTGATTCGAGATCGGCTTGCCGCGGAGAAAGACGTCCTTTGTTTCGAAATGGAAGCCGCGGGGCTGATGAATACTTTTCCATGTCTGGTCATTAGGGGTATCTGCGATTACTCGGACTCACATAAGAACAAAGAGTGGCAAGGGCATGCAGCTATGGTGGCAGCTGCATATACGAAGGATCTCCTACAGAGAATTCCTCTTAACAGAATTGAAGCCGAGCAGAGGATAAGTGCTGTTGTGTCTGGTTAGTCTAGCGCAGTCTTTTAATGATTTTGTCAGCAAATATTGACTTGGGCACTACTCAGAGGAGCTGAAAGGCATCCAACATCGCTTAGATCAAGCATACAGTCAACACGAGCGGCACTTTAGTGAACAGAAAGCAAGAGTCTTAACAGATCAACAGCGTCGTTGTTACCAAGTGTTCAAGGTCGTCAACTACGCGGAGCAAAAGAACATAAACCCTAAACGAGCTGAAGGAACCTGTCGATAGGCTTTCCGGAGCTCTGAATACATCCGTTGGTGGGAGAGCAAGTGCAACGACCTTCTCTGGGTATCGGCTGACCCAGGCTGTGGCAAGTCTGTCTTAGCCAGGTCAATAATCGATGATTACTTAGAGACCTCTCATCCAACTGTGAGAATATGTTACTTTTTCTTCAAAGACAACGATGACCAGAATAATCTTGCTACAGCACTATGTTCGGTACTTCATCAGCTATTTAGCCAGCATTCTGATCTATTGACATATGCCATTCCGTCTTGGGAAAAGAATGGGGGGACGCTCCGACAAGAAGTTGACGAGCTTTGGCGGATTTTGATAGCGGCAACATCAGCCGACATATCGTGTAAGACCATTTGCATATTCGATGCACTTGATAAATGCCGTGAAACGGATCAGCGCCGATTAATTGAAAAGCTCCAAGCGTTTCATCGCCAGCCATCTTCATCAACAGAGCAAACCTGTTTGAAATTCCTGGTCACCAGTCGTCCCTACGATCATATACAGGATAGCTTTCGAGCAATCACCAATTCTTTCCCACATATACATATCAAGGGGGAAGAGCAGAATGATAAAATCCATGAGGAGATTGATCTGGTGGTGAGGACTCGGCTGAGAGAACTAGCTGAAACAGTGCCACTGTCACCAGAGCTTCATCATCGACTTGAACAACAGCTGCTTCAAATGGAACATCGTACATATCTTTGGCTACACTTAGCCATTGATGATATCCGTACTACCTTCAAAGACAGTCTCCGGCCTACAGAGGATTGGATCACACTGATTCCGCCTTCTGTGAATGCCGCATATGAGAAGATACTCTGTCGAGTCCCAGCCTGTCTAATGGATAGAGTCAAGAAGATCCTAGAGATCATCGTGGCGGCACGACGTCCTCTGACAATACAAGAAATGGCTATGGCGTTGGGAATTGCCACTAGCTCAGGATCACCAACAATTAAACAGGCTGGGCTAGATCCAATTGGGTTAGACGGCAAGCTTCGGCGATGGTGTGGCCTCTTTGTCTTTACGAACAATTCGAAAATCTATCTTATCCATCAAACAGCGAGAGAATTCCTCATTGAGAAGGAAAATTCCAGCAATCCGAATTCTGCATACTGGAATAGCCTGACTGACGCGGAAGATCAGATGGCTAAGATCTGTTTGAGATACTTGTTGATGGAGGATTTAGAATACGATAAAGACGAATCGGGCTCCCTTACTACATGTTTCTTGGAATATTCAGCAGCACATTGGCCAGATCACGTACGAAAGATGGGTTTGACTCTAACCCAAAAAGAAACCTGCCGAGTGCATCGATTATACGACATAAGTGGGAAATCGTTCTCAACGTGGTATCCCATTTTTTGGAAAGCAATCCGACCATACGAGAGAATTCCTGTAATGAGTGCACTGCATCTGGCAGCCTTCAATGGCCATGAACATGAGGTACAGTATATACTTGGTGTGGATAAAAGTGATATCAATACACCTGACGACACAACAACATACCCGGTCATGTGGGCGTCATTAAATGGACATGATAGGATCGTGCAACTACTACTAGAGCGAGGAGCCGACGCCAACGCCCAGGGTGGAGAGTACGGAAATGCTCTTCAGGCTGCTTGTGCCAGAGGACACAACAAGATCGCACAGATGCTGCTAGAGCGAGGAGCCGGTGTCAACGCCCAGGGTGGATACTACGGAAATGCCCTTCAGGCTGCTTGTGCCAGAGGAGACGATAAGATCGCACAGATGCTGCTAGAGCGAGGAGCCGGTGTCAACGCCCAGGGTGGAGAGTACGGAAATGCTCTTCAAGCAGCTCGTCGGGGAGGATACCACCATATAGTGAAACTTCTCCAGAAACATCAATGTGCTGATCAGTCGACCTCCCAACCTCCCCCTTCCAAAAGGCTGAAGGTTTCATCATGATCCCACATCACCATTTTCAACTCAAACTTCTTAATACCTCCATATCGTCATTATTATTCTCTACCTAGGTAGTTGTGCTATAGTCCTTGCTCTCAGTACTGGAATACTTCGTCCATGATCCATAATCCTTGATCCAGCAATTCAAACAACAATGGGATAAGAAGCACACCAAATAAACCTGCTTGGTTTTTTTTTCAGTCGACCTAACCTTTGTTTAACTCAGTAACTACTTGGGCCGGCTGTCTGTTGCCCTATCCTACTTAAGTTTTGGACCCATGTGACAGGCATCAGATCAGGCGATATTATAGGATCCTCAGATAAATATGAAGCTTTCTGAATTGCTATACATATGCAGTAGAATGTATAAGCTAACCTTTTTTAAAGGGACAATTTTCGAACACTATCAAGCTAAGATATGTGGATTACTTGACCTGGAACCAATCAACGTACCCCTTGTGACAACAAATATAAGCTCTGATTGCAAGAGTATATGTTTGATTTATTTGTTTTGTTTTATTGGTAAATGAGCTGTTTGCACTGGGATACTGGGATGTATATGTAAGCATGGGCAAATCAGAAGGGCTGTAGCGAGTCTATAGGGCGACAAAGCCATAACAACGAATTGAACTAAAGACCTATCTCTTTTGGGGCTGTGTGCATATGCCAAGGGTCCAAACGTTTCAGGTTCAACTTGTAATCCAATTATATCACGCTCCGTGTCACTTTAGGAGGTCAGTGCGGGCGTCACGCTACCTACGCTTGGTATACAGTATTTTACGACATTCAGTCGTTCTAGAGCAGGAGGTAGCCCTGACCCAACCCGCTTACTGGGTCATCTACGTTGGATTGAAGGACTTGCTAAATATCAAATCACGGATCATCTCTAGTTTCAATTTTGGGAGGGTCGGCGCCATTTCGCTGAACGACAGTGCAAAGATCAGGTTGTTGGTGGTGGAAGCCTACTGACTGGTTGACCGATGGCGTAATAGGGCTTCTTTCAGTGAGCGTGAGCACGGGAAATATAATAGAGTAGTGAAGAAGGAAGATAAATGCGAAGATATATATAGTGGTTTCACACAAAACATGAAAATAAATCCTCTACTGCACCTGAATGTCCAGATGAAGAATATTCAGCTGGGTGAACGGGGGTGCCCTGATTCCCTTAAGAGTGCCGCTATAGCGCCGAGCCGCCCACTGCCTCGATTCGTGAGCGCTAGGTGACCACCACCATACTTATTGTATGTTTCTTATTTTCATAATCAAATTTTTTTTTGATTCGTCGCGGATACTCCCGTTGCGCCTTAGTATTCGATCCGTTCAGTCCTTTCACCTGAATGCCCTGCACACCACTACTTTGCACCTGAAGCGCTGACGTGTCCTTCCCCGCCCGTGCTGATTCTTTGTGGGCGTCGCCCAGGTGCGTTCGATACGAGGGTATCAGCGACGCCGCCACATTAACCCTCCTCGCGGCACGTGCAAGTCAATTTGATGTGTCAAAAATGGGCTGACTTTCACCATCTGCTGGGACTCCGCAGGCTCCAGACAATCGAGCCCACTCCTCTTTTGGATCATTCATTCCCAATATAATGGCCAGCATTTCTTTTGGGGACATAAACAGCGGTTATCAAGTTGGAATTAACAACGGACAAATATACGCCCCCGGTCCTATAGGTAAGATAAAATAGCATGCGAGGACACACTCATAATATTCTAATTACGACTACTTCCTAGAGCGACCTCATACCCCCACCAAGTCCGCTTTCACAGTCCCATTTTATCGTGATGGTGATTTCGTTGTTAACCAGCAGCTGCTGGACTTAGTGACTGAAAAGCTCTCAGCTTCAGGGTCTTTGATAGCCCTTGTTGGGTGTGGTGGTGTGGGGTATGTTAACGAAATCGAAGTATCCATTGACAGTGAGCGGGTACTAATTTGAACAGAAAATCTCATTTCGCCATAGAATACATATACCGAATTCGTCATCTGTCACCTACAACCTTGATATTTTGGATCTATGCGAGTAGCGCAGCTCGATTGGATCAATGCTACCGCGACATAGCTGACCAGTTTGACATCCCTCACCGCAATGATCCAGACACGAATATCTTCCGAATTGTCCACGATTGGCTCGAGGTGAACGAAGAGAAATGGGTCATGGTGCTTGATGGTATGGACTATGATTTTGATTTCTTCGAAATGTCTACACCGGGAAATCAAGAGGGTGGGTCGAAAGATGACAATGGCCGCCAATCTAAACCCCATCGAACTTATACTCCTCAAAGTGCACACGGTTCAATAATTGTGACCACAAGAAACCTAAATGTCGCAGAGAAACTTGCTCCTGACAGCATAATTGAAATTGGGCCAATGGAGGAGTCTCTCGCAATGACCCTCTTCCAGTGGAAACTGAGGAGACCTGCCAAGGAAGATGATATTATGCCTCTTGCAAGGCTGCTCGGCTTCCAACCACTTGCAATTGTACAAGCAGCCGCTTCTATCAAATCCAGATCTCCTCACTCGAGTTCAAGTTTATCGCAGTTTCATGAAGAGCTAAATGCCTGTCTGTCAAATATGGATGATTCATTAATTCATTGTACAATTCGTGCCACTTCACAGATTGCCTTCAATCATATAAGGCAGGACAGCCCGACAGCTTGGGACTTACTCTGTTTAATGAGCTTCCTTGACCCACAGGAGTTCTCTCAAGGCTTACTTCGTAGCCTGAGTAAAGGGCACTCCTTTTTCAGTGGAAATGCAATACGGGTTTTCAACAACGACCACTTTGACAACGAGATTGCAACACTACAAGAGTTTACGCTGATACATATCAGACAGGACACACAAACAATAGGGATGAGCAGCTTAGTTCAAAATGAAGTGAGAAAGTGGGTTGAAGCCCACGGGCAAGCCGATCGTTGGAAGACACAGTTTATCAAAAATCTTCTTCTTGAATTTCCGAGTGACCTCGAGAGCCAGAGAAAGTCTCGGTCCTTGTTTCCACATGTGAAGGCTGCAATGCTCCAACGCCCCAATCCGCTCCTCGAGGACTCACTTCTGGAGTGGGCTACTCTCATGCATGGAGGTGCACGTTATGCTGGGGAGATTGGTCAAACTGGAGACATGGAACACATGGCTTTAGAAGCGATGGAGGTTAAGAAACACCTATTAGGTCCTGATGACTCAGAAACGATAGATGCCTCGATGACATTGACATTGGCATATCTGCTGGAGGGTCGATGGAAAGAGGCAGAGCATTTGGCAGAGGCGCAAGCCGAGAGGTGCAGCCGAGTGCTTGGCGTGAAGCACCCTACTTCATTCTCAGCTACTGGCTACTTGGCATTGTCAAAATGGTATCAAGGGCGATGGCACGAAGCAGAGCTACCGAGTTTGAAGCTCCTTGAGATAGCCCAGCATGCCTTTGGCGCAGAACACCCAGACACATTGACCATCATGAGTAACCTTGCAGCAACATATGAAAGTCAAGGGCGAGGGAAAGATGCAGAGGAGATGAACACCAAAGTGGTTCAGGTACGCAAACGCACGTTAGGCCCGGAGCATCCAAGCACCTTGACTAGTATGAACAACCTGGCAGTGATCTTCCAAAATCAAGGTCGATTGGAAGAGGCGGAGAAGATAAGCCTGGAAGTACTCCAGACACGCATTCGTGTTCTAGCTGCTGAGCATCCAAGCACTTTAGCTAGTATGACAAACCTGGCGTCAGTCTACTACGCCCAGAGACAATTCACAAAGGCTGAGCAGCTCTACATCAAAGTCCTTGACATCTTCAATAAAGATCGGGGGTCTGAGCATCGGGATACATTATTGGCAATGGATAATTTGGCAGCAATATATCGAGAACAGGGACGATGGGCTGAAGCAGAGGTTCTCCAAACTCAGGTGCTTCAAGGCCGTCAGAGAATTCTTGATACTGATCATCCCGACACCCTGAAAAGTATGGTAAACTTGGCAGAAATCTATTGGCATCGAGGCTGGTGGGAAGATGCCAAAGCCATCCAGAACAAAGCGATCGAAATTCAAAAGAGGGTACTTGGTCACAACCATCCAGGTGTTCATTCGAGTATGGACTTTCTAGGGTTGATCTACAGAAGTCAGGGAGAGCTACTGAAGGCTGAAGCAATCCACCGCCAAGTGATAGAATATTGCCAGACATTTCTGGGGCCAGAGCATCCAAGCACGCTGGGTAGCATGGCGCAGTTGGCTCTCGTTCTTCTTGGCCAAGGCCGGTCTGAAGAGGCCAGAAAGATACAGACGACTGTATTCGAAAAGCAGACCGATATATATGGCGCGGATCATCATGCGGTTCTGTCGAGTTTAAATACCTTGGCTCTCATTGATAGAAGTGAGAAAAGATTGGAAAATGCTGAGAAGACTTTACGCAAAGTGATAGACTGTCGTCAAAGGATCTTCGGGTTGGACCACTCATATACGCTGGCTAGTATGGAGGATCTGGCATCCGTGCTATTCGAATCGAACCAATTGAAAGAGGCAGAAGCACTAGCGAGAAAGGTCAACCAGACACGAGGGAAGCTTCTACGAGAGGACCACCCAGATACACTGAGAGTGGCTAAACTGCTTGAGCAAATTTCTGAGATGAAACTCGCCAAATCGATATTCGATGACGAGGATGACGGTTCAAGCATGTCAGACTTTGGGTCTATCGTTAGCAGCTTCTCTTTAGCAGCAAGTCAATCTTCTGCTACAACACTTGATAACGCCACTGTCTGGTCTGCGGTTAAACTTTTCACGGATTTACTTTTGGAGATGGACAGTTTCAAACAGTTATGCAGGATTGCGCTTGAGAGCGACATATCGAAGGTTCGTATCCAGAGAAACCTGGGGAAAGTTCTTCGACTTTTTGCGTCTCATTTGTCTCACGAGGCAAAACTTGCCGATCATGCAAAAGTTATCAGATTTGTTCGCGGATCGTCGTCTAGAATCGCAAGTCAAACTATACTTAGTCTCGGCATTGCAAGCACCTCGGGACTCGGGGAATCTGATATTCGACAGGTCAAACAGGAAAGCTCAAGAGCCAAAATACTGGAATATCTTGGAGGGCAAGACACAACTAAGCCTGCCTTATTCGAGAACGTCTCCAAAGTTGGTTCAGAGGAAAAAACACCAAAGGAACCGGGGGGGCATGAGCAGGTCGTTTCCGATTCTGACTCCGATTCTGACGCGAATTCGATTCAAGATGCATTAGAGACACAGCAACCGACAACAGTGAATGATCTCCAGAGTATAGAGAGTATCATTTTCAAGACGAACGCTTTTGAAATCATGCAAACTGAATTTTTTGATTTTCTTTTCCCATCCCTGCGATCCATTCTGATGAAGTGGATTTCCAAGCAGCGGCGAGCTGGGGCATTAACGAGCAAGCAGCTACGGGACCTTGAGATGATAGTGAGTGAGTTGCAACACGTCGCACATCACCAAATATCCTTCACTCTTCATGATTCTGGTTCGATCATCAACAGTATCAAGGGTAAATGGGAAGGTTTCACATTAGAAACATGGGATTGGTGGCCCTTGAGCCCGTACATGCGCCCTCTCGCAAATGAGGAGGCTCGCATGCAGTGGCGTTGCGTAAGTTTACCTGACTCTCTAATATTTCATCACTAAGGACCAAGTCTAGGGTTGTGGCCGAGCTCGTTGGGCCGAAGTCCCTATTTCCTTTGCCAAGCAGGTTATCAATGCTTCCCCAAATTTAGACGCAGCAAATAGGACCCAGAATAGCCTAGGGCTTCAGACCCCAAGCCCTGCACCAGTTGAGCCAGGTCAGTCGGGATCCCAAACCCAGGGAGGTGATGATAACCCTTCGCCGTATCCACCTCAAGCAGTATCTCGATTTACCTCCTGCCGGTTAACACCAGAAAGAGAAATGAATCTCCATGTATTTCTCGTTGTCACGCACTCGTCGCTCTTTCGGAGGTCAAGACGCCTTGCCCAAACATCCGTGAATGATATGAACGATGAAGAATTTTTCTCGTGGATTCGCACCTCGTATTACCGTCATCGAGGTTTTTTCGCAACCTGGTTTGGGGTCCACAGATACTCGCATTGCGAATTTTTCAAAGTACGTCTAGGTTCATATCTTAAATGAACCTAATTTTGTTTCAATCACTAAAATTGGAGCAGTTTGAAAAATACAAACAGGATGGCTATGCCCCTTTAGTTCCAGAATTTCCATCTCCGCAGGAAATATCGTATCACTTTTATCCAAAGCCTATCTCTCCGGAACCACCTGTCTCCCCACACGAGTTTAATGACTGGTTTCTAGATCAAGTTTGGTACATTGTGCTTTTCCAACGTATCTCTAAAAGGATATCGAAGGCAATGTCATCCAATGCAGGATCTGAGTATGCTGTTGTTGATGAAAGGCTTCCAAAGCGGGATAGGCGTATTGAGGAACAGGATTCCGCACGCGAGGTTTTCTGGGGGTTGTACATTGTCGAGCGTCGGTCGACATTGATGTTGGTACTTTACAGCTTTATTTTTCTGGTTCCTTCGTTCTATTTTTTCTTTGCGTGGCTGTTTCAATGGGGTCATTCTGGTGATCTTCAGAATGCTTCCGTTCCATTTACTGTGGCATTTGGCTCACTGGGCACTTTTTGGGTAATTATTTCTTTGAAGTCACCACGCTTTGAAGGACACCTGAAAATCGACTGAATATAACGAGTTTGTGGACCACTGAGAAAACTGAAAAGAGGAGTAAGCATAACTGACACGACGAGTCAGTAATTGCAAACCAGAATTGAAAGTTTTGTGGTATGAATGACATTATTAGACTAAGAGGTAATTCGATTAGTTTTCTCTAAAACATATCCGGATATATACAACCATAAGGTGTAGAAAACAGGGGGTTCCCGTCCGCTCAGCTGCATATAAGCCCATTATTCTGCACAGTTAATACTCAATACGCCCTTAGTACCTAAGCGGCACTCTAGGGTGATTACGGGTGATATAGGTGAGAAGTCTTAAGACTAGGGTGAGAGAGGTAAGAACGCGGTAACAATTCTTACCCTAAAGGTGATAGAGGCTAACTTACTCTAAGCCTATACCCCCTCTAAAAATAATATATAATATAAACATAAAGGCTCTTTTATTACTCTACTATGATTTTCTTTGATTTTCCTTACTACTTAAAATATATTCTCCGAATAGAATATCCCGAAAGTACTCTAGGCGCGTCTTATATATACTATATTACGTGGCTTTATGAATTCTAAGACAAGAAGGAAAAAGAGGGTAATACTATCTGCTACCCTAAGCTAGCGCCTAGGGAACTCGGTTGAGTGAAACCGTAGTCTTTCGCGATCCCCATCACAGCCTCCTTTGCTGCATCTTTGGTAGCCATAATGCCTTTCCTGGGGCACTTTTATTGCATGGGATTTATTTGTAGGAAAAATGAAAGTCACCAATGACGGAAAGTGCTTCTACAGGAGGAACGAGGAGATCCAAAGGACCCCTATTTAGTTAGCCAATTTACATGCATATAATACCTACCTAGTGATCAACGGGACCATATTCCTATCACCCATTCCTACCTCAATCCGAACGCCCAATCAAGTCCTTAAAGCGAGGACTTCACCCCACCTAAAGCACCAAGTAAGCGCCGCCCGGGATCAAATTCAGCTAACCCTCATACCCCATAAAAATTCAATAAAAATACATATTAATCCTCCCTAGGGAGAACCAAAGTGAATCAGTCATGATTGGTGCGGGGCACGGCTGCATATCCACCACCAAACTCAGGCGATGACGGACACTAGATATATCGTATAGCTTCCTTCTTGAAATCGAATGACAGCTTGCGGTCTTACAGTCTTACAACTACTTGAGGTGGTGGCTTACGCGCAGGCATGGTTACGTGCCATGAACTCATAGCTTTGAGAATATTGGCCTCTCCTCCAGTACGGGAGATGATGTACGTCCCAAGGGGTCTGCATTTGCGATGGTAGGGATCCCACTGTCCATTGGGCCGATAATGACATCCAAGTTGAAGTCGGCAAGAGTCTTGTCGATCTCGTTGACTCTAGCTACCCCTTCGAATCATCTTGGCCCCCTCAGCATATTTTCCCTCGGACATTGTGTCATGAAGGGCCCCCTCCAGGAGCTGTTGATTGGGGCGAACTGAAGATCCCGTGGTATGAGTGAGTACCCGTTTCTTACATGCAGTCAGAGTACTTACCTGGAGGCAAGGTTTCGTCAGGATGCTGCTTGTTGAACTCGACAACGTCAGCTAATGAGTGGATTTCGGTGTCTTCATAACCCTTCAAGAACACATTCTATGGTTTCTCAAAGTCGTGATCTGGACTCATGATCAGCCGAGTTCCAACTTTAACCGCGGGTCCAGAACAAGGTGCTCACTCCACAGCAGCTCCAGAGCATCGTCGCCATCCAGAGTTAGTGGTTGCTGATTGATGAGGGTAGGATCTGGATCACAGATGAAGGGAACAAAATCCCACAATGTCAAGTCCACAAACCCAACTCGCTGTCCTTCCCAGGAGCCAGTAAGGGAACTTGCGAAGTGAGTCTCATTGGTGAGAACACTCATGTTAGGGGTCGATCTCAGCGCCGGGGCCCCACTTCGAATTTGTTTGGCTACCCCGCGGACATTATACTTGATCGGCGACTAGCATCTAAGACGAAACAATAGATCGCGGGAGCACTAGTCTCTTTGAGCAAATTGCCGCAGAACGACACAAAAAATAAGAGGCACAATTCAATGCGATTACTCTCTATCTCCTAGTCCTAGGGCTCATGTTGGACAATGATATCAACAATAGGCCAAGAGGCTAGAGGGAAGCATGAAGTAACTGCAGACCGAGCTCGAAGGGGAGGAGATACGTCGAATTTACCGACCATCTTTGATCAAGACAAGTTCCCAACCTCCCCACGTGTGTCCCGCACAACGTGGAAACATGCAACCCCATCGTTCGCTAGTTGTGCGACAAGCCCATACTCCCAGTCGAGATACCCTTGCATGTCCTTGCGAGCATTACTTGTTCCTTCATACGGCCTTTTATACACATCGATCGGCCGCGAAAGCCACCGCGATTCCGTCTCGAGGGGGTGACCGGCAGCTACCCAGGCACTTGTCCCTCCCGCCAAATACAAAATGTCTCGAGAGACTGACTTGCGTGCATCGTCAATATTCATAGCGGCAACGTCACCATCGTCCGAGGTCAGCACGATAGGGCCGTCGCCGTTGATAGCTCTCAGATCCCGGGTAAGTTCAGGTCCAGAAGCAAACCAGGCACCCGGAATGTGGCCCTTGCGGTAGGAGGGACTGCGGGCGAGATCAACGACAGTTGCGCCTGCGAGATTTTGAAGGTCATTGATTGTGATAACACCCTCATTTGAAGCATTCCATGAAGCGGTTTTGGGCCACGGAAGTCCATCAGGCACTTGGGACTGTTCTTCAAAAGCATACACGTCCCACCCGAGCTGTACGAGCCAGCTGGCAGTCATACGCGCTCGCACACCGTCCGTGTCGTATAGAACAATGCGAGCTCCTCGAACACCGACCCATTCATCGGTCGCTTGTACTAATTGACCACCAGGGGCATTAAAGAAGCCGGCCGGGTGTCCAAGGGCGTACTCCTCCGGGTCTCTTACATCCAGCAGGTACAAAGTCCGATCTTCCGACTCTGCGGTAAATCGAGTGAGCTCGTCGCCATTGATAAAGGAGACTCCGACGTGATTTGCCCATGATTCAGCGTATTGTCGTGCCCTTTGTGATGCGTCCACTGAGGGACTTGGAACACGTTCCGTCTTTTTAGTCTCCAGCTCCAAGCCCTCTAATGTCCACCCGATCGTCCCATTTCGGAGCGCGACCACTTTATTCGGGATCCCAGAGTTGATCAAAGATTGGGTTCCAACAATACTCCGCGTTCGACCTGCACAGTTAACAACGACTGTGGTTTCCGGAGAGGGTACAGCCTCAAAAAAGCGATACAGAAGTTCTCCGCCTGGACAGCTCCGGCCACGAGGGATGCTCATAGTATTATATTCCACAAAACGTCTGGCATCCAAGACAACCACATCAGCTTCACTCTCCAGGATATCCTTGACATCCCGCGCGGATAAGGATGGGGTGTGGTTGATGGATTCGACAAGCTCGCCAAACGCCTTTGATGGCACATTGACATCGCGATAAACCTCGCCAACGAGCGCATAGCCAGAAAGCCCCCCTTCCAGTACAGCAACATCCCGATACCCCAGAGCTAATATCCGGGCGGTGGCCCGATCTGCATAACCTTCGCCATCGTCGTAGACGACAATCGGGGCCGACAAGCGAGGAACTAACGGAGGCAACTTCTTCTCGATTTCTGAGACTGGCACACTTAGTGCAAATAGAGGATGAGACTCGGAATAGGGGCCTTCTTCGCGGACGTCGAGGAGGGCAATTTCATGGTGATTTACCCAATGTTGGCGCAACTCGCGTGCGGTTATAGATTTCGCCATTTCGCTATTCAAGTCCCAGAAGAAATAATTCTCTGATCATTTGAAGTTGAAAGGAACGTGCCGATCGAAATAACGGTGGAGCGATCTTGCACGATATCTCGGGTGTTTTTTCTCGGAGGTTTTTGGATGAACCCGCAACCCACGACAGCCCCAAACATTGATATTCAGAAGCACACGCAATCCTGGCGCTTTTATTATTCTCTACTGATGCATTTTATCATAATTCTTGATTTTGAATGATGCCTGGAATCTGTTGCTCAAGAGGCTGCTGTACCCCGCTCGAAGCTCGGTTGACGCCATCTCAGCGCAGGATGACCAATCGTGCGATTCCACCTGGTGGACATCAACTCCCCGACCTCGGGCCTTGTCTTGCTTGTTAGATCAAACTGACACATTCAACAGAGTATGAACCCCACTCGACAACGAAATTCCTGCGAAGCATGCCGTAAGCCGAGCCGTCCTCCAGTCCCTTGAATGTGTAACTAATGATAAAATAGGGGCACGGAAGCTCAGATGCTCAGGCGAAAAGAGCGGTTGCTCTCGTTGCCGAGGATTAACATTGACTTGTAAATTCAAAGACAAAGGAGCACCTGGAAGGCCGAGAAAACGTGCACGACAAGAAGAGCCAGACCATGATTTGCCGGACGGAGAGGAGCAAATAGGATCCTCAAGCTCCTCTCACTTCTCGCCCGTCGTTTCTCAATCACCTTTTGGTCCTCATGAAGCCGGCAACGTGCTAATGGCAGCCGGTGAATTTGACTCGTTACCATACGAGCTATCCGGGAACTGCGGATTTGATTCCTCCCACTGGGAGATGCTCGGGAACGGCGACATGTGTTCCTTTCCCCTTGGGTTATTGCAGACATCCCGCCAGAACGCATTACACGACCCCGAAATACCTCCAATAGCCTTAGAACCATACATCTCTCCCATGTCGTTCTCACAGTCATGTAAATGCGACGAAGAAGTCTCCGATCTAGTTCGGAACTTGAGCCGCGCGAATATGTCACACGATATCATTCCGATGCTTCGAACGGGCGTGTCCCTCACAGAGCGGCTACTGATCTGTCCTATGTGCTACGATGTGTCCAAGCCGCCCCGAGTAACGGTTCAAAATGTCCTTCTCATCGGCCAGCTCATGTTCGAAGTAACAACCGGCTACCAGAAGTATATCCGCTGGCTGGATAAACACTGCACTGAACTCGATGCCAGCAATGAGACTAGAACCGTCTATCTTGACTCCGAGCTTGGAGTCCCGTCAGAACTGAATTTACAAATCGGTGGAGAGAAACTCAGAGATCTCGTTGTGCACGGCCTCCAAACAGATGCCGAACGGCTTTTGGTGCTGGGCAAACAGTTTGCGCAGCGACAACGCAATCGGCATATGGTCGGCCATGAAACTTGTCCCAATTCTGAAGGTCGTTGTCGGAGCAAGGAGGATGCTGTTAATCACGACCCGCTCGATCTTTGCCCGCATGATCCAATAGCGCGGAAGTTGGTTCCGTGTTTCCGTATAGTTGATGAGGTTCGCGGGATGATCAAGCAAGTTGCAGATGCCGTTGTGTGATACCCCGTGTTTATAACATATTATATTTAAGTGTGGTCTTAAAGATCATGAAGGGGCGACATTACATTCGTTGTTTCTTTCAGTTGCCCGAGCCATCTCTTATGTCTTTCTGCATATCTAGAACGAGAAGCCAGCAAAACAGTATTAATTTAATCAAAGTATTCATCTAACCCTTACACGTTGACCCCGCACTGTGGCAACCATTCACTTTAGGCTTTCCACAAAACGAAGGCAATTTCCCAAGTCGGCAAAAGCATGACGATGTGATTTCAACATCTGCTTCCACAAGGGCAAGGGAAAGTTGTTTGTTGATAATATTTGCCTCCGCATGGCGACCCAAGAGTTCAAGGCACTCGTGATAGCCATGCAAAGCCCAAACGTTATTCGGGTGTTGATGGGCACGTTTATGGGTCGGATAAAGTCCCAAATCTTCAGCATAAGCCTGTGCAGCTTGTTCAACTCTACCCTGTTCCAATGAGAGGGCTGCATATGGATGCCGAGCTGGAAGCATCCACCCCCACGGCTCTGCGAAAGGCAGCTCGTCTTCCAGAGTAATTGCTTCCCGTAATCTGGAAAATGCTTCGTCATAATTGCCTCTTCGGTACTCAATTTCACCATCTAACATAGCAGATGCAACTTTGAGAATGTCGGTGATTTTGTTAGGGAAGTCGAGGCGTGTGGGAGGGACGAGCGTGGAAGCAATCTTGAAAAGCTCCCGTTCTTTGTCGGCTTCCTCGAGCTGAGACGTGGCTGCATACGCGATGGCCTTTCCATAGTGTCTCATAACATTCGTGACACAATATAGATCCTTATCTTCAAGCGGGTCGAGCTTCTTCAGTTCTTCCCACATCCCAAAGCGAATGAGCACATGGACTCTGACAGCCTTGAAAAATTCCATCCAATTTGCAAGTGCAGGCGTTTCGACTCGAAGAATTTCTTCCGTGATAGTCGCCTCCATTCGATCCGTCGCTGACAACGCCGCCTTAGATTTCCCACCAAGCATCGCAGCGTAGATGAGAGAGTGGTAGTCGTGTAGACGGTAGTAGCTGTAGAATGTCAAGCCGCCATTCTGTTCAAAGTATCTATCATCTGCGAGGGTCGCTTTCAGATTGTATTCGACCGCGCGGCGATAATCGCCCACAAGAACATCGATATGAGCAGGCATGTGGAAGGTGTGGCCTGTGTCCGGGAAGATTTCCCGGATCATCTCTGCTGCCGGCAGAGCAGCCTCAGGAGTTGCGGACATTTCCATTAAGTGGATATACATGTGCGCGGGGCCAGGATGGAGTTCGACTTGCGGCATCTTCAGAGCACGATCAAGCAGATCTTTCACTTCGAAAACCGGCGATGATGCTATCGGGAGCCCCGTGGAGGCATCGTATAACTTTCGCGGAGCACAATTCATCAATGCATCGGCGAAGAGTGTGATAATGTCGAAATCTTCGCGACCAAAATTTATATACACCTCTCTCATAGCATCGGCGTACGCTCTGCTACATCCGGCAAGATCCCTACTTGGA